GACTGTTCGGTCCAAACGGATGACCCACTCTAACAAAAAATAAAAACTTAGAAAAAGAAAAAAAAAAAGGCCAAAAACAGTTGTCTGGGTTGATGGTTCGACCGCCCAGGTCAACAGTGCTAACCAAATAAACGATTTTGGGACAAAAAGCGGTTTTGAGGTGAAACGGTGTCTGGCTCCCAATTTTTCTGGTCTAACCATCTAGTTTGATCCAGTTTTGAAAACACTCTCCCTGTCAACCCAATATTCAGTTTGATGATAGAAATGATCAAAAGGATATATTGAGTATCAACCACATGGTAAATTTCTAAAAATACACTAAATTGTCTTTAATATTAAAAAATGTAATTTTATGAAAATTTTGGAAAATTTATTGTACTTGTGTAATTTTGAAATTTTATTAAAATTTATTTAAATTTTTATTAAATAATTTATTTTATTTTTAAATGGTTTACTTACAGAATTATACTAATTTATCTTATAATTCCTAATATAAACTAACCAATAATTTCCTTTTTCCAATATTATACTAATTTATCTTAATAATTTGTGTAATTATTTGTTCAGATTATGGTTTTCCATTTCCTAGTCATTTATCTTTAATAAATTTCAATAATTTGCAATGAAAATTACATAGTTTTTCAGTGGTTTTCCAAAATCTATCAAATGTAATAAATTTTCCTAAAATTTCCAAAATATTCTAATAATTCTCAATAATTATTTAATGCATTTTAAATAAACTTTAAATTTCTAAAATATTCTAATAATTGTCAACAATTATTTAATGCATTTTAAATAAACTTTTAAATATTTTAAATCTTTTAATTTCAAAAATGTTATTTTACGAAAATGTAGTTTTATGAAAATTTTTGAAAAATTTATTACGTTTGTGTAACTATGGGGATTTATTGAAAATCTTTTTAAATTGTTATTAAATATATATTTTTTTATTTGGTAGTTTACTAACAAAATTACACTAATTTATCTTTTGTTTTTCAATATAAATTAATTATTAATTTCATTTTCTAACATTATAATATTGTGTTCCCCCATTTGTATTTGGTTATTAATTATAATAATAGCAATAACTAAAATTTTATACTTTTTGATAATTGTTAAATATAATTCTCAATTTTATAGAAATTAGTTAAAGTGTATTCAATTTCTGTAAAATATTGTTAATGAGTTAATTAATAAAAATATTTATTAATTTTTGGTAATTTATTATCCGTACTAATAAGAATATTTAATTTTTGATAATTTACTAACCGTATTTATTAACTTTTGGTAATAACACTATTTAATACTCATTGAATATGGGTGGGATTAAATATTAATCGTATTTAACTATTTATTAATTAATATGAATATTTTAAATGAGGGAGAGTGGATGTAGATTGGGGGGGGATGCATTTTAGGAATTGATTTGGGAGTGGGGCAACATGATTATTTGTTAAGCGATAATGGATATAATGGAGCAAGGAGACACATGGTGACGGAGACTTGTGCATTGTTAAGTGAAAGTTAAACAATAGAAATACATAAGTGTATATAATTGTTTTACATTTTAACTTTTTAATAAACAATCCGATCAAACTCAACACGAGTTGGTCGGTTTTCTAGTATTTCGTATCAAATTTGGTTTAACAAATATATATTAATATTTTATATTTTAAATTTAATTTTAATACAGAAAAGTAGGAAAATCCCCATCTTTGCTAGTCTAAAATTTTTTATATCATAGATTTAATTTTTAATAATATCATTGTAATTTATGATATTTAAAGTTAAATTTTAAGTTTAAATCTTTTGAACAAACAAAGTAAACTGAAAATAGACCCAAATCGATACAACCCGAGTTGGTGGGTTTTCGCTAATGGTTAATTGGTTTAGAGTGGCAAATTGCAGACTTGACCAGATCGATTTGGTTGGCAAAACAACCTGCAACTGAACTGAAGCAATCATTGAACACTCCTAATTTCACCTAAATTTATAGTCTAATCTCTAATAAATAAAAATAGTTTAATCTCCAATAATTATTGAAAATTTATAGAAAACATACACAATCATTGAAAATAAGTTTATAATGAAAATATAATAGATATATAATAAAAATACAATAATTATAAAAATATAATAAATACTGAAAATATACTAAGTTAGTCAATAAATAATGTAATCTTAAATAATAGTTTAATCTCTAATAAGTATTAATATATAAATTATACAAAATATATAATTACTAAAAAATAAATTTATAAAAAATGCAATAAATATGATAAATTAAACTTCAAAACTTGAATAATAGTTTTTTAATCTCCAATAATTATTGATAATTTTCTATTAAATAAAAAAATAAAAATACATTTATAAATAATTATTGAAAGCATATTTATAAAAAACAATAAATAATTACTAAAAATAAAATAAATAATAAGTATAGTATATGTAAATATATAATGAATATACACTATAATTGTAAAATTGTTACTAATGAATATAATTTTTTTGATAGTTATTTTCTATAACTATTAATTGATATAAGTGAAATTAATTATTTACAATATTATTTAGGTATCGAAATAATATTGTTATTTAAATTATTAAAATAGTAATTATTTATTGAATTTAATATCCCTAAAGTTATAATTGTACTATTTTTACATAATTTGTTATTAATTTTGTAAAATATTAAATTATTATTAATATGAATATTATGAATTCTATTGTAATTATTTTTCTACTTTAAAGACTTTTTTTTTCAAATTTAGTACATAATTTCGTTATTTTAACTTTTTAAAATTTCGTCATGTTAAATATTTTGTTATTTAAATATTTGGATAAAATGTAAAATATTTAAAAATTTTAGTTATTTGAATTTTATTTATTTTAATGTTATTACATAATATTAAATATTTTGTTATATTACTTAGCTATTTTTAATGTTTTTATTTAAGATTTTTAGTTGTTGAAATATTTAAATAATGTTTTATATTATAAAATTATTTGAAAAACACTTAAATTGAATAATTTGTAAAATTATAATTTATATTGTTACTACATAATTTCATGATGAACTTTGTAAAAATATTGAATTATTAATAATATGAATATTATTAAATATATTAATTTTTATGTTTTGAATAAACATTTTAAATTTAGTATATAATTTCGTTATAACATTTAAATAGTTCTGAATTTTTTGAATTGTAAATTTCTTTAAATAGATATAGATAAAAAAGTGGGGGAGAGGATAAATAGGAATTAGAGATAGTTTAGGAGAGAATCTCTCTACTAAATTAGAGATAATTTAGAAAATAAAATATGAATTAGAGACAATTTAGGAGGAAGTGGGGGAAATTGGTGGCACTTGGCTAAACATTAGAAAAGCAAATCCCTCTTTCTTTATGGTTGTTAGAAATAGTTAAACATATGTGATTTCCTTATTGGTTTGATGGGTAGTTATGTGGAAATAAAAAAAAAAAAAAAAAAAAAAAACACAAAATTAGGAAGGGGGGTTTGAAGTAAGGAAAGGTATGGTGACCTAGAGAGACCAATTCTAATATATATAGATAGATAGATAGATATCTTTAGTTTTTTACATAAAATAAAATGTGAAATGTTTATAATTGTTTATTGATTAATTATCTTATTTAACATATTATATGCTTTTTATCATTTTTATTTGACATATTATAAGCTTTTTTATCAATTTATAAATTTTAATTAATTTTTTTCTTAAATTTTAAGCCTTACAACGCCACGAGCTTCACCTTTTTGGGCCATTATGCCTCAATTACACTTTTTAAGTTTTAACCTTTTAAAACAAAACCCTGCTATTGCCTACCAGTCCGAGTCTCCTATTAATGATATTCTACTACCCTTTCTATTAACTCGGTGATAGGATGATTACCTGTGGTTAGTAGGAAGGGCAGCTGTCACCATATCATTGGGCTACCTGTGCATCAGAATCACTTTAATTACGTTTCCGACTCGGCCCATTAACAAATAACAATAGAGGATGAATTGCCCAGCGCATCGACGTTATCACATCACAGTTGGCAAAACATTTTTCTTCCCGAATACATCTCCTCTGTCCTCATCACGTAACGCCACTTCAAAAGAGTTGCACATAATCAGGATTCCCTAAGGCTATGTTTGGTTTGAAAGAAAAAGTAGAGAAAAACACAAAATCATTTTCCTTCTTTTCCTTACATTTTCCTTTAAATCAAACATAGCTTAATGGTACGTTTGGTTGTTAAGAAACGCATGGAAAGAGAAGCAAAAACTCTGCAATACTTTGAAAGTAGAAACATCCTCTATTTGTACATTTGAAACATCTCCCTATGAATGCATGGCCAGATGCCATGTGCACATAGCTTTTTTACTGCAAGAGATCCGGGCTCTTTTTTTCTTAGAAGGTTAATGAGGCAATTTCATTGATCATGTGCTCTGATTAAAATCTTGAACCATCCAATCATGAAGAAAAGAAGGGCGTGTAGACCAGGTCTGCGTACATGAAACATATGAAACTCCTTTTCTAGACAGGGAGTTCAGCTCCTTTGCTCCTCGTATCCCAAGTCGTAAGGCCAAAATCTTCATAGAGACTAACCGTCTCTCATAGTCTCTACTGTCTTAGGGCATATTAAGAAGTAAACTGTATAAAGTTAGATACAGAAGGCAGCCAGATAGGCTGATGGTTAAACCTAAAGAAGTCCTCATCAACATGTTTAGAAATTTGAGCAAACCTATGCACAGAAATATTTACTTGTCTATTTACAAAAACAAAAAGAAGCCATTGAAACTTCCTCAAAGCCTGAATTTCAAAAAAAAAAGAGGTGATTGGCACGCCAGGAAATTGGAGTTGTAGAGTTCAGACTAGTAACAACCGAAAGGGAATGGTTGTTGGGACCAGATCGCAGATCCCGATTCAGACTTTTCTTTTGGAGAGGTCAAAATTCAGGGAATGTTTGAGTGTTTAATAAAAAACTCATTATAAGGATCGAAGCTAAGTAATCATTTTTCCTTGCAAGGATTACATGTTATGTGCTGCATACTAGCACTGAAGAGAGAGAGAGAGAGAGAGAGAGAGATCAGTAAAGCATTTTGTGAGGATCTAGGACGTTTAACATAAAGACAGTTTGAGTTTCTGTGAATACAGTTAACTATACAAATCAATGGTGCCTCGTGATTAGCAAGAACAGTTACTATTAACATCTAAAACTCCAGATCAAATGGCACCGGATTACAAGATACTTTCAGTGACACCCAAAATACCTGCTGCTGCCCATCACTTCCCGTCATTAAATTCTAAAAATTTAACTCTCCCATCATGCTGATACATCCACCATTCATCTATTTGCAAAGCCATAAAAAGATCCAAGTCTAGCAGAACAACCCTCAGGAGCGAAAGATACCTCTAGCCTCCTCACAATGCTGAAACTGCACTCGCGGGATCTCAAATATATATATATCACACTACCTTACCAGCTGAATCTTTTATACTGATTCTTTTCTTGGCAGAGAATCTCTCCAGCATCATACTGGCAAACAACGTACTCAATGTACAATTTGTAACCAATCAAAAATATGTACATAATTGGTGACCCTGCCAACCCACATTCAAACCATTCCGCTTCTGCTCATCTTGATGCACAAAATAATGGGACTCCCTGTTCAACTCAAACTAAACCGTCGAAGGAAACATGAATTTGGTCAATATTTCTTGGCTTAAGATTTGAAGCAGTACCTAGTCCTTGAAGCAACCTCACAACATCCACTGTGTCATCCAGGTAGTACTTAGCTTTGCTAGGCTTTTGCCCCACGGTGCATGCAAAGATTTCTGGAACTGCAGGCAACAATGGACTAGAAACTGTACTTGATATGCTCTCAAACATGTCCTCATCAGATCTATCATCACCAATGCACATGACAAAGTCTGGTGGCTCACCACTACTGACCATTGCAGATAGGATCTTCTCTGCAACCAACCCTTTACTTGCTCCCTGCAGGTTATGAAGCAAGTTGTCAGGACCTTAGCTACAAAAGACCTACAAGCCAATAGAAGAAGAATAGCAGTTAAATGAGGTGAGGTACATTGGTACATCCATACCTGTGGCTTAACTTCAACAATCTGATACCCTCTCTTAACAGCAACTGGCTCATTTGCAAGTACACTTTCTAGGTGATCCAACAGTTCCAATGCCTGGCAGGATCCAAAGTCAGGGTCTGCATCTTGATGGTGCCAAACCAGTGCACTTTCCTTTGACTCTATATAGGAGCCATCAGTTGTTTCTGTATAAAGTCTCATGACAGGTTCTACAATTTGTTTCCAATCAAAAGAAGCTAATGGACTGGATTCCCAATCAGAGGATGTTTTCCACCTGCAATTAAATGGGTGCAACTATGAGTTTGTATAGATACAGAAAACATTTAAATGCTAAGCTCAAAATTCTGAGGCATAGGTTAATACCTAATGAAATACCCATGTTCAGCAGCTATTCCCAGCATTTCACAAGAGGCAAACCACTCACTCAAAGAACTCCGCCCTCTACCACTAACAATAAACACAGTGTTCTTAGGATCATTGCACAGGTTATTGAGAATTAAGATGACATCAGTGCTTGGAGTTTTGTTAATAGATGCATGAGGCACAATAGTACCATCATAGTCCAGAAATATTGCCCTTGTATTGGTTCTCTTGTATGCAGAGGCAATATGGTCAACAGACAACTTCCTGAAACATGGAGAAAGAGCAACAACTCTGAAACCCAAGCCAAAACCAATTCCCCAGCACCGTTTATTGTAGTGATCCCTGCATGCTCTCTCCAAATCCTGCATAAAGCTGCGGACCCAATAAGCAATGTCATGAGAGCTAACATAACGATAGTGTTTCTCATGTCGTAATTTCTTCTCAGCATCAGGCATGGTGATGGCCATGTTCAATGCATCAGCTACAGCATCAACATCCCATGGGTTGACCCTGATTGCCCCACTTAGAGATGGTGAGCAACCAATAAACTCAGAGACAACAAGCATACTTGTACGAGGCGTTTCCACTGCCACACCCAAAGCTTCGTTCATATGCTGAGTTCCCTGCCTACAAACTACGTAATTGTATGGAACTAGGTTCATTCCATCCCTCACAGAATTTACAATGCAACATTCCGCCACAGCATAAAAGGCAATCTTTTCATAATTTCGAACAGGATGGTCAATTAAGATAACTGGATCATGGCCTGGTGAACCAAAAGTTTCGTTGATCCTTCTGGCTATCAAGTATGTTTCTCTTTCTGCTTCCTGGACATCTTTCCCTGTACTCCTTGCAGGATTCACAATTTGAACCAAGATTAGCCTGCCTTGTAATTCCTGGTGCTGTTGAAGAAGCTGCTCCACAGCCAACAATTTCAGGCTGATACCTTTAAATATGTCCATGTCATCTACCCCAAGAATTAATTTTTTCCCTTGAAACTTTTCTTGGATTTCTTTGACTTTGATGGAAGTAGAGTGACGATTTAGCACAGATTCCAGTCTACCCATATGAATACCAACGGGCAGAATTTTAATGTATACCGTGCGACCAAAGTAGTCTAATCCAATGTACCCACGTTTAGATGCATAGTCTATGCCCAACATCCTACTGCAACAAGAAAGAAAGTGCCGAGCATAATCAAAAGTGTGGAAACCGATCAGATCTGAATTTAGCAATCCTCTCAATATTTCATCTCTAACAGGCAGAGTCCGATAGATTTCTGATGAAGGAAATGGACTGTGAAGAAAGAAACCAAGCTTGACTCGGTTTAACCGCTTCCTTAAGAAAGTAGGAAGAACCATAAGGTGATAATCATGAATCCATACATAATCATCTGGATTTATAACTTCCATGACCCTATCTGCAAATATCTTATTTGCAGAAACATATGCCTGCCAAAGTGATCGGTTGAAGCGATCACCATGATCCGGACAAATAGGCAGCATATAATGAAAAAGAGGCCACAGTTGTTGCTTACAGAATCCATGGTAAAACTTCTTCTGAAGGTTAGTTGGAAGAAATGTGGGAACACAATTGAAATCCTCCAGCAACTTGTGGGCAACTTCTTCCTGTTCACTAGCATCTATGTTAACTTTCAGAGAGCCAACATAAATAACCTCAGCTTGAGATGAGAAACCATCCTTTAGTTGCAACAGAATAGAATCCTCATCAAAACTGAAGCACCACTTGCCCGTTTTGGTATCCCTCTGAGAATGTAGTGGGAGCAGGTTTGCAACAATAATTTTTCGCCCATGGCATACAGATGGGGTAACATATGAATCTTCATCTTTATTAACATTATCATCCAAATCAGAGATAATTTCAGGAGCAGTCAACACCCGTGGAAGTGATCTTGGAGTCTGAGAGAGATCCAGAAAGTCCCCAGAAACTAAGTCCAAAAAATTGGCACATGATCTTGATACCATGATTGTTACAGGGAGAGTTATGTTGATAAACAATGGTACAAGCACAGTTAAATTAATGACAAAAAATCCAATTTCTGCAGGAAATATCTTGATAAATATCCCAGAGTATATATGTCATAAGTACCTGCAAAACATTGAAGGGAAAAAATGAACATATTGCTAAATGTACATCCACCTCATACCCCAGAATTTATCACCTGACATATTTCACAATCATCCAAAATAGAACTAGTTATAAATAAAATGTAGCTAGCTGCTCTTTGCATCTGTTATATGCAAGGGCAAAGAGCAGCTAGCATCCGTGCAATCTGATGCATTAGGCTAATACACGCATTTAATCCCTTGTTTGCTAGAATCTTAAATCCTTTATTTTTTTTTTCAAAAATAGATTCTTAAACCTTGATCACCTCCACTGTATCGACATCAGAAGTCTAGTTAAGTTGCTACTGTTTAAACTGCTGCATCATTTTACACACCTCTTGTTCATTATGTATACCACTGCATAGAGGGCAAGACCTTCTTACAACTAAAATATAGGGATATATCGAGATGAAACACAAAACATTTCTATGAAGTAAGATAATTGAATTTGAAGGCGATAGCCTAAAAGCATGTTATTAGCATTAGACCTATAATTCTGGATACCTGTACAAGGGAACCATAATATGTTGGATACTTCACTTTTTAGCACAAATTTTGTATCCAACAGCTTGTTCATCCATGTATGTTAGCATTCTCTACTTATCTCTTCTAATAGTGAGAAAGTTTTAGCAAACAATCACATGTTCAACAAGAAAGTTTTCAATCTAGCAGAGAAAATGATGCATCCATCTTTAACTGTAAGATATCATCTGCAGCATGTGACATATAAAATGATTGTCGGTTGCATATAATTGTATCTTCTAATAGTGAGAAAGTTTTTATAGACTAAGGTACCCAGAAACTTATATGAGAGTAATAATATCATGTTGGATACTTCAGTTTTAAGTGTGCTCTATCTGGGTAACACAGTTTACAGATATATGATTTCACAAAGCAATAATATGTAAAGAAAACCATTGTCAGTATATAACTATACATATTTAGTGCCACAGCGAAATAGGCAAGTAGAAAATCCTAAAAACAAACTAAAAGTTTCCTTTGCTACAGAAATAGCCTACCAATAAATGATTGGATCCACTTGCCAACTCTTGGTCTACAATCTAAAACTTACTTTTGATGTTAAAGAAAAACAAATATTAGCTTTGCACAAAAAGAAAAAGATCCACCGATTCACTAACCAAAACCAATTTCTTTTAGTATTCATACATTTCATCATCGTCCTCCTCCTCATCATCTAGCCTTGTCCCAACTAGATGGCATCAACTACATGAATGCTGCTCTGTCATTCTGTTCAGTGCCATATCTATTGTAAAGTGTTCATAGACCTAACTTTGCAAAACCATTTACATCATAGAAAGGCAGACAGATTTCAACCCAATACAACTAATGTTACATGTAACATTAAAAGAATCAGAATAAAATGGATAAAAGAAACATACACAGTACATACATTGATATGCATGTACACTCTCTCAACCAACATCTTACAAATGGTATTGTACTATTGTATGCCTTATCAAAAAGATCTAAAAAAAAAAAACTAAGCAGATCGTGCCAGATTTTTATTTTCTCCTTGATTGTTTTCCTATAATGCAATATCCATTCAAATATTATCACGCATGAAAATATTTTTGAATTAATTCGGGATTATAATACAATTAAAACCCCAAGCAAATAGACGATATCTATTTTGACGAAGAAGAAAATATCACAACCAACTTTAACAGGAGGGAAAATCCTCGATTATTACGACCTAACTTTTGGGCAAATGCCTTAATTATCTCCGTATCTGTGTTTCCTATTTATGAACAATGTCACTAGACTCGAATTTCTGCTTTCGCAAGTCATTAATGTTAGTTCAATTAAATATTATGATCCTTCTAGTAATTCCTGAGAGAATAAGAAAAATAATCCCCGTCGTTGTCTTTGAATTAACTCTCAATATGCTTCAGAGAGATTAGTTACTCCAAAAATTACTTAACCTCTGATATTTGTTGTGCTTCTGAGATCTGAAGAAAAGAGAAGGAATTTTTTTCTCCACTTTCTGTCAAATTTTCAAGGATTGGGAGCAGGCAAAGAATACTTACACGTTAATAAATTTGAGAACAAAGTACACCCAAATCTTGCAGCAAATTCTCCGCGCCAAGAGAAAGAAGAAAAATCGAAAATTTATGTCTAAACTTAAGTCCATAAACTGAGAAAAGCAAAGAACTATAAAAATGCTAACACAATTAAGTTTTGAAAGAAACTGAACTCGAAATTTAAAAGGGCGCTCCAAGTAACAGCCAAACTTCTAGATCACAAAATCTCAACCGGAAAAGAAAGGAAGTCCGGCTCTCACCTGAAACAAACATTCAAAAAGGAAACCAACCACGGGTCTTGTGATCAAGACACGACGAAGGTTTCTGCGAAACCGTCAAAACTCAACCAAATAAGACGACGAAAATGAAGAACATAGTCAAACCATATAATTTACCATGAAAAGCGATAGAAAGCACTCCAAACAAGACTGAGAGAACCAACCGGGAAAAAGAAGAACGCGGCGACCCGGCAGCGATCGACAACAGGTCACAGAAATGAAGAAGATAAACAAGAGAAACTCAACTGTTAGGTTAGGGACAAAATTTCAGATATCAAGAGCGATAGGTTTATCAGGAATTTGATGAGAATGTCAAGAGTTTCCGTCGTTCAAAAACCACCGAGAAAGCACAGCCACGGAGGTTCTGGTCATTTTAATACTTCAAATAGCGAAGTAGACATCCTTTCTTCTGCTGGTTTAATCAGACAACTCGAAGTTAAGAAACGAACCCAAGTTAGGTTAGATTTAACCACTGTTTGATTACAACGTTTACCTCTTTCTAACAGGTGGCAGCGTGCGATTCTGATTGGTTAATCCTTTTGAGTTTTGAGGGTATCACACATTTCGGTATTATAAAGATTGATTGTCAATTGGATTGGATGATACCGATTGATTGGTTAAGATTATTAGGTATTACACCTTTTTTGATATTTTTAATTATTATATTATTTATCCACTTATTGAAATTACGAGGAGTCTTCCAAAGGGGAGGTGAATTGAAAATATTTCCTGATGATAACATCATTATTTCTGTTATTATTATTAAGCGACGTTTTTAATACAGAGGACATTGTGGAGCTTTTTTAACTGGATCTTCAACTTGAGCTTGATACATTTCATTAGGTAAATGTAATAATTATTTAATATGTGCTTTTTTGTCGGTTGTGAAGATAAAATTAAAGGAAAGAAAAATGAATTATATATGGATAGGATCATGAGATAGTTTGGTTCACCAAAACCAAAAGGTTGGATGTCATTATATATATTATTTTAGAAATAAAATTTTGAAAGAAATTGCCAACGAAAACCTACCATTTAAAACCAATTGGGAGAGGTTAGCCTCTCCAAAGTAACCAATTGGGTGAGATGGCCTCAGTCAGTGAAAATCAGTGCTCATACGTTCGAACAACCTCTCCCCATAAAATAAAATATTTAAGTATAGACATATGCAAATGGTATTTCAATGGTAACAGCATCTCCGGTGAATAATAATTAATAAATACTGGAGATGTTCTTAATGCATAATAGGTAGGATGTGCACATGAGACACCTGTGAGGAGCAAATTCGGGATCTTGCACTGACTAAAGCTAAACTCCTAAAGGATAGAGGCAAGAATTCACTTTTGCTAATACAGTGTCTTAGCGCAGGGGTAAAACAAAACGATCAAGGCCGTTGATTTATTATTGTGCTCCCTCCAAGATGTCGGTTCATGTATTGTTTCAGTGCAGCGCGATGTAGCTAATGTGGTTTGGAGGGGGAAACAGGAAACGATGGCCAATCTAAGTGGATTAACAGCCTTGTGTTGAGAATATTTCTGTAATTATATGATTTATTTATTTCCAATGCAAGATTGTAAGGACTACTCGAAGGGTGCAAGCACTGACATGCCCTGATAGAAGCTTGGTACACTTTGGGCCGAGGAACTTTGTTTTATTCATTCTACGAAAAATCCCCCTCAAAAACAGAAGATTCTGTTTTTTTTTTTTTTCCAAATTAATACAATTGTGGGGACGGAGAGTGGAGATTGACAACTGGGCGTGCACGACCCAAACTGCACGTCACCACGCGTTCCTTTCCTTAATCCCCCATGACAAATCACAAATGGATAAAGCATATATGCAGCGATACACGCCCATCATGTCATCCATAAGTCATCACCATCACTCTTTTAAGCTAATTTTAAGATATTGCCCCTTATATTTCAAAATACGAATACGAAAACGGAGTTTATTTGTCGTATGTTGCAAACGAGATACGGCCTCACCAACTTCCACAACCAACCAATCGGCTTCGGTGCTCGTAAGACCGAATTCATACCCGGATCTGTTCAACAGATCCTAATTATATTCCTTCGCACACTCCCTTACAAGTTACAACCTTGGATTGAGAATATCAAGCATACAAGTAAAGAAATATTCCGTGGCTTTAAAAGCTATACGAACGGTATGAACATGATGTTTGTAAGCATTCAAGCTGATCTCAATGATGATCCCATTGCCTTCTTTGGATGAATCAAGGGTGGGCCCCTATCAAATATATTTATTGGTTTAGGTTTGCCCATGGCATGGGCCATGAGGTGGGTGGGTAGAAATAGAACGTATCAACGTTGACTAATAAGACCAGACTAGTTTTGATGTTTCGTATTCAACTGCTGCTGCCTGTTTGTTTCCTTTTCGTCAAGACTCAAGCGGATGTTATTGATCCAGAATCCTCTATACCACCACGTCAGCCTGTACTGGCTAGTGGTTTCATGTCTACGTCTTTACCCCTTAACGAAGCTGACGCAGCTCTGACCCGCCAGAGTATTAATCTATATCTATACGGTTCTTCTTCTTCACACTCGTCTCCTCTGCGGTTGCAATTGAGGATGCCGATGGCACGTCCGTAATTTGGTAGCTGCAACTGTCCATTACGGATTTGCTAATAAAAAACCGTCTGTGCAATTGCAACTGTGGAACGATTTCTTCTTTCTCTTAATTGCAATTTTTAGGGAAAATTTTCGATTAGTACTCTGTATTTTAGTTCGAGTGATAATTTCGTCTTCGAACTTTAAAATGATATATAAATAATAATTTAATATCTATAATTATTCAGCCATTAAATAATATATGAAAAAACACAAATATCATTTAAATACTATATAATTTTCCTTATCAACCATCCACTAAAATCAAAACCAACCATTCGTTTCTTTTCAAAGAATATGGACCACACCTCACTCCTCAGACTATTTACCACAGACAGCTGATTCCCAGACTCATCTTTTGAAAACAATGTTGGCATTCCAGGCATTGAGCCTGGCCATTATATAAGAAAGTTTTTGGAAGTGTTTCTGAAGTTCATGGACAACTTCTAGAGTCTGTAAAAGATAGCCATCAGCATTGAAGATGATGAAGTAGAAAAAGGACAAGTAATACTTAGATATATAATGATGTCAGAATCTTATGTATGTGGAAATGCAACTGAATAAACCAAAAAAGAGAATTCATGGACACATTTCACATTGACAAGTTAAACTTACAGCTTTTTACAATGAATCATAAGTTGTGTAAATTGGAATAATGCAAACACCAGCATACCATAGTGCCATGAATTCCCTCAACAGGCAAGAATGATCCGTCGAGAGGGAGGGGGGGGGGATCCGTCAGGAACTCATCAAACGATGAACCATTATAAACGTGTCTATTTTTTGGCAAGAACGTCAATGATTCTATCCTCTCGTATCTCCCTTCCCCATCTGCCATGGACACTGAACCCACTACCGCAGTCTCCGTCATGGCTACCATTGTCCCTTCGGGCCACACCTCCTCCGGCGCTATTAGAACCAACTGATGAGTAACTTGGTTGTAGTGTGAATTTTTCCTGATTAATTTACTATATTCACACTGCATTTGGGTATTTGTGACGGAGAACCTGAATTATGTTTCATATTCTGAAAAAGAAAATAAAGAATAATGGTGTTTTAATTTTTTAAGGGTAATTTTAACATTTTCAAAAGTCTTAAATAAATATATATATATATATATCTAATTATTCATTAACGATAGATATTAGATTATTACACTTGGAATGCTAAATCGTTGCATTCTAAATTATGAGGACTAAATTGTCACTCAAACCAAAGTATTCATCGGTGATTTTCCCTTTTTTATTCATTTATAACGTCTGTCTCGTATATGTCACTACAGACTGGCATCCAGTGCGGACACAAATATTGTTGGGACGGTTTTTTTCCTTGGAGGAGACCCCAACTCAATTTGATTGATATAAATCCACATTCGAATTCGTCGCTTGAAGCCACGTGGTACACGAGTCAGAAGAAGACGAAAGACACGTTTCGCTTTTTGATGCGGGAAGGGGAAGTGGATCAGTGCCCAGTGGTGGATTCGATACAGAAAAGAGTATGAGAGAGAGAGAGGGAGAAATGTAGGCGTGTGGGTCCCGTTTGATCTGGTCGCCGCGTTTCGCTGCAGTTTTCATGATGGCGTGTGAAGAGATTAAATTAAAAAAAAAAAAAACGGTTGAGATCGGTCGATCAAGAAAGACGTCAGACGTCCACGTCCTATGATCCTATCCAAAACGTTACTGTGGGACCCGCACCCACCAGAATGTTCTAACTTCTAAATTATCCCATTCGCACGCAGCAAGAGCGAGAATTTATGTTTTTATTGCTATTAAAAAAATTGTAGTGTCAAATGTCAACAATATCTCGAATGTCATGTTTTGCAGTTAATTAGTCAAAAATGTTTAATTAATAATAGTAACTGATCAGTTGAATGCGTCATACATGGCGCATATATGTGATTCGATGTCCAGCTAATCTGCCTAATCAGCTATCCCTGACCTGTAACTCGCATGGTATCGCCGCGTGGACCCAGTCCGAGTTCCAGCTATCATTCAGGTCATAATGCAGATCCCTTCCAATTTTTCCACTCTCCAAATGAATGAATCGGGTTCGACTATGATATAGAAAAGATATGATATCGGAAAAATGTCTGATCAATTAACGGAAATCATAAACGCTTAATCAATCAGGTGTTATTTATCAAAATTTATGGATGGATTTTAATTGGTCAAAACTCTTTTCATACCATATCTTTTTTTCATAATTATCAGTATGATCTCACACCGCACATCTCATACATAGCAGATCCCATCATCCCCCTTTTATAGTGGGTCCCAGTTTCATGGTAAGATATGCATGTTAGACTAAATTGGTAGAAGGTTGGAACGTGTTTTGTGGGCAGAGCACAAATCAACCGTTAGAGGTGAGCAAGAAAAATGGAAAAATTGACCAAAACCAAATAAAAATTCTAGTTAACCAAACAGGTCGGTTCAATTTTGGTTTGGTATTTAAAAAAAAATTGAAGATACCGGTTTGGTTTTAGTTAACAAATTTATAAAACTAGCGGTTAACCAAACTAACCGATATTCATATATTTTATCTATATTTATGTATAATATATAATATACTATTTATTATTTAAAATATAATATTTTATAAATATTTCTATCTTTATAATATATTGTAAATATAAAAAATAAAAAAAACCAACAGCTAACCGATTGGCTTTGGTTCAGTTTTAATTACCAATTTTCTAGAAATCAATAATACCAGTTCAATTTAAAAAATAGGCCCATGATTCAATTAACCAAACCTTATCAGATGATTGAGGATTAGGGTGTTCATTGGATTCTGTTTGGTTCAGTTAGAAAATGAAACATAGCCTATATTTTTCACTTAGACCATTTTAATAAATTGAACCAAACAAAACTAAGCATTAGAATCGAGCTAAATCGAATTCAATCACTATATAATACTGATTATGAGCATCCGAATTTCTTGATTCGGTTGATAAGTTTTGTTAAATTGAACAAAACATCGAAAAGTGAAATTAAAAAAAAAAAAAAACAAACAAACAAACCGAACAAAGCAAAGCGAATTAACTTACTTGATATGGCTTGGTTTGATTATCAATTCTATAACCAAATATGAACACCCCTATGAAGGTGTAGGACTGTTAATGGATTTCAAAAGTTCAGACTCCAAATTTGATTATCCCATATTTGAATGTTACAATTTACATTCAATTAATAATCAGATCAGATGTGAATTTAATCCCATTAGATCCGATTAAAATTTTAACCCAATAAAAATTTAATAATTGATAAACTTAACATTCTATACATTTATTATACAGGTATCAGTTAAAAATAAGTAATTTTTTATATATTTTTTTTTTCTTTATCGTTTTGAACAGAATAAATGGGATACAGATTGAATCCGAATCTGATCTAAATCCAACTTTGGATCCAAAGATTTGGTAATCAGATTAAATGTGGATGCAGTTGAATAATCACATCTGGTTACAGCTCTAATCTCATGCATCATCGTGATCACTTAGGGGATGTTTGGAACCGTGGCCGTTTTTCAAGAAAGCGGTGTCACGTTGGATCCACATAGGCATTTCAACAAACGCCTATGTATCTCGTTGTTTGGTTCAGCCGATTATTAAAAAATTGGGCATGCCTCCAAAATCAGGACCCCATTGATGCATGAAATGCCAATGAACCGTTTCCCCCAACGGTTGACTGATGTGTATCCTATGTAGTGATTACCTATCAGCACATACATAAAAAACGGTAGAAGCATAGTATTACTCACAGCATAGTATTACTCACTGCCTACCTGGTAGAAGCATTTTTTTGTGAAAAATGAATCTCGAAAGCATATGCGTTTTTTCTTGAAAATCAGTCTCCAAAAGTGTCCACCACATGTTAAGATATAAATGGTTGGTGGCATTTAGCTGTTTTCACTATGTTGCTATGGGGAAGCCACTGAAAGAGAAGCTTGATGGGAAAGTCATGTTTTAGGCTTTTAAGACAGTTATTTTGGGCTTTTAGGGATTTTCATTAAACATGGTTTACAGACTGTCTGGATGGGGCCCATTTGTAAAGCCAGAAGCCAAAACCCTCATATGGACCTTGTAACTAAATCCAATAAATATCCTTTTCTATTTTTTTTCTCATTTTCACCGATATTTTTCCATTGAAGTTATTCTTATTCTTTAGAGAGAGTATATGTGTGTGTTTTCATAGCACATAGGCTACTCAAATTATTCATGGCAACATGGAGCTCGGATCTACTAAATTACTGCCCACAAAGAAATACCCACACCCTACCTACTACATGTAAAAGAGAGGCCTGAGTAGGGGAAGGGAGAAAGGAGAGAGAATTAATGAGAAGTAGAAAAGGGTTAAGAGAGAAAGGAGAGAGAGTTGAATGAAAAAGTAGGGAAGTGATTGTGATAGAGTTATGGGTGTTCAAATTCAGCTACCAAACAGAATAAGCAGATTTGGTTTGATTTATATGATTTTCAGTCAATTTGGTTTTAATCTTTACAAAAATTCGATTTTCAATTTACTGTTTGCTTTGAAAAAATCAAGCAAATCGAACCAATAACCGAATAGACTGATATATTTATTAATGTAATATATAAATTTATTAATTTGTCGGTCTTGTTAATGGGTTGATTGGTTAGAATGCCTAAACCAAAATGTCGATTAGGTTTTTGGTTCTAACAGTACCGAACTGAACCGAATTGATTGAATGAACACCCCTAAACAGGGTAGGATGCACGTGAGGTCTCTTATTGTGAGAGTCTGCAGTTACACGGGTTTGATCCTGTTCCTCCATATTTAGACTTTGGAGGGACACCATGTGACCATGTGACTCTCAGTTACTGGGTTATTGACTTTTGACTTTCAAATTAGGAGTATATTACGTGAAATTTTATATATATACACACATACACACACTAATCGGTTCAGTTCAATTTTTCGATTTTTTATGAACACCCCTAATTAGAGGACATCACACCCAAAGTTACAACAAAAAATGAATGTATCCCAACAATTTAGCTTGGAAGTAGTAAGTTCATGAGTTGAGCATGCCATGTGTAGTTTGGGCCTTTGGGGTCGTTCCCATTTAACTCAAGATCCTTTGAGATTTGATAGGATCCCACAAAAGCACCCCATTTGTGTAGACAAGTTTTTAAGTCAAAAAAGAACGGTGGTAAGCACATAAGCTTCTTGTGTTTGTGTAATTGTGTTTATATTTGTTTGTTTTTCTTATGAACTCCTCCTAATCAACTAGTAGCATATTATTAACCAATTCCTATATGGGATGTCTCTCATCCAATAAACTGTTCTCCTACACCCATAATTTTTATGGTATAAACACTACAAATAAGAAGTTTTAACCTTCGGTCTTCGGGTTAAATTGCAACTGATCCACCATCACACCTTGCTTCAATTACTACTAGGAGTGAGTCTTTTTCCCTTTTCCATGTCAGTGTCTTGGTTTGAACAATTTCATTTAGCCAGACAGTAGAAGAATCTTTCCCGATTAGATCGTAGAGGATTCACTACTAAGAGGAAATCCAAGATCTCCAGAATTATTTGACCACGGAGCTGCTGCAACTTGTGCAGGCATGACCTAGCTTGACCCAAGTTTTGCACAAATTGGGCTTAAATTCTCATGCTCTAAATGGACCCGGGCCTGTTGGGTAATGTCAGGTTTAGTTCGAGTTGAGCTTGGCTTGGCATATTCGGGCTTTGACCTAGAGTTCACATCTCCGCCCCATAGCATATCCCTGCTGTGTATTGAGAACATCTCCCGATGATAATATCATACACGGCGGTGATGTGCTGTGGGGCGTTGTGGGGTGGCTCCTTGTGGGGCGGAGATGTGATCTCAAGGTCTAGGTCTTAAGGTGGACCCCGCATAACCCTAAGCCCGACCAACTGCACAGGTTGTGTTGCACCCCAACGGCCCTACCTGACTATTGTACGTTGGCCCAATGGCTACTTCAATAAACTTGGATCTTAATGACTCGACTTGAGGGCTGGTTTTAATGGAGTAACCTTGAAACTTGGCAGGTGAAAGCGGGCTAATACATGATAACCGGTATAGAAAGTGTGCAGTTCTATGGACATAATGTGCAATTATGTAGACCAGGAAAAAGATCTGAGATTTGACTGTGTTAGCCGAATATCAGAGTGGACAAGCCAATGGACAAACCATAACAATGGAGAGAGAGAGAGAGAGAGAGATTCTTCCCCTGAAAAGATTTGATCTATGATCTATCATATACAGATACATGGGTAACAAAGAAAAACAAAACAACTAAACACGGTATATCATCCCCACCTCAAGAGTTGAGACATGGGGAATGTTAAGTGCATAAGTAGGACCCCTGCAGTTTCTCCTAAGGAAATCATAACCAACATCTATGACCAGCTTTTTTATTAGACTTGACCCCCGCTTTGCCCTCACGTAGGAATGTCCAAGGATGAATGCCATTCCTGCCTCTCTCGCTTCCATCAGTTCTCGCAGCTCTTCTCGCGTGCTCGTGTCAATCTTTGGGCTCTCAGGCACCACAAACCTCACTCTTTTCTTTGGCCTCACCGGCGATTGTATCTCCCTCAGCTCTGATGGGCCTGCAATTTCAGCAAAATCTCCATCATCTTCACACATCCGCACCCCTTCTAAATGCGTTGAAGACGTGCCAACAACTGTCATTTTTTCATCATCCTTCTCCAAATCTACTAGTCCTCCATTGGGTTCGGCTTTCTCTGAACGGATGAACTCTGCTATACTACAAACAAGATCCTTCTCGAACTCCAAGTCATCCTTCTGCACGTCACGATACCCATAACGTACAATACACCTATAAAGTCTGTACTCTTTTGGGCCAATACGTCCAACAAGGAAACGTTCCTCAGGTCGAACATATGGCACAGGGACAGACTTGATGCAGAGGAAGACTAGTACCTGGTGGAAGGCTGGGAGGTTAGTGACAAAGTGAGAGAAAATGGCTGGGATCCCAGAGACAAGACCAGTGTTAATGAGCCCAATGCCTCGTACGCGCACAATTCCCAAGCTGGGACCCAAGCTCAGGAGCCAATTTATTGAAACCTTGTTTTGGACATCATACTCGTACTTCTTGATTGTGCCATAGTGCCAGACATACATGACAATCAAAAAGATGAAGGCAAGAGCAATGGGGACCCATGCCCCTTCCAGGAATTTTATGAGGGAGGCTGAGAAGTAGAGAGCCTCGATTGTGCCAAAGAAGAATATGAAGGAAACAGCTAGGAACAAACTTCGATGCCAGCAGAGAACTATAACTAGGGACATCAAGCAGGTGGTGACTAGCATGACTGTTATGACTGCCAAACCTGTTCAAGAGGCAACAGTAAGGAGTACATCAGCAATAAACACTAGTACAGTAGTATGCGAATCAAGAAAAACTTGGACCTTCCTTTGATATGTAGATTGTAGATTGTAGATTGTAGACTACCCCTATTGTTCCTTGTATTGCATACACCTTTAGTTGTCAAATGGACTCCAAAAAGGAAGTTACTGCTTGAGATTGATCATCCAAAGAACAACTTTGTCTTCCTATTGAAACCCACATCAGGGGAAATGATTGGGGATAAAGACTAATACCACTAAACCATCCAAATGATGGGCATACCTGCTGCATTTCCCATTCGCTTTGTGTCTCTGAATCCAACTGTAACTGCCAAACATAGCAGCATTAAAATCCAGTTGATCTCGGGGATGTAAATCTGGCCATGCATTTTAGATGATGTGTGAACTATTTTCACTCTTGGGAAGCAGCTCAAAGCGGAGCATTGTTTAATTATTGAGAAAGTCCCAGTGATGACGGCTTGGCTTCCCACAACTGCTGCAAGTATGGCTATCGCAAGGACTGGCCATCTTATTTCCTCTGACCCATCAAAACTTTCTATCAGCCACAACTAGGAGGTTCATTTGAATTTTAATTACTAAAATACATGGCATGAAAATTACCAGGAACTGATACATAGAATCCAATATGGTAGTCATTTTCAATAATGTGATGCTTGGACAGATAAGCAGCTTGTCCCATATATGCCAATATCAAGGATGGATAAACCACAGAGGTGAAAGCAATCTGCAGATAGGCCAGAATCAATTAGAGAGAGAGCTTCAATGTCTCATATCAAAGCAAAAGATAATTGAGTTGTTCAGAGATTACCAAGAGGTCCAGAACCCAGCCAGCCTGGGCCCATGTAAACCTGCATGTTTCTGGCATGGGGTGCAGGCCAGGTTGGACCCGGTTTAGCACCTTATCATAAAGTTTACAGATTGAGTGGGTGGCTGGGATTCCGGGCCTATTTGCCTATATTAAATATGGCACTAAGCAGAACAGTTCAAGCCCATAAATTTGTGGGGCTGGGGGGAGGGGGGGTGATCACACCTAAGACTCAGTTAGAAATAGGCAAGTGGAGAGAGGTGAATTTCCCCAGGTTTATTTTTACCCTGTTAATTGTATTATTGAAATAAAAATTGTTTAAAGTGCTCTACAACTTCCAGTCTTCCACTTGTAATAAATTGGCAAATTCCCAGGTCACACATGGGTCTTGAACATGTGTTTCTATTGTACGTGCAGGTTGTGCACAGCAAGTGTGTATAGCAGATCCAGACTCCCAAAAGGATTCCATGTCTATACCCTTTCGACCTATTTAAAGGAAAAGTTATAGGCAAAAAGACCTAGCCACAGGTCTAAAACAACCCTTTCATCCGGGAAGTTTTAAATTAAAAAGGACTGCATACACTCTCCTGATGCACATGGACAATCCACAGGGTTCCCCTATTGAATGGATGGTTTAAGTTGGTCACAAAATCTTTACTTGACCCTATTAGGAAACCTTGTATGGTGAGTGAGTTTTCTAGCTGGGTTATTTGTGAGCTTCCCTAAATGACCAAGGAATTTTACATGTGGAAAATTATTATGGGGCAAAACAGTGTTCTGATTACCAATAATAAGAAGAAACAAAAGAGGAGTGCTCTGATTACCAATTTGGCCTAAAAGATCTTACTTAAGTTGCCATCTGTATTATACACAGCTTCTAAATAAAAAAAAAAAAAAGATTAGAAGGCTATTAATAATAATAATAATAAATGTGATCTAAAGTTGAAGAGGACTGATGTGGATTGCAGATTCAGAAGGTTCTGAATCTGATGAATGGCATGGGTTGGTCATAAAATTCTTCCATGTGGCTAAAATGGGGTATCCCATTACAGGTACTTCTTTGCACCAGTAAAAAAGGGGGTATCCTATTAGCATGAATGAAATGAAATTATACTGTACCTGTTCTAAAAAAGGGGGTATCCTATTAGCATGAATGAAATGAAATTATACTGTGCCTGTTCAAAAAAAGGGGGGGGGGTATCCTATTACAAGTGCTTTTTTTTAAAGACGTTACTATGCCAAGACAAAATATGAAATTTAGCATGGAAAAAATTACTCATAAAGAGCAAATAAAATGACAAAGCAATTCTTGAGGAGCAGTTAAATAGAAGAAATATAAAGCATTCCATTGCACACACAAGCACATAGTAATTCTCATTCAACTCCTGTTACCTGATAGCTGTTGTAGTCATCAGCATTAATCGCATGGGAGAGAGAGAGAGAGAGAGAGAGAGAGAGAGACGTCAAATAGGAAATGTAAATAGACCCTATAGATTTAGATGGAAGTACATGAAGTTGAACTCTCCTTTTTATATAAGGTAATATACTCAATTCAATCAAGATTGATGGTCCAAACAAAGTTTTTAATACATTCATCAGCATAGAACAAAAAGAAATGGAAAAGAATGTTTGAAAAGTTTTTCCAGTAAAAAAATTCAAATGTCAATATCAAATGAATGGAGAGAACGTTAAATGAGAGGAGCATAAAAATGTCATGACAAGAAATAACACAAAGGTGAGCAGACCATCCAAAATAATAATAGAAGATTGACAACAACCAATCACCAAATTACTATACCAAGGACAGTTTCCATTAATACATATAGACACCATGTACCTTGATTGATAACTGGGAAAAGTGTCCAAGATCAGCAAACATAGCTTCTGAACCTGCAAGAAGTGAAATGAGCATTAGAAAAATGCATTCTCATGGGTGGCATGAAAAATGTATAGTCAATAGCATACTAATATACCTGTAATACATAACAGGATTCCACCTAAGGACATCCAACCCCTCCTTTGGGTTTTCTTCAAAAACTTGTACATGTAATAAGGAGATAGTGCTTGATACACGTAAGGATTCCAGTGGAAGATATTATATACACCAATCACACTGATGCATAAGAGCCATGTTATAATGATTGGTGCAAACAGGAACCCTACCCTGTGAGTGCCATAATGTTGGAGGGCAAACAAACACACCAGTATGACACAGGCAACTGGAACCTCTACATCTGAAAATTTGCAGAAATTGAAAATTAGGAAAATTGAAATCAAACCATGAAATACACTATTTGGTCATATGCACTAACATAGTACGGAATGAACAGGGTAATAGATATATGGATTAAATTACAATAACGATCTTGGCATGTCATGAAATAGGTAAAAGGATTATATAGGGACATTTGGATTTAACCTTAACTGCTTTCAAAAGGCAGAATACTGCTTGTTTGCAGTATTAATCATGGCAGGTTCCAAATTTTGATGAAGTCAAGACACCAGGTGATTGCCTAATGAATTAGGTGAATAAGAATAGGTGTAATATTCATCATATCCAATAAGTACAGTATATATCTTCAATTATGATTTTTTTTGATAAATATGCTTATTTCTTCAAATTTTTTGTGAAGTATGTTTATTCTTCAATTATTATATTAACTAGTCATCAAATTGGCTACACTAACAGCTTTCTAATGTACCCAATATGAGGACCATAGTGAAGTGCTGGTAAACTGAAATTACACAAATAGAAATGGTCAACGAGCTGGCAGATTAGTGCAGACCAACCTAAAGTTGGTTAGGTAATGATACTGCTTTCCTGACACACATGCTCAGATAAGCATATATATATGAAAAGGGGCCATAACTTGGCGTGATGGTAAAACTCAGGCTGACAAGTGTGGGAACGCAGGTTCAAGTTAGAGATCAGACACTCTGTGCACAAAATACCAATGGTTAGGTCTATGTCCAGTCCACCCCTCCAAATGCCCCAGATAGTTTGGACAATTGTGTAATAACCACATAATATAAAAGTAGACACTCAAAACATAGTTTTAATTGAGTTATCTTGTAATGACCACATAATATAAAAGTCCACCATTCTAATTTTGCAGTTCTTAATGGATTAGTTTTGTAAGGCAAAGTTTCAAAATAAACCATCCTAAATGACATAAAGGATGTTATGTGCATCAAAATAAAATTATTAGCAAGGTTTAAACCCTTAAACAACCACCCTGCAAGTTACTAGATGATATGACACTGTTTTCAAATTGGAATAGGCTTGTAATCAAATAAAAGCTGACCCCTAAGAAAAGAAAAAAATAACAGTAACAAAGATACTGGTTATATTCTAAGACGGTTGAAAAAGAATGGAAGAACAAAGGGTGATTATTAAATAGAAATTTAACACTTGAGCAAAGGCCATACTTTGCAAGGATATGGAAGCACAACAGAGAGCCCAAGACAATTTCTTTAGGTGCATGTATGTAACTCATTGGCACTTCCACATTAGATGCATATTACTAAACAATACAATGCAAATTACCAAACATGGTGGTGTCTCAAGTGAACCTGAGAATGCTAAATGTCTGAAGTTTGTTATTTTGGAATGCAGTCACAATTAAACAGGTGGGTGGAATTTTACATAGTGTTGTTACAAGAAAAGAAAAGAAAAAGAAAGTGCTACAGAAAAGAGATCCAGAAGGAGAGGCAATCGCTATGGTCATTCTCTGCATTTGTTAGTTTGATGACTTTACTCTGGAGTGGGCTGTCTAATCATAGAAGAGTTGTTGAAGAGGCTTTGAAACGAAGTGTGGCATTGGTGACTCATCCTAAGACAAGTGGTTTCAGAAGGTTGAGAAAAAACAAGAATTTTGCACAGTAGAAAATGTAAAAGTAACAGCAACTAAAGAAGATATTGAAAGTAGTGCCCCCCCAAAAAAGAAGATATTGACAAAAATCCAAATGATGCAAGTATCCATCACCACCTCTTCATGATAAAGGGTATACATATTATGGTTTTTAATTTTCCATGTATGACTTTTTTATCAGACAAATTGTTACATATTGGTTTTCCAGATGTTTAGAGAGTGGTTCTTGAACCCTTTGCAAGAATTAGTTAAGTCACACAACCCAAGCCAGAGAGTGCAGTTGAGACAGGTACTAATCAATATGATGGCAATGCATACAAAACCTATGAAAGAATTACCTACCAAAATGTCAGTAATACTCTTAAAGGGCCATTATCCAATATGCCCACTCTCAGACTCAAAAAAACCCTCCTCACACTTGTCAGGTAAAGATTTTATGGTTGCACTAATAAATGGCCCTTGTAACTTGCACAATACATATATAATGTATGTAATAAAGCATGTTCTTACTTCTTAATATCATGATAGTGGGGATACCATACTATTACTGAAAATGTAACATATATGCAGGAATAAGCATCTGGGTGAAATGGATCAACTTTACATTTAGTAACCTAGAAAAGTTTGCAATTATAATGTTGAAACCATAATGCATTCAGATGCACACACAAGGAAAAAAGTAAATTTGTGCTGTATGATGCTGGACAGCTCATGCTTGTCTACCACAAGTTTGAGGCCAGAACAAAAACAAAACAGGAAAAAAAAAAAAGTCCTTATCATCAAAAGACCACCGAGAAATCCAAGTCCTATGGGCCACATTTTGTTGAACTATAATGGAATGGTTAGAATTGCATCATCAAATGGTGTGCTCCTATAGAAATAAGCCAACATGAAAATGATCCAGGACATGAACGTACAGGAAAATATACAAAGGTAGCAAAAGGGATGACAGCTATGACAAATATGTTAACCATAAATATGACAGGAGTGCCTAATGATGATCACAAGGAAATGAATAACATAATCAAGGAGATAATGCACCGGCTTCAACCATGACATTACGTAGGCAGAGATCAATCATGATCAGTAATATAAGATTTAGTGATCATGACAGTATGTAGGCAGGGGCTAATTGGTATATAAAATCTGTAGTAAAAGGCATACATCAATAAAAGAAAAAATATATATTTATCAAAAAAAATCCATCAAAAAATACGCATACATTAATATTGACCACCCCAGGGTTATGGCATCTACCATGTGGCTTAGCTTGGACCAGATTATTTCCCTTTGAAGGGAACCAGAGGAACCACTTTTTTCAACCTAATATTTTCCATTCCTCAGCTAATCAAACAGAACAGGAGAATAGGCATGCTATATTGGAATCTATAAAGTCGCTTCTCTTTGCTGTTATTAATAAATGAAAAAAAAAAAAGAGGAACAGAGAGTTTTAACTCCGAGAAATTAGCTCTACATGCTTCAAGCAATCAATCAAGGATTGTTACAAATTTTTATTTATGCAATGTCAATAAGCTAAGACCTCTTTATCTAAACTATCTCCATCCTCCATTGTCCCCACCGGTGGAATGGTTGCTGTGGAATGAATCCTTTTAATTATAGTACAACAGATTTTGGAATGAAAAATGACTAGGAGGTGAAGACAGTAATAGCACTTCAAGTAAGCTGCAAACGATCATTAACCTAACTAAACTAGAGGACCTAACGGATTGGAGGATATTTTATGCTACATTACAGACAAATTTTACAGTTTCTGATCTATGTAAATTCTGTATCAATCCCATTAAAACTCGACCGAGTAATAGAGTGGTAATTTTTCAAAACAATAGATTTTGTACTTTCCGACAACTAAACCTGTCCAACTGAGGACAGACAAGACTTTTGGAGTGTTCTTGGTTTCTGGAATAGTGCATTTCTGTATATGTTGCCTCTCTAGCTGCTAATTGATGGCTGCCTAAGTTACCGTCTTCCCAGTTAAGCATTAACCATTAGAAGGGGAAGTTGTCATCTTCTTCAAAGATAAAACCTGACTTAGTTCCTTGCACTAGAAAAGAAGCTCTATTGCCTACGCCAACACTAAAATCTACTTGAGCCAAGAAAGGGCTGCTACCTTCCCTTCTCAAAGAGTCAAAGGTGATTGTAGTAACAGAAAATCCAAGAAAGTTCCTTGATCTTACATTTATGCTGCTCCTTGGACATGGAAAGCTCAAGACCCGACACCGCAGAAAAGACTGCAAAGACCACAATCAGATATCCCTCAGGTGAGTTCTCAATTTCAAAACTTAGACGAAATCAACCCACAATAAAGGAATTGTAGGTACCAGAAATTGCAGGAGTGAGGACCCCATCACCAATGACCATGCATGTTCCAATCAAAGCCAGGAAAAGCAGCACTCTCTTCCACACCTTATGCTTCTCTAAGATGGGTTTTAACCTGCCGGGGGTATCAATGCCATCCTTCTTGTACGTCGATAGCTCCTCATCTGCAACCTGGCAATTGGGCAGGAAGCTCACCCTGGCGTGCCGGCACAGCAACGAATACAGCGCAAAAGTTCCGCCTTCGCCATTATCGTCTGCTCGAAGCACGATGAATACATATTTGAGCAGCGGTACCAGCGTTAGCGTCCAGAACACAAAGGACAACACCCCATAAATCTCCTCGTTGGTCTCTGAGTGTTGAATATCCTCTGCAAATGTACTCTTGTAAACGTAAAGAGGAGAAGTACTCAAATCCCCATATACAACGCCCAAGCTCTGATAAGCCAGAGTGAAAACCGTCGCCCATGATTGCTTCTGCTGCAACCACAACAAACAACAACAACAATACTTCCATCAAAAACACGCTCTACAGCACCTCACCTCAGTAGCGCGTATTAGAAAATATCCATCTCACCTTGACAGGACTCCCGTAAATACCACCTTCCAAATCCATGACGGGCTAACTCAAACTCCAAGAAAACCCATTTTCTCCATAACTTGAAGAGATTCCGAGAAAAAAAAATCCGGATAAATAAACGACCTTCTCAAGAAGAAATTAAGAACTTTGCAGTAACTGGAGAGAAAAACAAATTTTAAAAATGATATAGGGAACTCAGATTATAATTTTAGGAGTACAAAAAGCAGATGAACAACCATCAATGGCGGCACCTGAAGAACAAAGACGAGACTCCAGAAGCAAACACAGAAGAGAGTTTTGAAGCGTGGAGACTGGAGAGGGTGGTTGGAATTGAAGCAGACGATTATATGTTTCCCAATTCTCGCTTCACTCCTCAGTCTTCACTTGTTCAGTTCCGCTTTTCTTTTTTCTTTGCTTCTGTTAAATTTGTTCTCCTTCTCCCACTGGTTTCTTTATTTGGGTTACCTTTTCTCTGCGCCACTCCACTTGGCTCCATGAGAAAGTGGAGCAGAGAAAAAGGAAATGGAAGCAGGCAAAACGGGAACTTTTCCTTTTTTAACTTTTAACACAGTATTACGCCGGCTCTTTACTCTTGAATAAAACATGTTGAATTGTTGACTGGATTCTTTACTTTGTTTGTGGCTTGTGGTTGTGGGTGGGGAATACAAATATACAATACCAAGGCCTACGTCACCTTCACCTATCCAATCCACACCGTTGATTTGGAACACTATCGTTATCATTAGTTACTGACTGCACATTCAATCCACACCGTCCCCTCAGTCGGAATTCGGAAAGGTTGCCAAAACCAATTAGACATTTCAGGTAGAGCCTCCACCACTGGTGTTTGTGTAGTTGCGGCTTTGCGGGTAGCATCTGTGTGGAGTCGCTGCTCCCTTCAGATTCTCAGAACAAAAAGTCCGACTCTTTGAAAAATGGTTAACTGATTGCCAGTATCCATCAAAACCTAATTTCTGCAGACGTAACCTTCTGGGCTCCGTCTGAAATTGACTCCTATGTCAGAATGAATGAATATGGGGGGATGTAATGCCGAAAACTTGGCTCGGAGTCCCATCTCATGTCAGTTTAGATGCAAGGACGGACCCACCTGTACCCCAATTGCCGGACTTGTGGTAGGTTGATCACTAAGTGCTCTCAGGCTCAGCAGAAGAAGAAAACAAGAACTGGAGTCAAAGGTTTATAAGTGCATTTCGTGAAACAAAGAATTAAAGAGAGCAGTTGAGGCATGAATTGGATGTTTTAATGGGCAGAGTCGCAGAGTCAAGGTTTGTCAGTGCATCTCTTCGCTTCATTCGAATTCTGTGTAGGGTCCAAACTCCAAACAGGGGAGAAGTTTAACAGCTCACAATCCATTTCCTGATTAGTGCATTGAAGCTCAAAACCATTCAAAATTCCAATTATGAGAAGCTGAATCTCTTTGTGTTCGTTCATTTCTTTTTATATAATTGTTTCAAGTTTCATTAATATAATATAATTGTTTGTTCATTCCATGGACCCCGTTAAATCCACGAAGGAACTCAAAATCAAAAGAAACAAGAAGGTCGGCTGCTAGGCAAAGTCACCTTAATAAAGTTTATTTAAAAAAGAAGGGCAACCAATTACCTACTAATCAGTATCGATTCATGGTCATAAATGTCTGAATCAGTGATGATTTATAAAAAAAAAAAAAAAAGTAACTCTGTGACCGAATTAATCGAGTTTCTTGGACTCAACTCATTCCTACCTTATATTAACATGGTTACAATATTATAATCATTGATGTTGATGATGAGAATTAAAGTCGTTTCGCTGTTTGTTCTTTCAGATTCAGAAACTCGTTTGGGTTAAAGGAGAGAACAGAATCGTGATTGAAAGAAACATATGAAGAACAAAAACTTAATTAAAATAATAAAAAAACATAGCAAAGTCTTTTCTCTGAATTTGCACTTCTGCAATTTCATGTCTGAAAAGCTCAACTTGAATAAAGAAATCGAGAGACAGTGAGCGCAAAACCGAGAAGGTTCCAGGATGCTTACGAATTAAGTTGAGTGAAGAGGACACGTTGCTTTAACTAAGTGGGATTCCCACTGGCGAGTGATCGATCAGTCGCGTCCACGTCTCTATTTTCTGCCCTCTTTCTCAATCATACTCTTTGCCTGTGCTCTGGCTTTCAGCGAGATATGAGAATGAATCATTCGGCAACAAAATCCAGGTATCTGATCTGGATCCGATATTTTTGCGAGTGAAATATAATAAAGTAAAGAAACAGACAACTTATGTGACGACTCAATCATCCTTTTACGTCTGGCCTGGTGCATTTGCATTGGAAGATATATGTAATTTAAAAAGAAAGAAGAAAAACAAAGTCAAGAAAAAAAAAGATTCCAGATTTGCTTATACTTCTCTAACAGGTTTTCAGGTTTTGGGTATTGATGGTCGAACAGAACAGAATCGGAATGAGTGGTAGATAAAAAGAGTACTAGCGAAGAAACAACCTAGCTGAGTTTTCAGACAATTAAATTTGAACGTCAAAGTAACGCTCGGTAGCATCAAACAACTGGAGTAGTTTGAAATTCGAGCACGATAGCGCATGGAAAAGAAGCTTATAAGCTATCTTAAAATAATCTGTCTAGAAAATGAAGCTCGACGTTCAAAGTAACACTCAATTTCATCCGTTAGGGCCTCAACTTTCAATGACATATCACGCATATATCCTCAACTTTCAAAAACCAACACTCAATTCCATCCGTTACGGGACGGCTGAGCCTGTTCGCCAATCGCCAGTTGTTAAATATTAGAAGTCGGCTCAAGGTAATTTAGGTCCCGTTTGGTTCGTGGGAATAGAAGTCTAGGATCAGAATCGGAATGAATCATTCTGATTCCAACAATTTGGTTAGGTGGAATTGAAATCCCATTTTTGTTCATGATGGAATGGTCTTTCCCTCCCTTTTCCTTCATAATGAAATCAATTATACAATTGAAATCTCCCAAAGCACAAAGAGGTCCATCCTAATCCTAGCTACTAACAGTAGAAGAAATATAATAAAAAAACTGTTGGCACCCTTCAGAGCTAGGGTGCACTTAGAAACAACACAAACCATTCAGCAAAGCATGGATAATTAAGAATTTTCGCACAAATATAGTAAGTGTTATCAAATGGATGAAGCTCGGGCTTTGTTGGAAGCTCTGTCTCTAGCAACTCAGTTGTTGTTATCAAATGTGATATTTGAAGGTGATGCTGAAACCATATATAAACTCTTGTTGGTTGATCATATCGATCCAACTGTGGCAGCTTATTCATGTTTTAGCCGCTTGTAGGAGTTCTCTTCGACACCTTTCTAATTGCTTGGTGAATTGCGTTTGTCGCTCAGCCAATAAGCCTGCCCACACTGTAGCACAGAAGGGACTATCTCTGGGTCGGCCTTATACTTAGGTCTGCTTCTCCAGATTTTCTCATTCCTATTCTTGTAAGCGATTCTTCATCAAGCTAAAGTAATGAAACAGCCTACTGGCTTCTTCTCAGAAAAAAAAGAAAAATTAAATAAACAACTGAACCAAAACTAAAATTTTCGGTTCAGTTTCAATTACAACCAAATTTTCTTAATATATATAATACATTTATATTATATTGGTAATGCAAAATTTTCATCCAGAAACTGTTTCTGATGCAAATTTTGTACCACCCTTCTATGTCAATTCTCTCTTATATTAAGTGAGTATCACATCATCTTTCATTTATTTCCTATCTTACTTCACACAAATAAATAAGACAACCTCAAACTCAAATCTAAACCAAAAACAAACCGCATTTACACCATTGCAAAACAAACAATAGCCCTGAAAACTTCCTCTGAACTTTCAGTTTAACAGTGTAAAGATATTGCAAGATTCGTGATAATCAGATCTCAACTCTCTTAACTCTAAAGTGACAAAACCGAACAAATCCAAATTCTGTATTATGGATATGTCCCCATCCCGCTCGCTATCTGCTACTTGCTTGGACCATGGGTCATAGTTCATGTCTTTCTATGAAAACTTCTCTTTTTCTTTCACTGCAACCGCACTTTATAAGAGCGTGGTTCATCTTAGCCCTTGGAAAGCAAAGCTTTATTTAAAGTGAAAATTTTGCTCAAACTTTTATTATATTCAACCATTGATAATTACTCTATTTTTTGAATAATTGAAAAGACAATAGTACTCTTTGGTCAGTTAAACAAAACCCAAATTGTCATTTTTAATGATGCCCCTTCACTAAAGAAAAGAGCTGGTACTGCTGAAGAATAGATAAGAAATAGGCTGATTCCTTTTCTTTGAATATGTCCAGAAATCCAAAATCCTAAGCCATAAATAAAAGCTCTCAAAGTTTGATTGCAAGAGAAGGGTTTGACTGGACACGACACTTTTCTGAACCTGAAATTGTTCCTTAGATCACAAGTAAGAAAATAAATAGATTTTTTTTAGATAATAGCGAAGATGTTTTTGTCCGTTTAATTTTATATCCATTCAGTGAATTGACTGAAGATTAATTTTGCTTTTTTCTCAATTATTCTTTACAATTGAGATTAGGTGGTGGATGTATGAGAGAACAAATTATTTGACAAAAAACAAAACATAAAGGTGGTTGTATTGCTAGAGGAAGGAAAAAAAAAAGGGTTTAGTAAATATTAAGAAAACAGGAAATTATTTCTATGCTTTATTTTTTAGAGAGATATTCCCAATGCAAGGTTATAAAGATTGTTTAAAAGGTTTTGCATTGACTAAATCCAGTTTCATTTGTGAGATCTAACAATCAGACACCATTGACAGTTCTGCGTGACAGGATCTGCTCCTCACAAATGAGCGCCTCACACACACATCCAACATCTCCCGTGAATATTTATTAATAAGTACGAAAGATATTCCTAATAGGATGTGCGTGTGAGACACTAGTTGTAAGGAGCAGATCCTGTCTCCAGTTCTGCCATTAAATTGAACTTATATGGCCAATTCAGTGGGTCCCCTATTTCGGGAATAATCCACATCACCCACAAAATTCCTCCAAATAAAGAAAAAAGTGGGTCTATGTGGGGTATGTGGGGAAGCTAACTACTTTAGAGATGAGAATGGGACCTGACCAGCAAGTTTTCATATTTTTGCTTATTTTTCTAGGAGAAAGGGTAAGGTGGTTTCTTATTTAGGTTCCCCATCGTTCGGAAAACGATATCTGAACGACCCCAAGAATCTATTACGTGGCAAACAGTGACGGCCTAGACAAACCCATAAGCTTCTGAAACGTGTCCTATAGCTTCTACGGCTTACATCATCGCACGTTTTATGGATGGATTGGATAGCTATGCGGCACTGGCATTAAATACACAATCCTTTTTGCAGAGGCGTGTTTGAAAAGCAGTAACCAAACGAAAAAAAGAGCTTTCTCAACGATGTAGTGGTAGCCTAATAGGTGGGTTGCCAACTTGCCATTTGGAATTACCCGGTCAGACTCAAACACACGTGGTATCCTAATTGGGTGGGCCTTAAAACCCGGCCCACGGTCCATATTGGGGAATTGGGGATGGGGATCCCTTTCACTTTTCCCTTTCAGGCTTATTTATGTCGTAAGATATTCATTATCAACACATTCCCTTGACCCATCCATGCCTAAAGAAGTAAAGAGGCTTAGGTAGTGTTTGAGAACACTTCTAATAAATACTTCTTTTAAGAAGTAATTCTTTTAAGACATGGGACTATTGGTTTTTAAGTACTTATTGGTGTTTGGTAAAAAAGTGGAGCAAAAGTACTTTTTTTTTAAAGAAGTGCTTCTTTGAAAAAGTGACTTTAAATTGATTTTTTTAAAGTACTTCTCCAAAATAATCGGACGAACCAGTCCTTGACAAATTTGTATAATAACTAAAATAGCCCCGCAAGATTATACCTCCCCTTTCTCCACTCATTCAACCCTCAAACCCTAGCAGTAGCAGCAGCGCACCAGTTGCAGGTCCACCAGCGATGATTGGCGGTGAGGACCCGTGGCCGGTGGACCTACCATTTGGCTTCTTTCCTCTATGTTTTGAAGTTTTTCTTTCATTTAATCATTCCTTTTTTGTTTTTCTCTAACATGAACTCTATTCTTTGTAGATCTACTATGAAATCTACTGTTCGAACAATGACCGACGACAATAGGTTAGTTCTCTATACATAGATCTATTATCATGAAATCTATTGTTGGTTGCGTGAAATCTGAAATCCGAAACAAAGCTCAATCTCAGATCTCTGAAACATAGCTCGTAGCTCGATCTTAGATCTCTGAAACAGAGCTCGATCTCAGATCTCTAAAACAGTATAGGCACTCAACTCGCTGATATATTTTTGATGTTCGTGATATGGATTGACTGATATGTAGTGCAAATGTTTTGCTTGATCTCAGATCTCTGAAACTTCTTTTGGGGTGCATGGGTTTTCTGATTTCATCAGATGAAATGAATTTGTCAAGCCTTTATGGGAAAGGATTTATTTTACCTTGTTTAATGATCAAAATACTGCAATATTTAGATGGTTGGATAGATTTTTGGTGTTACTTGAATGTGAAACCTGTTTCCAGACGTCACACAGAAGTTTAATTAATAAGCTATCAAATCTATCATTTTGAGACCTTGCCTTGTTATAGATCAAAAGTGTATGGATGCTGGATGTGGATTTTATGCCTAGTAAGTAGATATGCAGAACTGATTCTCTTGGTCTAGATTCAAGTTTTAAGGTGAATGAGGCAGGAACGAATGGATGATCAATCATCTTTATGTTTACATCTTGATTTATTATTATTTATAATTATTATTTTTATTATTGTGATAAGTTTATTATTATTATTATTAATTGGATTAACATGGCAGCCCATGTGGGAGTTCATGTAGACTCTTAGTTGAAATGTATAATATAACATGTGAAAAATATTGTATATATATATGAGTGAAATGAGGGTTAAAATTGTCATTTGTATAAATATAAGCACTTACGGGGAAAGTAGCTTACCAAACATTCCCACCCCAATAAATACTTAAAACATAATAAGTGATTTGAAAAAGTGGGTTACCAAACAGCATAAAGGGTTATTAAAATAAGTAATTCTAACAAGTAATTAATCATCAAACAGGGCCTTAGATATTTTGCTTTGCGTCTGGGGCTATATGATGCATAATTATGGGATCAGGTCCCCAATAGTGTGCATCACACCATCCGTCCACCAGCTGTCATATAAACAAAATGAAGGGGAGTGGGGACCCATAGCCCATTTAAAACCCTTTGATCCCAGGAGAGACGTGTCAGTTCTTATTTCTTCCCAACCACTTCAAAAATCCTGCAGCAATGGAGACAGAGAGGGATGGAGATGGATTCCACCTAAGTATAGCTTATCCTCCTTGGATTAAAACCATCTAATTCCAAATTATGTATATATTTAGGTATTGACAAGGTAGTTTGAGGCTGGAAAGCCTCTTTACTTTTTATGGTCATCCATCTTCAATCCCAACAATTTCTTCTTCTTCTTTTTTTTAATTGAGAAAAGCTCTACTTTTGCAGCCTTGTCTTTTGCTTAGGATCTTGGGGCATATACAGTCACACATGCAAGCAAACAAAAAAAGAAAAAATCTTATGATTTGACTAGAGACTCCACTATTCATTTGAAGATTCTAGTTGGTACTGCTAATAAGGATCCATTGGGAGATGGATGTTCCAGTTTGCTTATTGACTAACCCCAATTTGCTTATTGTCGTTATTCAAGTCTTGTATGCCTGAAGCTCAGCCAACCTTTGATACCCAGAACAAAATCGTCATCGTTTTCTGATTTGGAAACCTGGAACTCTTGGTACCCATGATTTTAGTGCTATCAGTCTTCCTAATCTGCAACCACTGACATGAGTGCTTGTGTTAATGGGGTTGTTTGGGTACATGATGGTAATTGGGCGTGGACTTCCATTTCAGAGCTGGGACCAGTCTCCATAATTTGGGACCATTATGTAAGCACCACTGAAGACCAAGACAAATTCAAGAGCTTGACTATGGATCTTGTATGAGTGATCAGAATTCAGATAAGCCAATCCCAGATGGAGCTTATTAATGGAGCTAGTAATAATAATCCAGAGGTAAAGAAAGTATTTTTAGGCTAGAACTAGAACAGGATGGGGCTGACGATCATGATGAACATTTGTTAACCTTTTACCTCACCATGCGAAAATTAACACTAGGAAACACCAATCAGCAGCTTGGAGCCATGACAAGCACAAGCAATTAGTTGTACAGTACCTTGGTAAATGAAGAGCAAAATCTGGTTACCATAACACATGGATGATAGATGGACCTATTTGGTTTGGTCCCACCACCTCAACTGCCACATATTAAAAATGCTGATCACAACAACAATTAAATATTGTATTCAAGCAAAGGTTGAAGCCTGTGGTAATCATGGTAAATAATAAACTGTTCATCAAACTTGACTATGAGTGCAGAAAACAACAGAATGAATGAATTCAACAATAAGTTTCTTCAATAGAAAACGGATTTTCAGGCTACAAGATAATCTATCTATTATACACACAAAACAACACATGAAAATAGCATGGACAGAGAAAGTTACGTGTTTCATGGTATAATTTAGCTGTCTTGCACTCACTATAACTAAATGAGAGCTCTCCATGCGTGTAACCATAAAGCAAAAGCATTTCCCATTTAATGTGGATTCAGGGAAACATGCCAAAGAAAGGTCCTTGTAACAATTACATACTTCTCAGAGAGAGAGAGAGAGAGAGAGAGAGAGCAATGACTGTTAAAATTATCAAAATTGACAATAAAGGAGATGCAGCTAACAACATATGTTACGGTGTTCCTAAAACTACAACTACCAAGTCGCCTTTTCAATTACTTGTGGTATTGTCAGGTAAACCCAGACTTCGGCTATACCATATATGTCATCCCAACTCGCATTATATTCATGTGGGGAAGACTCATATTTGCAGCCCCCACTCTACAGTTCCTCCTTAGGAAGGCATAGAAATAATTTACAATCAGCTTCTTAAGGAACCAAGAATCCTTCCTTGCCCTCACATCCCCATGAGAAAGAAGATACGTAAATCCTGAATTCATGGCCTCTCGAAGGGCTGAAAGTTCATATTCAAGACTTGGGTCTTCATTAAATGACATGACACTAGATGGAAACAAGGATACGGGCTCCTCTGAGCTTAAAGTGTCAGTGTCCTCCATTCTTTGATCATGCATCAATGGAATCTGAAGTTCCTCGGCACCATTGACTGAGAATTCAGAGTCCCTTGACCTCAATAAAACACTGTCAAGCTCCTCATCTATGCCGTTCTCCAATGCAAGCTCCTGAGACTCTATTCTCAAAAACTTCTCAAGGCTCTCAACCAAAAGCTGTTCAAAGGCATGATGGTCTTCCTTTCTTACATCTTTATATCCATAACGGGCAATGCAGCGGAACATGTGGTAGTCCTTAGGACAGACCCTTCTGAACAGAAACCTTTCTTCTTGAGGCACGACCGGCACAGGAACATACTTGATGCATACAAACACGATTGTTGAATGAATTGCTGGAAGGCCGAGTAGAAACTGGCCAAAGACTGAAGGAATACCTTGGACCAGCTCATTGTACAATAAACCAATCCCTGGGACTCTGACAGTCCCTAGAGTGGAGCCCAATTCAAGTAGAAAGTCCATGGAGATCTTCTCCCTGACCTCACTCTGGTACTTCAGTACACTCCCATAATTCCAGGTATGCATCACACAAAGAAAACAAGAAGCAAAAGCAAGTGGAAGCCACCCTCCCTCCCTGATCTTTGTCAGGACTGCAGACAAGTAGATAAGCTCTACCATCCCAAAGACAAGTGGGAAACACAAAGCCAGGAACAAGTTGATCTGCCATATTAGAAGCATTACAAGTGTCACCAAGGCAGTGCTCACAATCATGACACCTACCTCTGCGATGCCTACAAGAAAAGCTTGTTTTGCATCAGTACACATCATTTTTTTGACAGTAACAAACACCCCATCTTTCCTGACTGAATAAAAAGGGATAACAAGGAACTTCAATGGAGAATTTATGTCACAGCCCATCATTAGAAAATACCGTATGCATTGGCTATATCTGTGGTGCTCCCAAAAGTAGCAACAACTAAAATGCACGTGATCATCAGGAACCAATTGATGATGGGGATGTAGATCTGACCCATGAGTCTCCTAGAGGTGTGAACTATCTTCAGCCTTGGGAAGCATCCAAGAGCCATTGATTGTTTGATACACGAAAATGTAGCAGAAATCATAGATTGACTGGCAATCATGGCAGCAAGTGTGGCTATCACAAGTACAGGCCAGAATAGACCATCTGTCCATCCACAACATATAGACATGAGAAAGGTTAAATTAAATGATCATGGCAGATACATTTCCCAAGAAGTTCATCTTAAAGAGTTTATAGCCAAGCTGGGCAAACATGGGTGTGCTAACAGTTCCTTGCAGTGCATACCAGGGACAGAATCATAGAATATTCGTTCTGCAGAAGATGGATATCTCATTAGATATGCAGCTTGGCCCATGTATGCCAACATAAGGCAGGGAAACACCACAAAGGAGAAGGCAATCTGTGAACACCATAGAGATTAGAAAATAAAAGCTGGAACTTCCATGGAACTTGGTGGTTCACATGAAAGTGATCATCATACACAGGTCAATTAGTGATACTCACACAAAGAATGTGGTTGGTGGGGGGATAGAGAGAGAGAGAGAGAGAGAGAGAGAGAGAGAGTTGAGGGATTGAAAATATACTTGTATAGATAAAACGGAGAAATGGCCTAGATCAGCAAACATTGCTTCAGCTCCTGCAGCAACTATCAAAATAAAAATTGTGTATCGGGAAGAGAGGAGTATTTCGTAATGATATCAATTGTCTATTCTGATTCTGATATCTACAACTGTTTACATGATTGCATAGATGGTAATATACTACAGGCTACACGCAATGGAATTGATAGCTTGGACCAATCTATGCATATGGTATTAAAACACATGAAGCAACATAGCTAGCTATCCAAGAATAAAGTCATGTATGTTTCTTTAAGGAAATGGAATAAGAGATGTGTATTCCTGGCTTGCTTCACTGAGGAGAATTCTAAAATGTCTCAGGACAGGTTTGACACTATTGAGTCTTTAAGAAATTTGTCAAAAAGAAAATGATATACCAGCTGAAGTGTTACACACTCTACATCTGCAAGCATGAGAAAGTCAGAACCATCATTTAATAGGCCTTCAAAAGGAGATAATTTTACCAGAAACCAACTCAACTGGAACTACAAAGATCTAACCATCATACATTCCTTCAATATAGCCAGAAATAGTGATTGAACAATTAACAAAAGCAGTACTGCATCAAGATGGTTATAATCATCAATGGTTTTATTAGAGAAGATGAAAGAGGAAGCTATGGAAGAAAGCTTTGTGGTACAACTGGATGTATTTAAAATTAAGAGCAGGGAATGGGTAAACGCGGAAATATAAAACAATAAAAAACATTATTTAGATTGTTGAGCATGCAAAATAGGCAAACCCCTAGGAGATTCATGGGTCAGATCTAGATCCCCATAACCAAATCATGTAAAGAGTTCTTCCAACAAAACAAGCACATAAAGCATTTGAGCAGTCCAAAAGTTAGGCATACCAGTAATGCACAAAACGCAGCCACCTAGTGCTGACCATGCTTCTGCAGTGTTCCTCTTGAAGAAGTAATATATATAAGCTGGATTGAATGCCTTGAGAACCGTAATATCATGCTTAAATAAGTTGTACATTCCAATAGATCCCAGACAAAAGAACCAAAGTGCCAGTATAGGCGCAAACATGAAACTCACTTTGCTAGTCCCAAACCTCTGTATGCTGAATAATCCCACAAGGATTACAATGGATAGGATAACCACAGCATCTGTAAGCAACATGAATCAAATTAGTCAAATTACAGGTGCATAGATACTACCCACAGGTCCCTAACTCTTGGCCTCTTGCACTCATCATGTTAATGAGAGCAATCGAATTGATGTTCCATAGCCAAAATTTTTATATCAATTGGACAGTGTTAACCTCCTAATTGTAAAAGTTCTCTTAGAAAGCTGCACTCCTGTAGTCCCTCCAAGAGAAAGTGATTGATCAGATAACTGGGTAAGTACAATTTAGGGGGTGATCATTTTCAGCCTGGCCCACACATATTTATAAATATTCTATTTGTACAATTTATATATTCTATTTGTACATATGCATATATATAAATATTATAATATGACACCTATAATACATACTAGCTAATAAGTGTTTACATGCTTTGCACATGGCAATTTATGATAATGATGATAGTAAATAATGTGTTTCCAAAATTTCTACATTTTTTATATTTCTATGTCTATAAAATACTATTCTTATTTGCCACGCTTAATTTTGTTTATGATGAGATGTGTCCAAATGTTTCCATTTTTTTTTTTTGTATTTTTATACTTTTGTGTGTTTTTATCATTTTGAATTTTTATATCCCAACTTGACACATTTGACCAGAAAGGTTGAATTTTCTATCCACCACCAAAAAGTAAAACAATTTCACTTTTGGGTTAGCTTTAAATTTTGTATTTTATTTCCATATATTTTCTATAGAGTTTCTATATTTTTTTCATATTTTTTGTATTTTTATATTTTTATTATTTAATTATGAGATCAAGGGTTGGTACATATGACCTAAAAGATTAAACTATTGACTTGCCACCAAGAAAACAATTACATTTTTTAGTCAGTTTTTAATTTTATATCTTATATCCAACATTAATAAAAAACAACTACTATTTATCACACTTATTTTTCTTTAATATGATTAATATAAAATATTAGATAAGTGCCTAAGTGCTTTTTTACAAAATTTCTGATTATCACATAATGTTTTTGTATTTTGTATTTTTTTTTTACTTTAATTATGATATCAAGGGTTGTCACATTTGACTCAAAATGTTGAATTGTTGATTTGCCACAACAACAATAATTTTTATTTTTGGACTGGTTTTAAATTTATATTTCATTCCAAAATCAATAAAAATATTATTATTTATCACACTTACTTTTCTTTAATATGATTAATATAAAACATTAGCGGTGTGCCCAATTTCCTATATTTTGTATTTATTTTTATTTGAAAAGGTCTTTTTATTTACTTATGACATCATGAATTGACCCATTTGACCCAGATTGTTGAATTGCTCACTTGACACTAGGATGGAACAACAGTTCCATTTCAGGTCAATTTTGAAAAGCATGTATTTTATATCTTTAAAAGTATTAAATATAAATCTAATTGATAGAACTTAATAGTGAAAAATAGCTTAAATATAGGATTCAATGAGAGAATGGGAGTTAATACCCTAAATATTAAATTGAGGCCAAGTTTGGGAGTGGCTTATTTGAAAAATAAGTGCTTAAAAACAAGTGCTTATTTTAATAAGAACTTATGAGCATTTGGTGAAAAAACATTTATTTTAAACAGGGATAGTATGGGTATTTTAAAATGAAGTGGCAGGCTAAGATAGGCCAAAAAAGAAATAAGCTCTTAAAAATAAGCCCCAAAAATTGGGATTCTCAAATGAGTGCTTATTCTCAGAATAAGCACTCATTTTGAGATTATTTCCTAAACGCAAATAAGTACTTATTGGTGTGGTCCCGGCCCAAAATAAGTGCTTATTTGAATAAGCACTCCCAAACTTAGCCTTAATGAGAGGAAATTGAATGAGAAGAAATATAGTAATTCAAATTACATTTTGTGCCCTCACAATTAGAGAGGAACCAAATTCAAATATTGGGGTATTTTAGTCAAACAAAAGTTCCACACTCTCATTCACACTATTAATAATATATATAAATATATATTATGGAATTTAGTATAAAATAATATATAATTCACATTTTATAAATAAAAGTCATAGGCCCAGAACCCAGCACGGGCGCAGCCCATGATCACCCCTAGTATAATTGCTTTAACCTTTTACAACAAGTATTTATCAAAAGCAATATACCAACATATTGCAGTAGATAGGAAATAGATAAAATTCCAATAACAACTACAACTTCAATTTCCACAAAAGTATACTCTAAGAAAGAGAATTATTTCTTGAAGAAAGCAATAGATTTACCTACTTGTATCAAACCCAGGAATTTGACCTTGTAGGCCACTCACTGAGGACATTACTGCAACATAAAAAGATGCACTAGTAAGATTCTAAGAAACTTGCATGGAAATAGCATTTACGTTCTTACATAATTGGTAAACATAATCATAGTATCACCCTCTTATATCAATATTATTCTGAAAAGCAATACAAATTTGTAAGGGCCAATTTGTTTGGTGTTTTGATTCAATCACCTTCTACCAGTTCAGTGGTTCAACAATAACAATCTTTGGTCTGATTTGGTGATGCAATTCACCACGGTCTAGGGAAGCACAGGAGAAAAAGATTTTTTTTTTTGGGTCTCTTTCTCATCCTATGGACAGTATTTTATCCACTATTACTTCTTTTAAATCAGCAATAGATCAAAATAGCTTACTAATACAAAAGCTAAGAAAATATAAAAATCTAGTTTCCAAGAGAAGAAAAATAAACCTTATACTTTTCACATTAATGTAAGCCAAACGGGAAAATTTTTTTTTGAGAAAAAAAGTTTCACAGATACATTCCATTAGTTGTACAGGCATAAAATGTATTCAGATCCAATACATAAAAAGCTAATTATCTTGGTAAAACCATTCAGATCCAATACACAAAATATATTGAGATCTAATTATTGAAAAAACCATTATTGACAAGTAATAGTTTCCATCACTTTATATGATTAAAAGTAATACAAAACTGAAGCATGAAAAAAAAATATGAAAGAAATATGAAATCTTATTAAATTCCTCTCAAAAAAATGAAGAAATATGCTCACCAGTAACATGAAACATACAAAGGCAAGCCATTTTACAATCAAAATAATAGTTTACTATAAAATCTAGACTAACTTGGAATAAGATATAAGATAGAATATGCAGTTTGGCAAATCTAAATGCATACAGATGCATTGTTAAGGCTGTATTTTAACAGTAAATATATTGCAGTCCTTAAAATTAATTCTACACAACCATCCCTTACAGATCAGACTACGAAGATTAATACCTCCCAAAGAAAACCAACCAAGCAAGTTCTTTTTTATTCAAGGATAATGGCATAGAATAATTATTTTCTTGTTATATGTAAGTTTTTTAATGTTTCTTAGGTTCTGGATCTGTAGTTTTATGTTATTAACCACCCTGAAGTTATATGCTTTTCCAATCTCTCCTTGATCTCTCAAAACTTCCCTAATATAGATATTTTTGAAGTAAACCATTTTCACAGGATGGTATTTCCAACAATATCTTAATTCTGGACCTTGCTGACATGCACATATGCACCACTGTGCTGGAAATCCCTTCTCTTTGTTGTATAGATGTGCATGTTCTCTGCACCCCTTCCAAGACCCTGGATAGCTGGGGCCAACATTGGGTAATGACCCCTTATGATCTCTTCACCCACAAGATACAAATATCTAGGACAGAGTGGATTACATATAGGTCAAGTATAAGAGAATAACTTTAGAAATTCAAGGTTGCATCAGAAACTTTCACTTCTCAGAAAATAGTTTTGGTTGGACTCGTGGAGAATCCTATACAATAGATTTTAATAAAAATGTATTGATTTTTTTTCAGCATTAGGATAAGAAGTAAGAATAAATAAAAAATAAACTTGGCTATAGGTTTGAAGGAATTTAGCTGCATGCAGAGAAGACCATCTACAGCACCTTAAGAAGAAGTGATCTGTTGCATGTTGAAGGAACTTTGTGTTCATTTCAGGACTCAAAAATTGACTTGAAATTCATGCATTAAAGTCCTTAAATGTAATAATTAATAATTAACCGTAGAATAGCAAAAATCATATTATAATAGCACTATATTAGTCAAAGAAAACAATAATCAAAATTAAGATTAAAAACTCAAGAAAAAATTGTAGGAAAGACAAATGAAGTCTGAAAAGAATTTTGGATAAAGAGGGTAAAACATCAAACTTCTGTTTTTGATCAAGAATTCAACAATGATCTGACAAATCGCCTTGATGGGACTAGGACCACCAATAAACTAGCAAGTAGCAAGTTAGCACTTGACCATGAATTGAGTCAGCAGCACAAAAGAAAACTGCAAACTAAAAAATAAAAGGCTGTAATTTTAAATTCCATCTACCACGTTCCACATGTTATAACTACTACACGGAGAATGGTGATCACACAAGCCATTACAGGATAGATTTATCTTCCAATTTTAGAAAGACATCAGAACCACATTATGGTAAGTTTCATTTGTAATAAAACCTAAAAACAGATGAAAAAAAAAAAAAACAAAGTTCTAATCAAAAAGAGAAACCTATTAAACAAAGGCCTCCTAGCTTTTAAATTCATGCACTCTGAATGTTGACAGAGCAAAACCCAAGAATATTTTGGTAAAGCACATAGAGCATGTAATACAGATATGGTTAATGCCAGGAAAAGCATGCGCATTTAGCATCTCAATTTTTACTTGGGCCTGGCATTCCAATATGTGAATTTAAACGCACAACAGGTAAGAATTACTTTTCCTTGGTCCATGAAGTTGGCAACAAGGAGCTTGTTTGCCACCAAAGCAAGCGTTCAGACTAGTATCAAAATTATTAAGAAGGAATGCCTAATATCAGAGTTATCAATAAAAGAATATCCAATATCAGCATTGCATAACAAGCAAAAAAAAGGAAACAGCAATATACCTGACATCGCTGGGGTTAGAATGCCATCCCCTATAATCATGGAAGTCCCCATCAGAACCAATAGCAGTAGAAGGGTCTTCAAGGAAGATCTCCTTTCCAAACCCTCCTTTATATTTAGTGCCCTTTCTAACTCGGGAGTTGGCAATTTGAGCTTAAAACTAGAGATATGTTCATCAGTCTGCTGCCTATTGGGAAGTAAACTAATATTTGCATACCTGCAAATCAATGAATATAATGCAAAAGTGCCTCCTGCAGTAGCAATCATCATTTGGTTAACAAACATGTGGTCAAACAGTTTTTTTTCCTTTTAATTCCTTGCATGGTTCATAGAATCATAATTCATAAAAATGACAAAAACAAGGCTAAGATATAACTCAGGTTTAAAAAATCATACCTTCCCCATTATCATTAGCCTTGAGAACTATGAAAACATATTTTGCAAGAGGAAGAAGAGCAATTGTGTACATCACTAGTGATAAAGCTCCCAAGACATCAACATCTGACTTTATTGGCACCTTGCTGAAAACATCACTGAAGACATATAAAGGACTTGTGCCCAAGTCACCATAGACCACACCGAGTGTTTGGAATGCCAGTGCAAGTGTGCGCCAAATGGATAGATCCTAAGCCATAAAATGTACATTTTTCATAAAAGAGTAGTAATAAATGCTCCTAACATGGCTAAACTTTCTATTACACAATCAAGCGAGAAGCAATTGTCAAAATTATTTGTTTTAACATGTGAAAGACCAAATATGACAGATATACTTGAGATGGACTTTTACTAAAATAGAAGGTTTTCATTACAATATTAATTTCATGTTGTAGTATTTTTCAGATTTATGTTGCTTCCAGATCTATGTAGTTAGACCAAAAAGGGAAAAAAGATGTTGCATTTTTTGTGTCACTCAAATCAACTTGACAAAATCTCATTCCAACCATCTGGGGCTTCTTTTTCTTATTCTTGAGTGTCGTACTACCATTACATATCAAAATAAAATGTAGCAATGTCATATCCAGGAAAGAGGCTAGACATTTATTACCTGGGCAAACCTGCTACACCAAAATGCCCTTTATTTTAGGTATTAAATACCATTATTGATTTACTTATATAAACATTAATCCATGCAAGTATTAAACATAAAAAAAAGGGTAAGTGAATAAATAGATTGACTGATAATTCGCATAAATTATAAATTATTAACACCTGAAAACAAGATAAATTACAAATCAGAATTTTATCCTAATAAACAGATCAATGTGTTCAATATGTGTCAATGCATGTCCAACATAATGATACTTGGACAAATATAAACAAGAGCTTGCTTTTAGACAATGGTATCCTTCCTAGAAGACACATTTCCAATACATCATATAAATGGTCATAACAAACATGCAATTGGTTCACAACTCTTTAATTTGTAAAAAGACTTATCACAAGCCCTGAGATCAAAATTCATGTTGACCAATTTACATGGCCACAAGTATGTATATTTAGGCTTTAGAGTATCTACCATGGCATGAATTTTCTTTTAAGTGGAGGTATCAATTGATAGTTCAAAATTATCCATGTATTCACTGTCATTTTTTTCTAATGTTAACTATTAATTTGCATTAAGAGAGAGAAAAGTAATATGCAATGCCCAACAGCTCTAAAAAAGTGAGATTGGGGAAGGAAGAGACCAAGTAAATAACAAGCAAAAAACATACAAATATATACAATAAACAATCCCTATGCTGGTAAAGAAGACCCCAAATACCGGGCACTTCCTTACATCCCCTCCAGCAAGGCCTGGTAGGAGACAATGGCATTTAATCCTTGTCAGATCACCACTTCTTAACAGGCCAGAGAAAGCTAGGATCACAACAGCTATAGCTATACATGAAATTCTTATAAATGTAGGAGCAGGACAAAGAGGTGGTTTATGGGATGCCTTCAAATCAGAGTCCGGATCTCCTGCCCATGTTAATCGCAGTCACACATGGAGAACATCTCATCCTCCACATAGTATTATGCAGGGGGAGATGTTCCCAATTCGGGGGGGGGGGGGGGGGTGTAGTGTATTGTGGGTAGGCGTGGGCAGGAGATCCGGAGTCTTCAAATCAAAGGATATAATCTTTGGCACTACAGGAGCAATCCACAAGACCTTGTATTGGAGGAGGGGGAAAAAGAATGGCCCAACCACCAAGAGAAAGGGATGAAAACAAAAGGGAAGGAGATAAATCACCACTGGACACAGAAATTCAAACTTAACCATCAAATCCCTCAGAGGAAGTGGAAACATATTTTGATATGCTCAAGAAGGAGAATAATGCTATTACCTCAAAAGCCCCCCAGACCCATCATAAAAACCCAGGTTCTGAGAAAGACTAGATAAACAAATAGAATAACACCCACTGATTGACCCAGAAAATTGGATATACAATACGTCCTTGGAAACATTTGACAAAGAGGCAACTGGCAAGCTACCCCATCAAAGTCATCCCCAATCCCAGTATCCAGCCTTATCCTCCAAGAGCATATCATACCAGACAAGTTGTAATAAAGTAAGAAGGATCAAACGGAAGGCTTTTCTTGGGGGGATGCAATAGAAACCCTTCCCTTCCATGATACACAAAGCCGGTATCTTTTCAAGTAATCCAAATATATGCCAAATATAAGTCATCCCAGAACAATTCAGACTAAGCAAAAAACTAGCACACTTTCAAGTAATCCAATGGCTTTCATAATGTTCAAAGGTAAAGTCATCTGGAGAGCACAGAGAGGATATGCATTATTGGCATATTTTTAATAAAGTTAGATTATTCATGTTTAGGGGGCAAGTATTGGATTGGTTGGAGAAATACTTCTTTATGAAGGATAATGCAGAGAACCTTGTCAAAGACCCATCTCATTATCGTGCTCCACTTTTCAGATTATTCTTGAGAAGTTGAGATATCAATTTCACAGAAAGGTCTTGCTCCTTTTCTACAATGTGCAGAGGAAAAAGGATTTGAATATTTAATGTTGGAAAGAAATTGTATCTAATTAGATTTCTTCATATTGTTAAGCACGTTTACAGGAAGATCACCATAACTCGTTAGTCTCGGAGGATGAATTTAGATCCTAGGTCATAGACCAGTGTCTGAAGCATATGCATATAAAGATGCATTTCCAAATTGTCTCAACTAGGACTTCTTATTTTCAAATAAATTCCATGATTTCCATTATCATGCTTTCGAATAACTTGCTAAACTACTTATCAAAAAAATAACTTGCTAAACTAATATGCCATGCAAGAAAGAGTCAAACAATGTGAGAATAACCTCCAAAGAATAAAGGAGTTGTCGTAATTCTTGAAACAGCTCAAACCCTCTTCTCATTAATGGTGAAACACTTATCTCCAGAGTCATTGGATGGTATAGGCCATTTTATCGGAAGCATACGTTTTTTCTGTCATTTCTGACCTTCCTTACTCATTTCATGACACTTTCCACATTCAAAATGAATATGTTGCAAAAAGAAGAAGAAACAATAGTAAAGAATGTGGAAAGCGAAAACACCATCAGTACTTCAATCAGCATATGCTCTCGGATTTCTCCTTTTGTTCTCTGTTCTATATTGTTTCATGGGTTTCCTGTTCCAACACTGAATTAAAAATAAAAGAAAAGAAAGAGTTGCTGTGACACTGAATTCAACTGAACTCAACTAAGATTTGTCCCGACTATATGGGTCGGTAACATGAATCCTGTTCCACCACTATACTTCGTTGAGTTCGTCCAGTGCCAACACCAACAGGGGAGGGCGATAAAAGAGAAAAGAAAAAAAATATATGTATGAAGTATGAACCAAGTATGCTACCTTATGGTGATCACGAAAATTAGATACGTCCGTTGCTTCAACGTCAAGAGAATCTATTCTATCGGGCTTCCTCAAAAGTCTTCTTCTAATATGTCCATGTCTTTCCCTGTTCGCCTCCTCTTCGAGCAAGGACCATGGAAGTGACTCTGAATCAAATTCGCTTCCGTCAACCCATCTGGACTCTGAACCCAGCAGCCTAACGCTCTCCTCAATTTCTCCTTCTTCCATTTTGTTGTTGTTTTTTTTCCGCAATCTCAACAAGAATGGACCAACAATCTCGTGTGGTCTCAATAGTTTATTGCATTAACAGCCGATTAAAGATGATTGGAAGAGGATGTTGCTGCCAAGAAAACCAACAAGCACCACCGATGCTTATTATTCTTCCTGCATTTCCAGTAGCGACGCATCAAAAAAGCTTCAATATTTTTGATGCCTCTATACACTCCTTCAACCGGCAACCAAAACCCAGTTGCAGAAAAACATCGAAGTCCCTCTTTTTTCTTCTATTTTCTTCGGATTAAAAGAACCAAAAGTTAGAGATTTTCTGGAGGTTCTTCCAGCCCGTTTTCTCAGACAAGCATCAAAACCCAATAATCGTTAAAGGAGTGGGTTCGTTCTTCTTCCTGCGTTACTCGAGGTTTGGAAAACTCTGTCGAGCTCTTGCAGAACCAAAATGCAAATTGCAGCTATAGTATTTGGTGTTATTTATTTACCAGAACACCCTCCTTGCCAATCCGAATTCTTCAAATCAACAATCGAATGGTATACAGACAGCGATACCCTTTAAAACGTTACGGGGACCTTGGACCCACTCTGTTGTCGGATTGTGGCCTTTCATCTCGCATCGAATTTATTCTACAACAGTTAAAACGTCATATCCCCGCCCTCGGTGTCTCGTTGATGCCAAACAGACGTAACGCCCTCCCACGCGGCACTATGGAAATGTGGTTTTACGTGTGGTGTGACAAAGGAAACCACGCAAGGCGCAAGTTATCAGACGACGGACGAGAGTCATGGCCCCTAAATTGCTTCTTGGTCACCAAACGACCTTCCACGAGAGTTGTCGTCGGGTCACAGGCTTAGTCTTATCTATACTTGGCAGGCTTACTTTAAGGGACACCACCGTCATTTTCGCCGGTAAGATTTTTGGGAGAATTAATGTCATCTTCAGGCAGACCACCAAAAGCTTAACGTACTCTTTGAGGATGGGTGGTCGACCTCCTTGGGTGCCTAACATTGGCACTCCTAGACCTTCATCCCTTGCAGGGCGGCCCTGGTTAATGGCTACCAAGGTCCTCATGGGCACACACATGCTCATGGGGACAGTGTTGGACCGGCACTACGCTGTCGACACTCAAGGGAGGCTTGACATGCGGGCATGGCTCAAGCATGACCCTTCACCACACCAACCCCTTGCCCAAGCTGAGTGAGCTACCCCGTTGCCTCTAGCGCACGGGTGTGTTCCGGCTCAAGCGGTTGCCTATCAACATGGCACACAGGTGCCTATCATCATCGGCATACAGGAAACCCTTCACATCGGTGCCAAGTCACCTCTTCAACGCACAGTCGCCTTGCATTATGGTTGTCCCCCTTTAGCATGTAAGCGTCGCCTCCCATGGACCGGTCTGAGCCAGCCGAGTGCCCCGGCCATTGGACTTGAGGTCATGATCCAGTGCTACTAACCTTGGTGGAGCCATCCCATCGGGCAACTCTTAGCCTCTAAGCACATAAAGGCTTGTCCTGACCTACCTTGGCCTGGACGCCACACGGGTTTCTTCTGTTGTAGAACTACCCCCGTGACAGTTGGTATCAGAGCGAGCTAGCCAATTGTTGCCGCAGTTGGTTTTCAGCAAATTAGCCCAAAGCTAGTTGAAGTGGTCATCACGACAAGCAGCACATTGTGGGGTGCGGTCCCTAGGCACTTCCACCCAGGATCGAGCAGAATTTCAGATCAGGCCTGGCAAGAGGTCACTTCATTGTTCGTGTCCCCATTCCAATGACCCTAAAACAACTTCCCTTTCGGAGGCAGACACATTAGTTGTTGTCCTCATGCGGGGGCAGACGCGTGAGCCTTGATAGGAATGTGGGTACACTGGCCGTTGGAGCATGGCGGCTCTACACCGGCAAAGTATTATGTGGACATGCTCAGTTCAAACAGGTGGATCACTTGCAGCAGCGAAAGCGCATCACCAAGCGAGTGCATGTTTGGCAGCTCATGGGTAAAAGTTGCCACACTCGCGTTCAAAGCGGTCAGGTCTCCTTGAGGCAGCAGCAGTGGGCCCCCCTCGGAGTGAAGAGGTAGTCCGAGTCGGCGAGGCGAAGCGTAGTTTCGAGGGCCAAAAGAGCATAAGCCATGGCTAGGTTTGAGTAACCCGAATCAACGAGGTGAAGTCTGCAGGCCAGCATGGTGAAAGGGTACCCAGGTCATCGCCAACATGAGGAGTAGACCTATCAGCGTGTTCGGTAGCATCACTGAAAAGCTACCAAGAAGACGGTCGAGCCTTTAGGTAAGATGATACATGGGGCGGACCTCCGCGAAGCACCACATCCAATTTCTTCGAGGACCCTTCTTTCACAGTTCAACGGCATAGCCATTGCGCGGTTTGAGTAAACTCAACGCTGGGGTTGAAATCTAGGCAGGCCAGCATGGTGAAACGGTTTCGTCCCCATAAATGGACACCAACATAGGCAAGACCCGGGTTGGCCAGGCGAGCCTTGGAACTGTCAGTGAAATGGATGGCGCGGGACATAGACGCTCATTCACGAAGAAGACCATTGTCGAGGACGACAATGGATTGAGTGGGGGAGCCTGTTACGGTCTGACACAGGCTTAGCCTTGCCTATGCTTGGCAGGCTTACATTAAGGGACACCACCGTCATTTTCGCCTGTAAGATTGTTGGGAGAATTGATGTCATCTTCAGGCAGACCACCAAAAGCTTAACGTACTCTTTGAGGATGGGTGGTCGACCTCCTTGGGTGCCTAACCTTGGCACTCCTAGACCTTCATCCCCTTGCGGGGCGGCCCTGGTTAATGGCTAGCATGGCTACCAGGGTCCTCATGGGCGCACACATGCTCATGGGGACAGTGTTGGATCGACACTACGCTGCCGACACTCAAGGGAGGCTTGGCATGCGGGCCTGGCTCAAGCATGACCCTTCACCACACCAACCCCTTGCCCAAGCTAAGTGAGCTACCCCGTTGCCTCTAGCACACGGGTGTGTTCCGGTCCAAGCGGTTGTCTATCAACATGGCACACAGGTGCCCATCATCATCGGCATACAGGAGACTCTTCACATCGGTGCCAAGTCACTTCTTCGGCGCACAGTCGCCTTGCATTATGGTTGTCCCCCTTTAGCACATAAGCGGCGCCTCCCATGGACCGGTTTGAGCCAGCCGAGTGCCCCAGCCATTGGACTTGAGGTCATGATCCAGTGCTACTAACCTTGGTGGAGCCATCCCATCGGGCAACTCCTAGCCTCTAAGCACATAAAGGCTTGTCCTGGACGCCGCACGGGTTTCTTCCGCTGTAGAACTACCCCGTGACAGTTTTTCACCTACTGTTCTTCGTCTCTAACACTCTAACTGCAATTGGTGGAGGCCAGATCACCTAACATGGTGGATCCCATTTTTATAGTGGGTGTCGATATATAGTGTGATATGATGTTGATAGAGAATTGGAACAATGCTTTTCATACGGGGGCGCCTCACATGCACATCTATCATGCATTGGAAATATCTCCCGTAAATAATAACTTATAAGTAGAGAAAGCATTCCCAATGCATGGTATGATGTACGTGTGAGGCGCGACGTCCAGTGTGAGGAACGGATCCACTCTCCATTGGAAAGTGTTTTATTGGCAGATGATCCCAATTCCAATTGATGATGGTGAGAGTTAAAAGAGACCATGTAATGTGCAGTAGTGAAAAGTAATGAAGTATTAATCATTCATGTCTCATCCCAATTATATAATTCAGCAATAAAATATTGTTTTATCAATTTATTCTATTTAAAATCATATCGCTATTAAATTATTAATGATATACGAAAATGCAATATATGAAAAGTAAGTACATCTCATTATGATTACGTGTTAATGTGTTATTAATTGGGCTGGTTTGGGTTAGGCTTGAGCTTGGTTGGTTACTATGCCTCTTCTAAGTTTCGAGGCATATTGATATCCACTCTGGATTTTGGAGTCAACCTATTTTAGTCCATATCTTTCTTCACAGTTTTACTATTATTGGCCTAGATGGGCATTTCTTCCGGTGATCAAGAATTACAATCATTATCATTATTAATCAAGTCTTATTCCAATTATATGAAGTCGGTTAGGAGTGTCAATGAATCAAAATTGGATTTGGATTGAACCTTATTGCCAATCAAAATAATTTGAACAGATTGGACATACTAATGACACATATTACATTGGACTAGGCCAGTATTTATTGGATTGGATTGGATTGGATGTGATTCATTTATAATGGTTTTATATTAGATTATGTCTAATCAAATTAATATCCAGTCCATTGGCATAAGATAAGAGTAAGGGTGTCAATGGATCAGGTTTGGGTTAAGCCCAATCTAAATTAAAACCAAATTGAACTGTTTGAACGGCCCAAAATTCCAAATGGTTTATAATGATCTAAAGTATTCATCCAATTGGACTATAATAGACTGATACTGGACCGGATCGGATTGGACCAATATCCAATCTATTGACAACCCATTATTAAATTATTGATGCTTAAATCATTTCTTACAACTTCTATTCATGTCCACCCTTAATCCTTTTTAACGTGCAAAACTAAATGATAATGGTTTTTTTTTTCCAGCTTCAAATGAACACTCGTGCATGCAACCGTGGGAAAAGGTATTCTTCTTTTTATCTAAAAATTTGAAAAAATGGAATATCACCTAGCCTTTGACTTTGTCCTCGCATATTCTCTTCCCTAATCTATCTAGACACTAAGAAGCAAAAATAGTTTACTGATCACAATAACCATTGATTCTAACTTCTAGTATTTTTAATAAGAAGGGGGAATATTATATTAAAGCTCCTGAGGATGAAAATCAGTTGATACATCATCAATAACTGCACTTAAGAGTCATGTAGGCCAGTGCCTTTTTTTGTTTTTTGAAAATGCTCCAAGGCTGATCCATTCAACAATTATTCAGTTATATTAGATTCCAAAGAAGGAATCAAAAAAGTAGGTGCTAGAGACCAAGTGTAAATCTAGGAACATGAACAAAGGAGTTGAAACCCACTTGTCAATCTCATTCACTACCTCCACTTCATTTGTTTTTAAAATAAAATTTGCTGTTCCCCATCTCTTTGCTTGAAGGATGCCCGGTCTCACCACTCTGCTTTCAATCTGACTTTGAGGCTCCCCATTGGTTTATGATAAATAAGTTTAGAAAAGTTGGTCAATGGGTATCTTTTTCCCATTGACCAACTTTACCATGCTATTTTTGTATTGGGAAATTGTCTAAAACTCACCATGACTTTTTATAAATTCTCTTAAATTCACCATATCAGTAAAGATAACATTAACTTAACTAATTGATGTTACTAATTTACTATTTTACCCTCTCTTATGTTCAACCCATTTTACAATATCCCAAAATTACCCCATCATTTTTCAACCCAAAACCCTAATAGTTTGAATGGAAGAGAACACCATTACCGCTGCTTCTTCCACCGTTTGAGAAAGTGAAAACCATTGCCATTTGCCAATGCTTCTTTTCCGGTATGAGAAAAAGAAAACGACTGTCGCTGATTCTTCCACCGTCTAAGAACGTGAAAACAATTGTCGCTGCTTTTTCCACCATTTGAGAAAGGGAAAATCAAATCATTGCCGTTGAAACCTCCGGCAACGATTGTCTAATTGGTGTTTGGGTATGAATGAAACTAATTAAAGACAATTTTCAGCAGAAGTGATTGATTAAAGAGATTTACACGAACATACCAATCTTAGTTCCTTTGTTTAATACTGTTAGAGAAGGTGATAAAAGAATTATCTAGGAACTTTAAGTTTCTTTTCTAGAAAACTTTCCCTACTTCATCTGCATGGAATGATGATGTGGCCAAACCAATATATGTAAGAAGAAGGGAATCTTTATTTACCTGTTAATTTTAGATCATATTTTTTCAGCATATTAGACCCAACTTCATCTTCAGATTTTATAGTTAATTTACATCTTATTATATTATTTATATTAAAATTTATTTATAATTTAAAATTTTTATTTATTTTAAGTAAATTTATTTTTCAATAAAATATTGTTATCTAAAAAATTTTCGGGGATTCGGGTCCCCACGGGAACCCATCCCCGTCAGAGATTGGGGATGGAGGACAAAATTTATCCCTGACGAGGATCGGGGATGGGGTTTAATTTCACAATTAGGGTCGGGGACGGGGAATATGATCCCTGCCCCATTGCCATTCCTAGATGCAAAGCAGATTGTTATGGACGCACAACAGCGCGCGCCGCCCGACAGCAGCACGCACAGCAGCGCGCGTGACCACGCATAGCAGCACGCACAATAGCGCGCGCTACCCGACAGCAGCACTTAGGAGCCGCACACGCACCATCCGACAGCAACACTAGAGAGGGGCCCACACGATAGCTCAACAGGATGGGTCCACACTTATTTTCCCACAACAGCTCTGCTCGCCAACTCGCCGCCAGCTACATCATTCCTCATCCCTTATCCTTATCCTTATCTTATCTTCTTAAGTAAGAGTTGTATTACCATTAGGAGTTTGAGTTTGAGTTGGATTACCCTAGCCTAGCCGAATCCAACAAGGAATTCCCTTTTGTAATCTCCTATATTAAGGAACTATGAGTTGAAATAAAACATTCAGTTTCTAGTCAAGAGAAGAGTGAGGAGAGTTCGGGTGGTCTTTTGGATAAATCACCCATTCGGTTTTCCACAATAGAGACTGCACGCAAGGGAAGGCACAAGGGGAAGCAAGAGGTTCTCCCCGTGGACCGACCCGTGACGAGATCCTATGCCCGGGCCCATAACACAGATGCAAACATCACTACTTATCCTTCACCCTCCCCACAACCCCACCACCACCATCACTACCTGTACTACTTCAAAGCTTATTTGGCTTACTTTCGCTTGATTTGTAGCCGTCGGTGGCGGGGGGTGCAGTGTGTTTGGAGACGTGGCATGCTTGTGCGGGGGCCACTTATATCATTACCAAAGAAAGGGAGTGTTGTCATGTACCTGCCGTAGGGGCACCTGGACCAAAAAGGATTGCTACATGGTAAATGCAAATGTTTCTCTCCTCCCCTTTCGTCTTCCAGCTTAACCTTCTCCTTTCCTCTTTCTCTGGTATGTCAGTTTTTTTGCTGCAAAATCTAGATTTAGCCGAGTGTGTGTGTGTGGGGGGGAGAGAGAGGGAGAGACTATGTACTATTATAAAATACAAAAGTGGCCTTGTGTACTTGTCGGCTGAGCATCCGAACAATGAGATTTGGCAACTATGGCCAAGAGGAACAGAAAACAGAGGAAAGCGGGGAGAAGAAAGTGGAAAAAGAGAGATCGGGGGGGAGAGAGAGAGAAATGTGAAGGGATATGATGTAAAAGGGATTACCATTGCTGCTGTCCATATGTTGTGAGGTGGGGGAAGGTGAACAGTGTTTTTCTTTGTCCAAATAATTATTTCAAGAGTAATATGGGATTAAAAAACATTGCAACCACAGATTTCAGTGGAAAGCTAATGGAAAAAAGTCTTTGTCTCACGGTTATAATACAGGGGGTCTTTATCGCAAAACAAAGTACAGGTCTTTGTCAGACCATAGCATGGGGGGGTTTGTAATTTACCCTTTTATTTATCAAAGCGGACCGACGGAACGGTCGGACCATTTGACCTGAGAACCATACCTGTAATTATGCAGCAGTTATGGGTTCAGAACCGGAAACGAACTCTTCTAATTTTCGCACAACCGGAATATCCGATAAATCACTTAAACGGGTAGCCACGTGTTCAAAAAGTGGTGTACACTGCGCACCGAGCGTATTGTGATAATGATCAGAGTCAAAGTTATCGTACAAATATACAATCGTGTATAAGGAGTGCGTAGAGCTCTCCCCCAACTCCGCATTCTTAGGGTTTTAGAATTCTGCGGTGCGTGGTTCTCCAAAGTCGTCTCTCGCTGTCTTGATCAGATCGCGAGGGTTTCTGCAAACCCTATATTTTCTTTCACGGTAAGCTCAGAATTCATTATTTTATTCTTTTTCATTCAAATTGAAACTCTGCGTTTTTCGGGGCTGCATGAAATAAATCATGGAAACCCTAGCCCTTTCATCTTCATCAGAAGGGGATTACGGTTTTCTTGTGCAGGGTTGGGTAAAGTTAATGTCCTTTTTTTTCTTTGGTCATTAGGTTGTAAGTGGCCTGGCATAATGTCTCGAGTCTATGTTGGGAACTTAGATCCCAGGGTTACCGAAAGAGAACTCGAAGATGAATTTCGAGTTTATGGTGTTCTTCGGAGGTATGATTTTTATTTTTAAAGGTTTAATGTGTTATTTCTGTAAAGATAATTTTTTTCTTACTTATTTATCTCGTTGATTTATTTATTTGTTTTAGGTATCTAACACGCGTAGAACATGATTCATCCGTATTGGAACATAGATAAATTCTATTTTTTTTTTAATTTTTGTTTTATGTTCTTATATATTTGATGGGGATAATTTATTTCTTTGGTATGGTTCTGATAATTGTATCACGAATTTGAAGAAAACGAGAAAAGAATTTAATACGGTTCTTATCTTTTAACCACATGAGGTTATTGTACCTACCAGCCTTGCCCCCTATTTGAGAATATTAACATAATTATACACCGAGCAATTTATCATAAAAAATAGGAAAACGATTTGTTTTTCAGATATAGAATCGTCGAATATGTAAAACAATACCGAATGATCTGTTTATTCCTATTGATGTGAAGGGTGAATTGTAACTCAGTCTTTGAAGCCGTTTTGATTGTGTTGGGTAGTCCTGTTTCACTGTTAAGGATAAAAGAATTGAAGGTCGCAACCCTCTTTATAGTGCCAGCATGGCATCCTCTCTCCCTGTCAACGAGGCCTTTAGGAAGAAGTTTTTGAAGTTCCTATAGTCATTGGGACTTCAATACAAGGTTCAAAATATCGATATGTATTGGGCCATATCGGCCAATATGTATCATATCGGGGCTTCCCGATACGCCCCTACAGGGGGTATTTTGGGCTCTTGACCAGTTCAGAGGGTGGACGGACCTTAAACCGGCCCCTCTGAACCAGATTCGAAAAAACTAAAAAAAAAAACTATCGATACTGCTCGATATGACACTACCGGCGTATCAATATTTTGAACCTTGCTTCAATAGACTCCTTTTTTAAACCCCAAATTGCTGACCATTCTTTAAGTTCATCTGTTGTAAGGGGCCATCTTACTTATCCTAAAGATGAACCATTTGCTTGGGAGGCTGCTCATTATAAGGTTTATATGCTTCGTGCCCAAGTTGCTTTGTCTCCTTTTTTTTCTGGTTCTTTTGCTAAAATTCTGTGCACCTATTTGTGAGATTCTCTTTTGTTCTGATAAGAGGAACCATTTGTTTGTTTATTTTGGACTACACTTTCTGTTGGACATTTGGGTGGAAATATGTAGGGGAAGTTTGAAAGATTGTTACAACCACTTCCTAATATTGTACAATATTTTGAGTTATTACTACTTGTTAGGATTCCATGTGTAAGATATTTAAAGGGGCTAACATGGTGTGGTCACGAGAATTTGGTTTTCTATGTTGGGTTTCTTGGCCCTTACCCGTGCCTAAACTGAGGCAATGTTCCCTTTCTGTTGTGGAGTGTATAAAGTTGAGATTTGATCAATAAAGCTACTATTTACAAGGAAGGAGAGATTGGGGAAGATGTTATTCTAAAGAATTAGAGTGATGTGGATGGGTGTATACATTCTCAGATATTGTATCATTATTATATACTGTTCAAATTGATCAATTTCTTCTCTTAAGATTGTTTAAAGACCAAGTATGCTTAATGGGAAAAGAAGATCAATCACATCGATCTAATAACTAGGAGGGAAAATATTATGGGTGGATGCATTTGTGCAAAGCATGGGTTTTTCCAATTAGTAACAAGATATATCGTTGGCTAAGATACTTTTGTTCTGTGGATCGGGGAAAATTTCTTTAAATATCTATAAAACCACTCTTTCTTTTTGGGAGATAACATTGTTCATAGATGAATGAATCAAATAATTTGTAAATCATGGATGAATGCAATTGGGGGATGCTTAGGATGTTCTTAGTAACACGGAGAATGAATGTCAGTGGAGCTGCTCTTCCCAACTAAGGTTGCCATAAAGAAAAAGCAGTCCCTAGAGGTGTAAATTGGGCTGTGTGGGCCCATAATGTGCCATGTCGTGTTGTGCACCAGGCTGGTTCATGGGCCGAGCCTTGTGTGCCCGGAACGGCCTGCGTATTGTTGGTAGCAGTTCCTTGTTGTAAGAGGAAGGATCTAAAAGACAATGGGAAGGTTAAAGGACCTGAATGAAAAAGGGGCTAGGAAGGAAGATGTAAAGTCTTGAGTTTAATAGAAATTATGTACTTGTAGAGGGTGGAATCGTGGTTTTGCAAATTTTGCATATGGCATGTTCGATAATGTTGTGTGATGACAAATAGAAGGATTTTAAGAATATTTAAAATTTATTATGTTTTGCTTCTTTAGTCATGGTTGTGTTTCATGTGTTGATGTGTTCTATAAAGCTCAAATTGAAACACACGAATGAATGTTAGGTGCTTTTGTAATTTGTGTTTGCTGCGGTATACTTTTCTAATTGTCTTTTATTCATTTTGATATCAAAGGGTTCTTCATTTTCTTTTCCTTTGTTTATCCTGAAATTAATGCAGTGTCTGGGTAGCTCGAAAGCCACCAGGTTATGCATTTGTTGAGTTTGATGATCGCAGAGATGCTTTAGATGCAATTCGTGGATTGGATGGTAAGTATTCCTTTTTTTCTCTTTGGGAACAGTCAGTTATTTTTTGTCTAGATGCTTTTACCAATTAAGGTTTTTTTACTGTTCCATGCTTCATTTTTATTTTCTTAATGTGCAGCTATGTTTTGCCATCTAATTGTCTTGTTTGACACTGTTCCTAACTTTTATTGTTAATCTTTTTATATTTTTATTTTCTTCTTATGCTTTTTATTTTTATTATTAATATGATGGTAGTTACCTTTGAAGACCACTTCTCACCAAAAAAAAAATGTTTGGTATCAGTGTTCATGGGCAAAATGCAAACTTAAGGCTTATCTTCTTGCAGTGGCAATGAAATTGATCATGCACTTTAAACCAAGACCAAATACATTTTTTATACAAGACGAAAAAAGAAACCTAACCAGTTTGGACTTAGTAATAATATAATCAAGATTAACACACATGTTAGCTCCCTTGCCTGAATGATGGCTGAAAATGGATGAAACAACCGAGTAAAATAAATGGAGCTGATAGAGGAACAGTTGAAGGTCCAGCTGGTCCAAGAAAACTTTAAAGAATCCAAGAGGAATTGGTCTATAGCAATTACCTCCTTGAGATGCTGTAGGGCTGCTGATTGGGGGGGGGGGGGTCCATGAAAGACCCAGTAGGACTTCAATTGTGCCTATTGATCTACATCTTATAACTTTTGGATTCTTCTTGACTTGCCAGGTTGATTCCTTAAAGGAGCTCTTGTTTTTAATTTTCTAAAACAAGAAAGGTTTTCTTCTGTCATGAAGTGGCATCTTGCCTCATTGTTGAATTGGTAGTTGGGGAAGCTGTTCATATTTCTCTCCTAATTAGTCATGGAGGATGATGTATTTTTTTTTCAAATAAGTTCATATCGAACAGTAATACATTATGCAATGTGAGCTTTGAAACTTAATTGTAACTTTTACAGTTACCGACCTTTGGAATTTGACTGAACTGCTAGGAGTTGTTGCTTAATTTGTTATTTACCCTTCTGACATTTATTTATATGCTTACATATGTATACAAGGTATTCCCTCTTATCAGTTTAATCTTCTCTTACAAGTTGAACTGATTTTGGGAACTTTAGCTGCACATAAATTCCACATAATGGAGCCTTTTAATGGTTCAGACTTCCCTGTGTTAAGTCTTTTGTTGGGATTGGATGTTTCACAACTATTGTTTTATAGGCTTTTGGAGATTTCTATTTATTGATACATTTCTTTAACAGGGAAAAATGGGTGGCGTGTGGAGCTATCTCATAATTCAAAGGGTGGCGGTGGAGGTCGTGGTGGTGGACGTGGTCGTGGTGGGGGTGAGGATTTGAAGTGCTATGAGTGTGGTGAACCTGGTCACTTTGCTCGGGAATGTCGCTTACGGATTGGGTCACGAGGCCTTGGAAGTGGACGGCGCCGAAGCCCTAGTCCCCGATACCGTAGGAGTCCAAGTTATGGTCGCAGGTGTGTTTTGAGTTTTGTTCACAACAAATGTTGTGTGATGTGTTTATTTTTACATTTTTAATTGCTTGTTATGTATATATTATTTTTAATTCATAAAGGGAATATTGTCATGTGAAACAAGGTGAGTTGACCATAAAATTTTTGGTTAGCTTACTGGTTTAGCTAGTTCAAAAAGCTTTAGCTTTGCAGACTTTTTAAATATTTGAGAAATTCTTATCTTAGCAAGCTTTTCGTAAATTATTAACCTGCCATTCTATGATGTCCAGATATGGAGACTGGTACGGGATACGTGGATTCAGCTCTTCATTTTTCAAAACATAGTACAGGGATATGGATACGAGTATCCTGTCCAATGTGCTGACAACCATGCTTTTGTTTTTGACCTACCCATCTTTTACTGCATTTACCTTTATCAAATTGAACAAAACTTCTAATATTTATTTATGCTAAAAAATTTTATATGAATTGTGTCATATATGTTTATATTCACAAAATAACTACTTTAATGATCAGGAGTTACAAAAACAGTATTTGGAAAGCTCTTGGTGTCAGTACTGGTAGTTCGTGCCGTCTTTGTTGTACACTAGTGACATTTAGGTTTTCCTCCTTTCACCTATCTTGGTATTATAGCTTTTTGCTTATTTTACAACACGTGTTCTTTAGAACGTTATTTTCTCTGTGCTGTTAAAGAATCTTTTGGGTCAATAATTGATTCATCATCTTAAATGAATATTTTAACCTTCTTTTTCTCTGTCATTTTTTTTATCTGGTTTTGGTTTGATATGATCTGGTCAATATTTGTGCTATCACAATTGGTCCATATCAGTATCTCATTAGTCAATTCATTTTTGCTACTGTAGGAGTTTTACATTTTGCCTGGTTTCAAAGAAATGAGAGAAGAAAACACAAAATGCTGTATTTTTTTGTCATAACATTCGTTTTTGGGTTTATATTGTCCGCTACACCAACTAAAATTACTTTGTTTGGTTTTTTCTTTTCCTTCCATTGATTTGGGAACCAAACACAGTGCTAATTTTATATAGATTCCCGATGCTTTGGTCTTTCTTTTTCAAGGGAAAAGAATTTTGATCCTATTTAGTTGAAATAGGATGGATATCAAGGAATTAGGAATACAGAAAAATTAGGAAGAGAAATTTGAAAAGGATTTAGGATTTCTATTTCTATGTATAAAACTAGTTGTAAACTTGTGATTTAAAATGTATAACCTTGGTGAGCATTAATTTATGGGGCTTGACTCCCAGTCTCTTTACAGGTTACTGAAGGACCCATCTTGGCCATGAAGTTAACCTGCAAATTATTACTGATTGCAGGCAAAAAAAGAAGCAAAATTTTCTTCTCTAGTGTGGTAATGCTAATGCATCAAAATCTTGATTTATGGATTTTTTACTACATTTATGGCACAGGAGTTACAGCCCCCGAGGAAGAAGATCTCCACGAAAGCGCAGCATAACACCTCGCCGCGGCCGCAGCTACAGCAGGTCTCCACCTTATCGTCATGCTCGTCATGAGTCACCTTATGCTAATGGGTATGTCATTGTTCCGTTCATATGGAATTTCCCTTATATGCATGAAAATCTCTTATTACTGATATTTATTTGCCCAGAGGCTGAGGACCATATATAAGCAATTTTGTAAATTGCCTGACTAGTGGTTTCCCATCCTGGTATTGGAATTGTTCATCTGTACTGTTCATATATTCTCATAACATTGGTTCGTGTGCCATCCCCATTTGCATGCATCAACGTATCTATTTTATTATTGCTTATATTTATTTTTGTCCAGAGGTGAAGACAAAGTCGTTATCTATTCTACTGGTATGGGAATTGTTCGCCCAGGCTCTCTCTCTTTTCATATAGTACTTGCTATAACATTGACCACACATCAAAATTCCAGATAGATTGGATGATCTGATACGGACTGCCTGGTCTTTCACTTAAAATTGAATCATCGTTAGACTATGGGAACTGCATGATCTATCACTCCTAACCATGTAGTGATTACTAGTGGCCTAAGTGTTTAACGTTATTCTAATTCTTGGTTACTGTTTCCAGAGATCAACGCCGGAGCCGAAGTTGAAGCAGGCTGTCACATCACCCCAAGAGATGATTTATTGGCAATACTGTAGTACTAATAGGATTGATCGACCAACAGCAAACTTGTCTTTCTGTTCGATGCATGACCCTTGGGTTTGTTAGGAATTGGATTTGGTTGAGTAAATGGCTTCTACAATGTTCTAGCTGCAAAAAAGGGGTGCTTTTGACTCCTCGCTTTTGCTCCGACAATACTCTTCCGCTTATTGAAACCTGGAGAGGTTACTTTCCTACTTTATATTGCACCATGATACTGCTATTTATATGCTTTTATACCATGACTTTTGAACTCTTATTAAATGGTTAGGAGTAGAAGTTTCTGTAAAATCTTACACAGTACGTGTGCCTTTGTGTTTGTGTTGAGGTGCGGTTTCTGCTAAAACGGCACCGTCGCCACTTACTGCTCCCTACAGCACACGGGTTTCTCTGCATCACTGCATCTCTGCTTGTCTGCTTCACACCATCTACTTGTTGGTCTTTGTGCTTAACCATCCAGCTTGGCCGTGTGTGACATTTTTGATGTGCACCCTTCTGCAACAAAACCCTAATGAGGTTTCTGCTATAACGACGTCGTTGCTCCTTACTACTACTACTGCACACGGGTTTATCTGCTTGTCTGCGTCACATCTATTCGCTCCTTGTGCCCAACCAGCTTGAGTCACATGTTTGAAACCGCCAAAGCTCAGAAGCTACCCTCCTGCAACAAAACCTTAGACCCATTCCTTTAGAATTTTCTGCTAGTTGGTTGGTTCAAGATGATGGAGCTGTTTATCTTCAGGTACACCATGTGTTTCTGCATTTGTGGTAATGAATTATTTATCGGAATTTGCCTCGCACCTTTTACCATGCTTCGTGTTTGTTTTCTTTTAAGAAACAAACAACGTTGAGGCAAATGAAAAACGAGATTTAACGGGCATTTGGTTGTGTGCTGATTGTCATTACTGTTTCCGCCATTTCTTCAGTGAGCTTGTAATCCTGTGTTCTCGCGATTTCTCCATGTATTGATTGATGTTCACGCTTTTATTTCCCCAGAAGAGGAAAAGAAATATGTGTTTGGCCTGTTAACCACAATCTGATAGTTTGGGGACTATTCGGTATACTCCAACTTGGGCTTTGCTTGTGGTGTACCTGGTGGTTTGTCACTCTCACTACGTTCCTATTTAGGAGGGGTTATCTTTAGCTTCCAAGTAGCTCTGCTTAGAGAAGCAACTGGAAGAGGCATAAATGGAGAGCTTCGTTAACGGTTGTGCATTGACCGGTCTTGGCTCTGGATTTTCTTGTCAAACGTCACTGTGTTCTACCTCACAAAGCCAGTCGTCACATCGTGAAACGGTGAAATTCCTTCATATCACCACTGCATACTGGGACGCATGGAACAATCGCACCATTCACCGGGGGCCTATGCCTGGGGTGGGAGCGCATTACGCACCCTATTAAATACCGTTTTGCCTATCAACGATTGCTAGTGTTGTTATATCTACTCCATTTTCATAGCATGGTTGAGAATTGCAGTATTCATGAATTTTAATTATCCTATGTTAAAGGGGGAGGTTGAGGAACCTTACCTTAGAACACGGTGTATGACCGTACCAAAATATCAAATTCCCAATTCTCTCTTTATATCGTGCATAAGTTATTTCGCATTAGCTTGCTACAGAGCATTGTTCACTCCTTGAGCAAAGGAGCCTAAGTTTGCTTGTATCAAGGCATAGTAGTAGTATCTATACGTACTGGATTTTTAGGTTATTTGCTGATACACTCATTCTTGGCCAGTTTGAATGATCCATGCTTGCTAGGGGTTTGAAACTTTGAATCATGATTACTTGCATCAAGGCAACAGTTCTTGGGCAATGTCTTAGAAAACATGGGTTTTAACTTTTTAAGTTTTAACCCGTCTTTTATATAAATTAAACGATCTCTTAAATAATAATAACATTTATATTGGTTTCCAAAGGTGCATGCATGTTTTAGTTTGTCTATTATTTTCCGTTGTTTCCCGAGTTTTCTGGTAATTTCCATTTCATTTGTCGAATTTGAAGTAGGGTGTCTAAAATGGTGGGAAAAAATCATGTAGCTTGCTATGACTTAATTAGACAAGGCAACAATCAAACTAACTGGTTCTAGCCGAGACCTTGTATCAAATCCTACTGTCATTAGGGTTTGGGGAGTGGTTAGTGAAGCCTCATTTGGTTCATGCCTGAAGAGTATAATGGGCTGAACTCAGGCTTGGCTTTTGCCAAAATTTGAATGGGCATGACCCGGAAGCCAAGCACGATATAGTGTAAAGTCGGACCCATAGTTTGGCTTATGAACAAGTTTACTTAAAATCTATATTTTTGAACTGCCATTGACTTGAATGGTTGGACCATTTGACTTGGGAACTGTTTAGGCAACTGGTTCTGTTTTATCCCAAATCCTGTCCCTGGCCAAAAGTGTTGAATTGGTCAATGATCCATTGACTTGGGTGGTTAAACTGTTGATTCATTTGACCTGTTCAATGGTTTTTGGCCATTTTTTTATTTTTATTATTTAATTTAATTTAATTTTCAGAATGAACCGCCTGTTTTGTTTGAAAAGTGAAAATTTAGGCTTAATAAAAATGCAAAATCATGGGTCAGCCTCAAATCAATATCAAGTAACCTGATCCCAACCCAAATCTTATCAGATGTAGCTTTATTCATGTTACATGCAAAAAATATTGATATATAAATCATAAATATATTGTAAAAATACTTATCTGAAAAAATAACACATTGAACTTCATCTAGAGCGAGCAACCTTTCAACCTTTTAGGCCAAATTTAACTCACGAAGTTATAGACGGCGAGAACTGAGAAACGGGAAAGAACCTTCCGAGGACTTGGGTTTAGTCAAGAGTCAAGTCTTCCTCTTAAGCTCCGCTTAGCTATCTTTGAATGTGGTGGAAAAAATTCATCATGTAAAAGTTAGTCCATAGAAAAATCCTGTGTAAAAATTCATCGGTTTTAAAGTGAGAATTGCTGTAAATATACATTGATAAAATCGATGTAAGATAAAAAAGTCCAACGAAAAATTGTTGTAAACTTTACAGCTGAAAAAGTGAATTAGGTTTAGGTATGAAATTTTACACCGATCCGCGATCGCTTTTACATATGTCGATTTGCATTTACAGTGAGAGAAACAACATCAGTCCTTTAACCTCCATAAACCATCCGAAGACTTGACCATTGGCGCCATAACAGCTGCAGGGAGGGCCTACTTGTCACATCCCTACGTCTCAAATTTCAGTCCAATTCAACATTCCACTTCAATAATTTAGACATGACTGTAGTTAATGTGTGAAGAAGACTTTGACTTGTTCATATAGTCAAGCCCAGACTGTAGTTAGTCAAGCTATTACCCATTAATTGCATGGTGGTTTCATAAAACCCTTTGAACCACAGAATCGCTTTCCCAGTCACACAAAGAATTGAAGACTTTTAGGTGGTCTCTTTTCAGGGCTTTATCTAATTATCTTCTTAAAGAACCAACCCTGAAGTCATGACCCTCATCCGTAGATTTGTGGAGTTTGGACAGCTCAGTAGAGAAGAAAAATGCAACAAGGAGTGGAGATGATGAAGGTCGACAATCAGGCCACGATGACGTTGAAGTTGGGATTACCTGGCCTTCTCAGAGAATCGCTGAAAATCTTTCACAAAAATCCCAAGTTCATCTTCTTCACTTTCCTTACCTCCATCCCTCTGTTCTGCACCATGCTACCCCACGAAATGTTGTTCCAACGAGCCCTGATGGAAGCGGTAGCAACTCTAACAGTGCGTACCGAATCCACTGATTCCATCGACAGCCCAACTTACTACGCCGACGAACAGCTTCGGACCATAGAAGGTTTGGTCTGGTCCATGTCACACCAATTCCTCAAGCTGGCTCTTCTTTATTTGTTTCCTCTCCATGTCTGCGACCTCCTCAGCATTCTCGCAACTGTTGATTCGGCATCGGCAATTTATGCAGGAGAGGAAGGGACGGATGGTGTGAAGGAGATGGTTCAGAGACTCATCACCAGAACAAGATGGAAAGGGCCTTTCATCACCTCCATCTTTGTTCTCACCATGTCTGCTGTAATTCTATTCGAAATCATCTTCATTGTGGCATTAAGCTACTATGCACCAGGGATCAATCTGTCTGAATTGTTGTATGGGCTGTTGAATGCGGCGTTGTACGCTGCATGTTTTTTAGTGCTATTCAAGAAATGGTTGGAATGGAGTGCTGTATGGAACATGGGCGTTGTTTTCTCGATCCTGGGGAAGAGACATGGGATCGAAGCCTTGGAGTTATCGGCGTATTTTAGCAATGGTAGCTGCAGGCAGCTCGGGTTTCTTCTGATGCTTGGTTTGTTCGTGTGGAACCTGGGGTTAAGGCTGAGCTGCTTCCTCCTCCTCCATTTGGTGGGACGCCAGGGGAATCAATGGACTGAAATTCTGGCCACGTCTGCACAGGTTAGCTTGATGTGCTTGGGAAATGTCTTCAAGTGGGTGACCTTCATGGTTTACTATTACGATTGCAAGAACCGCTTCTCCGAAAAGAAAATCCATGTGGAGGAAGCATCAAGTGTTTAAAAGTCGTCCATCACACTGTCATACGGCCTGTTCCCCCCCCCCCCCTTTTTTTAAGTTTCGTGATATTTAATTATCTACCGTTTGATCGCACGCGACTTGTATAACAAGCCAAATTTAGTTGATTAATCAGATCAGATCCAGATGGCCTAAGATCACATAACCCTCAACTGAGTGTGGATCCCACCGAAATATATTAGACAGAGGATGAAAAAAAAAAGATCAAAACCGGGTCCATAATCCTACCAGTGGTAGATTGGTAGGAGCAAGGTTTTAAAAACCGGACCGGACATTGGCAACCGGTTCCCGGGTCAAAGGGCCTGATCATCCGGCTCAAACAGATGGATCATTCTGATTTAAAATAATAAAATAAAAGCGGCTAAAAACTGCTGTTCGGGTCCATGGTTCGACCACCCAAGTCAGTGGGTTGCTGATCAAGTCAACAGTATTTGGCCCATAAAATGGTTCTAAGGTGAAATAAAATCGATTGCCTGATCGGTTCTTGGGTCAATTGATTTGACCATTTGGTTCGCTTCGATTTCCAAAACCATGGGTAAGAGTGCAATATTGCTCGATCTGAACCCTAATCAACTCTACTCTTAAATTGGGCAATAGAGCCCAATAGAAGATGATTATGAAAAAAATATACATAAATTTTTCAAAACACGATCAACCCGTTCAAGCTCAATTAACCCAACCCAATCCATCCCAAGTCCAAGCCCATCCCATGTTGTGTTGGGCTAAGCTCAAGGTGGTTGATAAATTTGGGCTTAACCCTGGGTTAGGCACTTAGGCTAGGCCTGTGCCTACGACTGTTAATGGGTTGGCTCTGGTTTGCGTTAGAGTAAATCCATCCTAAATCGAAAAGAAATTAGGCTATACCGATTCTGAACCAAACCCTATCGGGACTATCGAGTCTGGCCCAGTAGGACCGATTATGTTCTACACCTATAACAATGGCGTCTCTTCCCTCTTCCAAGGTTTTAAAAGCCAAAGCAGAAAAATACAAAAAAATGATAAATACAATGTTCTTGATTCATAGATTAAAAAGAGGAAAAGCAATAACAAAATAAAACACTATAACACTAATTATTAGAACACAATATATTAAAGCAATGAATACAATGCATTGAAGAACGAATAATCAAGCTCAAACATTAAAAAAAAAGAACAAAAATAAAACACAAAATTACAAACATTGTACAGATCGACTGTAGGAATAAAATAAAAAACATGGAGACAAACACAGTACAGATCGACTGTATAGGATTAAAATCAACAACTTTTTCTATACCTCGAGTTTGGTGAATGGAGTTGAAAGAAAAAAAAAAAAAAAGAAAGAAACATAAACGACTATATGGACGATTTTTCTTGGAGTCTTCATTCTTCTTAGTTTTTGTCTCTTATATCTGTTTTGGTTCATTTGGTGATTGGATGGACGGAAACTAGGGATGTAAATGAAATTGGTCAGATTTGAATTGGGATATATTCGAATTCGATCGACATTGTTCATGTCAGATTCGATCCGAAGATCTAGGATTCCATTTGAATTCGAATCCTATCGGTAAATTGGATCTTCAGATCTGATCTGATCTGACTTGTTTTCTTTAAAAATTAATAAATTATTAAAAGAAAAATAAAATATACTAATTTAAATAAATAAAAAATACAAATATTTTTTAATTATTTTTATCACATATATATATTTTATAAAAAATAAATAATATAACAATATATATCGATCGGATCTTCTCAAATTGAATGGGAGAAAAGGATCTGAATCCTATTATCTGATCCGATTCAAAGATCTGAACAAGAGTGATCCAAATTCGAACAAATGGAATCAGATCTCAGATCGGATTGGATCATATATGCACCCCTAAAGGAAACGAAAGGATCTACGATGTATGTTAGATGGCCAAAGCTTTTTCTTGATAGGTCAGAGTTGCCAATGACTTGGGTGTGCCGCTGTGGCATTCTTAATCTAAAACAAAAGATGTAAAGATTAGGGTTGGGGTATTCATCGATTTAGGTAAGTTTTTATTATGGTTATTGTATTTGAAATTTTAACCCCCAATTATATCTAATATTACATGAAAAACTATCATATATATCACAACACTTATCGGTTCGGGATAATCAAAAACCGGTCCCAACCCATTAATAATTGGGACAAATCTTGAAATCAAAACCGACCCAACGATACAAATTATAGAACCAGATGTGATATAAATGATTCGGTTTGATTTGGTTAATCGCGTAGAACCGACCCATTAACAGTCATACCCGTGCCTAAGATTTACACCTTTCGGGTTGGGCATGGGTTGACCTTTAATCCAACCCAATCCGCCCAAATTGCATCTATACCAATTGGTTTTGAAAATATGGATGTAGTAATTAAGGCTTAATTTGGAAGGAGTATAAATACAAAATATCATGGTTTTCAAAATCGGATTGGATTGGACGGTTGGATTGGAAAAATCGGGAATTGGTCACTTGATTGGTTCCATTTTTCTCTAAAACTGTTTTTTTTTTTTCTCAAAACTGTTGATTTTGATCAGCAAGCCGCTGAACCGGCTAGTTAATCATTTGAACGGTTTTAATCATTTTCTAATTTTTTTGTCAAAATGGGCCGGCCATTTGGATCGAACAGTCGAACCATTCGAACCGGTAACGGACCCCTGACCGATTCAGTCACCGATTTACTTTTAAAAACATACAAAATATAAATATGTAGAATGCAAAACCTTATATTTTATATTATTTTATATGTATTTATATTATACATATTTGCATTTATACTCCTTTCAAACTAAGCATAAAGTTGAATCGAGTATTACGTTATTTGAGCTCGAGCTCGATTAAAAAATTCAGAGCTTGGAACTTAATTCAAGTGGATATTACTTGAGTCGATTATAAATAAATCAAAAGAAAAATATATTAGGAAACTTGTGTATGTATTAAAAAATTATAAATATCTAAATAAAAAATATACTATGAAGATCGATTATAAATTTATTTATTTAATCGACGCATAAAATTAACGTCTATATATTTATAATATAAATATATTAAAAAGATAGCATTTTATTATAAATTCATTAGTACACTCGAACCGGATCGGTTCGAAAACTCTTTACTCAACCCATTAACAGCCCTAAAAGGTATGCGTGATACGCTCATACGCACCAACGCCATTGGAGCCGTGCACTGGGAACATCTCCTTGTTCTACCATAGCGACTGGCGAGATATTCCCGATGTACAGCTGCAATGGTAGTTGGGACCCTGTGTTGGATAGACTGAAACTCCCAACAACTCGTCGTTTAATAGAAAGAAAAAAATCTCCTTTATTATGGTCATCTGTGGTCTCTGCCGACTGCCGGAGATCCAGGGGGAGGGGAAGGGGATACAGTGCGCACGGGAAAATGCCAGGCCCCGGTCCTCACATGATGTACACGCTGGGTTCGGGAGTGGGACTGATGAGCGTATCCAATGGACGGTTCAGCCCTCACCACTGCATCGTTTACGCCATTAATGCGTTCTTGGGTCCGGACCTGGGTTCGTTCTCCGAGTGGATCAGTTCCACCCTCGGCGTAGGCCAGAAATTGGGCTCTCTGATTATGGACGCAATCCACCACCCCTTCTACTACATCTTAATCCTAGGTCTTCCCTTGTCTTTGTTGTACAGTTGGCTCTCCAGGGTTTTTCTCCAGAAGGGCTTCCTCGATTCTTTTTCAGGAGTGAGTGTCTGGAACTGATTCTGAGAAACCCAAATTGATCCTAAAAATTACTATTTCTCCACCTGGACTGCAAATTTATTATGTTATCAATCTGCTGCTAGCTCTTGAATTCTGGAATTAAGTTTTTCTAAACAGTAATTGTTCAATTGAGTTGACTTGGAGGGTGGGTGTCCATGAATATCGAATTGGCATCTGCTATGATTGGTTTTAGTTCCATGAATACTACTGAATTTTTAACTTGTTTTTGTCTTTTTGGGTTGTTGCTCTGCGCAGGTTCCTCTTAATAAAAGGCAATGTTTGCTGTTACTCTCTGCAGGTTCTTTATCGCACTTTTTCTTAGATCACTTGTTTGAGGTGAGAATTTCTTTCTTCTTTTAATTCTTCCACCGATTACAGTTACAGTGCTTTGGTAGAGCATTGATGTAATTGAACTGATTGAGACCTTCTTGATCTATGTGATTACAAGTCCAGATACTGTTGTGCTGCATGGCCTGATCTTTTGTTCCAAGTATTCTCATATCGGAACAAAGGATTTCAACAATTTTCAGTTTCCATGAGTGCTTATTGCTTTATATGGCATGCCGATAAGTCATCAGTTTTGATTGTTCAAGCAGTAGAAATGAATGTGGTTCAGGAGCTTAAACTGACTACAAAATCTTTGTTTTCTCTTCAGCTTTAAAAATTTTATCTCGACTGGTATGAGACCTTAAGTCCTTTTAATTGGATTAGTTTTTTAGGCCCAACCAATGAGGCTTGACTCACCAGGATGATGTTCTGTAGCCTGCAATTATCAGCTTTGCCTGTTGCCTTTATCCCTATATTAAAAAGTTAAATTTGATAAGCCAGAAATTGTGACTTACTGTCAGATATATATTGACAGGAAAATGGTCATTCTTCAACATATTCTTGGATATTGAGCACCGGTTGGTGGAAAAGCCGAGCTGCTGTCAATCCTGATGCTGTTATTGTGGTGGGGTTCTTGTGCACCTTCCTGATTGGGGGATTCATTTACATAAACAGGTACTCTTTTTTTTTTCATTAAAACATCATTACTTGTTTTCTTCTACTAGTTCTTTTTTTTTTCACACAGAGTTCAACAATTGTCCTAAGTTCGTATGTATTTACAGTACAATGCCATATTTATAGGGTGGTATATTTAGGGGTGTAACTTGGGCGGAATTGATTTGAAATTTTGTTAAAATTTGAATGGACCCAGCCTGAAAACCTGGTCCTGATGCAGTGAAAAATCTTCAAATTGAGTACCCAAGCTTGCACCTCTAGGTGTATTGGGTTGTCGCATGAGCCTCTTTCCACTTAGGTGGCATCTTAATATTTTGTGAGTTTCTGAGTAGGGTTTTTGCCAGGCATTCATTATGGATTTTGTCAAGTGAGTTGTTCTAAGGCGATTGGTTATTTTGGGCTGTGAAGGTGTTGACTGTTGAGAACCCGCGCCTCTTTTGTATGCCAAGCTTATTATATGCCAGTATGCCACCTCTTGGGGCTTTTATTCTTTAATTTTTCTTTATTCACTCCTGCCCCAACCTCTTTTCCTCTCTACACCTATTATTGCCTATTATTTCTTCTTAACATGGCAATGGTTACTGATGGAAAAAAGTTAGTTTTATATGGCCTCTTGCATCATCCTAGATATGAGCAGATTGTATTGTTTCTCTTCATGCAGAGTAAAGCCAACAAAGCCCATTAGAGCGCAGTCTAGTTCTAGTGGATCAGTTAAACTTCTTCTAACCATAGCTAGCCTATACTGCCTCTGGTGTGCAAGTCAGATATACTGGAGAAATCCTCCTCAACCAGCAGTTGGTGAAGAATCTGACCTCGGGGTTCTTGTGTTCCTTGCTATTTATTTCTTTCTACCGCACAGTCTCTGTATCATGTCGATGAACGCAATAGAACATCTCCCTGTTTAACATTTTTAGCAGTCTAGGATGAGGAATGAAACTTCCCTCCGATGACAGTCTGAAATAAACATTTATTAGATCTTTTTCAGACCCCAGCCTCCGCTGGAGGCATCTCCCATGTAAACAGCAATTTTGATATGCAAGAGATCCATCATTTCTATAACAAGTAATTTAAACATCAGTGGAGAAAATGTATGGTTGCATTATCTATTCAATTGTCTGTAAGATTTCCATGTACATAGAAGGGTAGGATTTTTTTGTGTGGCTAAATTTCTTGTGAAGAGTAGAATTTAAACCTTAGGTTGGAAGGTTGGATTGAGAGAACTGACGTAAGGTAATAAAATCACCACAGTTCTCCGGTTCTTCCCCACTATATAGGTTACGTGACCAGAAACACGTTTCATGCAGCTGTCATATAAGATAATGTCAACGGTAGCAATAATTCATCACATTTCAACAAAGAAATGAGGGTGATTTCAACACCGATAATTCATGTTAGGAACTTTATGTGCTTAACAAAATGTGCCATCCGGATATGAGAAATCATTACTCCATTATATGAGGGATAAAAATAATTCTTTAAATTTCTCAAAACTCCTATTACATCTCTCTTTGATTCAATGCGTTCTACTACCAAGGGGTGCTAATTCCAAAGCGGCAAGATGCATTCAATGAGGATGATTGCAGAGCTGAACTGCATTAGCTAAATCCTGATTGTCAATATTTAGCAGTTCTCTAACTTGATCTTGGACCAATCACCTTTTTCGCGAAAGATGGCAAACAGAAAGCCGCAGAATGGATCTGAAAGCAAAACAAGAACAAGAATGCCTCCGGTGAGTAGCAACAAAACGTGTTAGACGAGTGTTTTTTCTCTCTCTCTCTTTTTTTTTAGGGGGGGGGGAGGTAAATGCAGGAGGAATTGATCCAAGCTAGTAGGAACTACATCAATTAATCTTACCAGTTGAGCCATTAGGCTAATTGTGCACCTTGGGCAGGCTAGGGTTAAGCATTTATTAAAATTTGAACAGGTGTAAACTAGTGAACTAAAGGTTAGGAATGAAGGATTACCTCCGAGTTGTAAAACTTCAAGGGTCCTTTAGTTCCTACATTCTCCCCGTTCACATCTATGGGGTTCACTGGATGCTTGAAATCAACTGGTGGCCCCTCGGTGGAGCAAAGCATGAAACCTATCACACCACTGTGATGAAATTGACCAATAACATGAATAACAGTCGCCATCGTATCTAACAGTAATATAATTATAATGTTATATGCATACATGGGGAAGGGGGGGGGGGGTGTAGTGATAGGTTCCAGATAACACATGCCTTGGATATGTAGGAACTGTTGTCCATGCATAATTAACAGAGCCTTTGAATATTTGACGGCAGTTAGCAACAATGTCTTCAATAATGTGCATATGAAGCCATATGCTTTCTGCCTGGGTGCACACAACTCCCCCTGGGCGGAGAGCCCTTGCTACTGACTCAAAGAATGGCTTCTCAAAAAGCTCTTTTGCAGGTCCTGGTTATGTCAAAAAGTAATTATCTAAGCATCCAAAATAATAAAACTCAAATCCTCCTTTAAGCTTTAAGTGATGGATTGCAAAAAGCATTTACCAATTGGGTCGGAAGAATCCACTATGATCGCATCATAAGCACCTTCTGCAGCAGTCTTCAAAAATGCCACTCCTGCACGAAAGCCAAAAAGAAAGTGTATCAACAATGGAAAAAGGAAAATAAAAGAAATGCAACAATACGTTTCACAAAGGGAAACATACCATCACCAATATGCAGGGTTACACGAGGATCATCATAACCAACTGCTAGGTTTGGGAAAAATTGCTTGGAAACCTAATAGACAAGAAATACATTCCAAAATTGTAACTACTACTGCTAACAAAATCAGTTAAGTTCTTGGACCAAAAGCATGGGATGGTTGTGCTCCCTTGTAGTGTGAGAATAAATTTGAAGAAAAAAGTATAAAGTATAGCTTCAGAATCCAGAGATAAATGGTGAATAATGAAGCTTTCTTTGTCTGAAAATATAAAAAGATGAAACATAAGGAAGCTTCTTGCACATGAGTTCATCATCTAGAGCTCGTCTGGGAGGGGGCCTCTGTGGTGATTGAGAAACTTCTTGCACATGGGCACCTAGTCATATGCTGGAAGCATTATAATTCCCTATGACCCTATCCATGAAAAGGCAATAAAAAACATTATAGAAATTATGATTTACTCACATCCACAACCATTTTATCAATTTCACATATATCTATCTGTTCAACTGAAGAATGGCGAGATACTTCTCGCAGAACACCACCATCTCCTCCTCCAATCACCAAGACCTGAAGAAACAAAAGGTTGACTCAATAATTAAAAAAAAGGTACAATGTGCCAGTTGTTCTATGTAAAGTTGCTGCATAATTTTAACAGCCAACAATGATTCCAGCTGCCCCTGCCCAACAAATTTTTGTAAAATCGTGAATTTGTGTAGTTTAATACAAGCTAGCCCCCTTAAATATATCATGCTTTTTTAAGCTAAACGTACATATGGTTTTTTAAATATACCATATGCTCCTGCATGTGCCAATAAAGAAAACAAACTCGCTTTAGTGACTGCCAACAAATTGATTTCCACTTTACTATTCCATGAAATACCTTCCTACAAACAAATGCTATACATTTACTTTCTCTGAAAAATAGTTTATTGTCAGTAAAGTTTTAAACATGGCTCTTTATAGAGCATAGTGACAGGACAGGTTTTGTGTGGCTGATCCCAAATAATTGGGATTAAGGCTGAGTTGATTCTACTCAATCCTGTATTGGTTGTGCCATAACTGTATTACATTGATTATTGATACATAAAGTACCATAGCCATGTTTAATAAAAACAATTTTTTTCTCTGAGAAATTTAATTTTATAAATTGCTTCATTTCTTGTGTTGAAAGTTATCAGTGTTGGTATGTCCACACTTGAGCTGAATCCTGCAGATACAAGTGCTTTAACCATGTTGAATTCATCATGGCATCATTGTCCCCTTGGGTTCATTGCCTATAACTCAATTTTTGCTCTAGTGTCCCCTCCCAAAAAGGAAAACAAAATCTTCATTCTAAGAAACATTTATATTTAATTTTTAATGCTTAAGTGAATAAGTGAATTGCTAAATATGCATCAGGAAAATCTAATTAGTAAAGGCATTTTATAAATTATATATGTGGATCTATGAATTTTCCTTACTGTGGATGAATATATATATATATATATATATATATATATATATATATATGAAACTACCTTCTTGGGGTTTGGAATTGAGCAAAGAGGAAGGTGTGCAATCATTTCTTGGTATGCGCATTCATCCCTCTCTGTGAGTTGAATCACTCCATCCAACACAAGAACCTTTCCATAGGTTGATGACTAAAACAAGAAACAACAAAGTAGTATAATGTAATTAGCATAAAAATAATATGTGCAATATAATGTTTAAGCCAAAATATTTACATCAATCAAGAAAGCCTTGAACAATACCTGGAATACCATAACATTTTGATACTCGGATTTTCCTTGAAATAAGATCTTCTCTACCTTCAAGGAGTGTGCCTCTCCTGTAGAAGACAAAATAATCTCTTTATGCATGCCATTTTCTCCATCCTTTCATTCATGATAGTGACAAATACTAATCAAAATTTGTGCAATGTACATATGAAAAAATGGAGAATCAATGTCGTAAGACTCAGAAGCCAAACCAGACTAAAAACTGGAATGCTCAACAGGTCACGGTTTTACTGGACAGTTACAATCCAATTCTTGCAACATTTTAGTGAACATTTCCAAAAACCAACTTCTAAAAGGAAGGGGATGAAATTATCAGATAAGACAACCTGCAATTATGATGTCATTTAAAGTTCCAACTTCAAAATTTTATATAACATTTGCATTAGAAATACAAAAATGTAACATATATAGATACACAAGCAGAGAGAGATTGGGGGGTAAAAGTGGAACTTTTGGACTAGTAAATAGAATCACATGCTCGTTGCTGCCATAAGTAGTAAAAGTGAGCATTTTGTACAAATGGAAATGAGTTGCATACGAAAAAAAAAACATGGGCCCAACCGAAAGTGCATCTAATGAAGAGAAAAAAACACATCGCAACTGTCTGCAAAATTCAATTGGAGTTCTGATTCAACGTTCTAGAATCAACATATCCAAATTATGTGTTTTATGCTTCAACATTGTTTACAAATATTTTTTGGCAGAATTGGTGGAATTTCCACAATATTTCATCAACATTTGGATAATTTGTACATTATGAACCGGAAATTGTGCTGTTATATCAGAATTCTCAAAATATCAGGAAAATATCAAGGGAAGTTAGGCTTTTTTTCTTAATTCCAGGAGGTCTCATCCTCCTTAGACTTAGAGAGCAAATTGTGCAAATTTTCAAGGAAATTACAAACCATGGCTGTAATCAGTGTAATGTAAAATAGGTACCACTAAGTCCATACATTAGACAACATAAAATATCTCCATAAATTTCTGAAAGGGGAGCAGAGAAATGTATATCATAGTAAATAAAATATAACTAGTTTTGTTTGGATCACAGGAGTAGATATTGCAAACAGCTTTTGTCCACATTTCTCTAAACTCCCCAACACTGAAAAGAAGTCATGAAACAGTAGAATCTGGAGATTCATGGAATTGAAAAATCTAACTGTCTCCAATTCCAAATCCACTCTAATCTAAACATAACCTTATAGTGTGATTGGTAGATAACAAGATTTATTAGAAAAAACAATAAAATAGAAGCTACTAGTGAGAGGTTGGGTCAAACAGCTCCATCAATAACACATGGCTTGTTTTAGAGGGTTGCACACATTGATACAAAATTGTTAATTAGAAAGACAAAAGAAAGGACAAGGGCCTTAAATGATGCGCAGAATGAGGTTGGGAAGGTGTTAAAGATTTGGGTGTGAATAAGACAGAGGGATTCTCCTGGGGGAAGGGAAGGGTGGGTACACTTAAGGGGGTAAAGTGGTCAATAAAGTTGGGAGTGAAGGAGGTTCAATGGTTTTCAGGAAGTGCCAGGAATGTAAAAAGCGGGTTGGGTTAGGAAAGCAAAAATTCTTAGGAGAATGACCAATCAGCCCAGATAAGAATTTTATAGCCCCAAAGTACAGGGAGAATGCATCTGCAGGATGTGGTTTCTGGGGGGAGAGGACTAGTAGTAGGGGGCTGGAATTCAGAATTCTGAATCGTGTGTATCCGTACTTGTCCGAAAATTGTTTCTGGGTATCTGAATAAAGAGTTAAAGACGCACAGCTACAATGATAGCCTGGAAAGCCAAAATCTGACATTCGTGACTAGACACAAAAGGAGACATGCCCACAAAACATTGGACAGGACGAGATGCAATAATTTCAGTTTGAACTCGCAAGCAAAAGCAAACGAGAAAAAGAAGATTAAGCGCAAAATGAAGGAAAAGGCAGATATTCTTAATGGCAAGACGGAGATGCTAAGCAAATCTAGTCAGTAGCCAAAATAAAACTAAAATCAAAAGAATCTATAAACCCAAAACGAATGATGAACAAACAAAACCAATCAATAGTCACAAACACCCATGTTTTTCAACTGAGACTATAAAGAGGATGCATTGAAGAGCTAATAAGATAAGCGAGATAGATAATTAACATTCGAGGAGAAAATAAAAAACAATAACCATAGCATATCCGAAAAAACAGAATCCACTATCATAATCCGAGCACACCCATCAAATGCCCAAACCGAAAACCAAGCATTATAACACAGACATAAACTCAGAATTTGAGAGAAACCCACCTGGCCACATTGGGCTAATCTCAGAAAACCAGCCGGGAATGACAGAGGAGATGCAGCGGGGCTCTTTCCCGTTCTCCATCTGGACAGAAACGCCATTCCCGTTGTTCGCGACCGCAGCCTCATCTCCTCTCGGCCTCTTAGCAGGTAAATCAGCAGCAGAAGACGCAGCAGAATGAGCTACACCCTCCATGGATTCTCGTCCCTCCTTTGTGCGTAGAACTCTAATCGACCCGGCAACAAGTGAAACTTTCTGTTGTAGGGAGTGCCACAACCTGAGCGAGCTATTGACAGTCGGAAGAGAAGATATCATGCACAGTGCAAGCTGTCAAGGATAATAACAGAGACCCGGGAAGACGCCTCCTCCTCTCACGCTCCGTCTTACACTTGCTGGCTCTCTCTGCAACTTTTAAACCTTTTTAGTAAGGAAATAGAAGGTAATCCCGAAACGGAACCGCATAATTACATTCAAGTACACCATATGATGGACTATTCGATTAGGGTTGTGACTTGTTGGAATTTGGGCATAACTAACAAAAAAAGCCTAAAATTTTTAGATATTTTACGCAATTGCCACTAGTTGGGAAATTGCCTATAAGCCTATAAGCCTCAGCGTCTGTTTGGGATGGAGGGCTTTCAAGCCTTTCATGCAACTACAACAGCATCTCGTATTGCAAGGTAGGCCCCACGTGGAAAGCTAGAAAGCTCTATTTCGTGAGCCCAAAAACAATGTTGTTGAGCTGAGAAATTGAATTTCTATTGAAACTAGTTTTGGTATCTTCTTGATGTTGAAGGCTGTTCAGCTCAATTGCCCCTCCCAAATGGGCTCTAGCTTTACTAGTAAGCCGATTTCTTGGTTGAATTTTTCGTTTTTTAGGTTTATTTAATTATCATTAAAATATATATATTTTTTATATACTAGTAAGTGTGTACATGTTTTGTATATGATAGTTCTAGATGATGATAATCATAGTAATAATTAGGAGTGGATTCGAGCCGAACCGAATAGTACTAGGCTTAAGTTTGGCTCACCAAAGTACTACAATGCTCGATCTCGATTTGAGAAAAAATGTTTTATAAAAATAAAAAATTATATATAAAAAATATTTTTTATTTAATATTTAGAAAATTAAGAAATATAATATTTTTATTATATATGTATTATTTTCTAGAATATATATATATATATATATATATATATATATTCGAGCTCGGCTCGCAAGCCTCACGAGTCGAGCTCTATTAGGCTTGAGCTTGACTTGAAGCTCAGTTGAAACCAAGCCGAACTCGAGTGGCTCATGAAGAGCTCGACTTGTGGCCATCTCTAGTAATAACGTATCCAAATTTTTCTATAAACTTTATGTATTTTTTATTTTTTGTTTTTTATTATTAATCATATGCAGATTGAAAATCCAAATATGATTACATAAATACCTCATCTAAATATGTGATAGTTAGATCGATTTGTAAAGTTTCAAGCATCATTGATAGGCTTACTTTTTGGCTAGATTATTCTCTGTGTAATATTTAATCTTTTTGGTGTATCTTTTTTTGTTTATTTATCAAAAAAAAATGTAAGATTTAAATAGAGGGAATTGAATGGGGTGAAAAGTAGTAGTTTAATTTATAATTTAAATCTCATAATTAAATAAGGATTAAATTAAAAATTGAGTACTTTAGTCAAAAGAAAGTTCCATAATCTTATCCATATTTTTAATAGTAGTATAAATATAGAATTATAGATGTGTTCAATTTTTTCTATAATTTTTTTTTATTTTTGTGTAAAAATAATTCTAATATGTCACACTTACTTTTTGTTTAATATGATAAATATATGATATTATACATGTACCTAAATGTTTTTTTTTTTGCAAAATTTATGTATTTTTATATTTTATTAATTTTTATTATTTATTTATTTATTTATGACATTAAAGGTTAATATGGTTGACCCAAAATTTGAACTATTGATCTTTGCCAAATAATATAATAATTTCATTTTGGTCAGTTCTAAATTATGTATTTCATTTTCATTATCAATAAAAATAATTATTGTTTATTAAACCATTTTTTAATTTGATTAATAAATATATCATAAATGTGTCAATTTTTTTCTACATTTTTTGTAAGTTTCTATATTTATTTCTATTTTAAAAATTTTATTACCTAACTATGACTTTGTAGGTTGATCAATTTGATTCGGATGGTTGAATTGCTTAGCCACCACTTAGATTAAAAACGATTTTGTTTTTTAGTAAGTTTTAAAATATATGAATTTATATTATTAAAAATGTTGACACATTTATAATTTAATAAGAGAAAATGAGAATTAATAATTTAAGTATAAGACTTAATGAGAGGGGATTAAATGATGTGGGAAGTAATAATTGAAGTTATATTTTCAACCTTACCATTAGAGATGGATTAAATATATAATTATGGGCATTTTAGAAGCCATTAAAACTGTAATAAAATGGCTTTTATACCATTTCTAGTCCAAAAAAAGTTTTACATTGCATTCACACTTTTATATATAGTATAGATTTATATTTTATTTGACCTTAAATTTAGTTTTATTAACGTATTTATGGAATTTTTATGTATTTTCCTAGTGCATTCAAGTGTTTTTATATCTTTCATTTGTACACATGCGTTTTCAAAGCATATCCGTACTTACATTTATACCTAAATTATTCAGTATGATACCCAATACCGATACTTTGATCATTGGTTAAAAATATGAATGTTAATTTGTTAGGTGGGCGCCCTCTATGTATTGGGAAAATCTCCCACGGATAACTATGGGAGATGTTCCCAATGCACACTGAGATGTGCATGTGGGGCACAAATTTGATCTCACCTGGTAACCAGTCAAACAGGCCATGATATATAATTCGGCATGAGATTGTCACGTTTAGGGCTGTTCACGGGTCGGGTTGGGTTGGTTTACTGATGTTTTTCCAACTGAAAAGACCTGGTCGAGTTACCTGAAATTGAAACCGAAACCGATCCTATGTTAAGCAAAACCGACCTGATCGGTTTGAGTCGGTTTGGGTCAGTTTCAGCTCTACTTGGTGACTTAGTTGCTGTTCAAATGTTTATTTCTGGCTCTACATTCTCAAAGGAAACCAGCATTTCCTTAATGTTTTGTGGCCCATCCATGGATCCAGTTGTGGAGGGAGCAGAGTTTGAGAGATAAGTTAGTTAAGTAGGTTGTAACTAGGATAGAGACAACTTAATTAAGTAGGAAAAAAGTAAGTTGTAACTAGTAACTAGGAACTAACTACTAATTCGGTTCGGTTTGGGTCGGTTTCAATTTTCACACATGAAAACCGAAACCAAACCAAATCATCGGTTTATGATTTTTTATAACCCAAAACCGACTAGTGCTAAAAAAAACCCGACCGACTCGGGTTGATTGGGTTGGGTGTTCTTATGAACAGCCCTAGTCACGTTTTTCAATTTAGCGCCTGTATTTTCAATAATTGATTGGAAGTCATATTTGCCCCTGTCGAGTGTCGACTGTCGTTCTCTAAAAATTATACGCTCTTATTTATTTCAATTTCAAAAAATATAAAAATCTGAAACGCATACGAATTTAGCAGCGCGCTCTTCCCGCTCAGGCAGAGCGGCCATGACGACTCCGACATATCTGCATCTTCTCTGGTTTCCCGCGAATCTCACGACATATGAAACCCCAATCCTAACCCTAGTTCTCTTCATCCCTATTGTCAGCTGCAACTATCTTGTCTTTTGTCTTCTTCTTCTTCTTCTTCCTGTTTTTCTTTTCCACTGCATGGTATCATCCGCTCTCCAAGGTTTCCGCGGGTTTAAAAAATTCGGTCTACGACATGGAAGATGAATAGCACCGATCCATCTCCGGAGTCAAGATTTCGCCCCCGGCGATCTCCTGCGCCGATCCCTGAGGAACAGAAGCCATGGCAGTATCAAATTCTCGATCCAGGTGGCCAGGTTATAGCTCTATGGAATCATATATTACTTGTGACTTGTCTGATCGCGCTCTTCCTCGATCCTCTGTACTTCTATCTTCCTTCAGTTGGAGGTCCGGGTTGCATGACATTGGACTTGCATCTGGGTATCGTTGTTACGTTCTTCCGGTCCGTGACCGATCTTTTCTACTTGATGCATATGGTCATAAAGTTTCGGACAGCATTCGTTGCGCCTAATTCTAGGGTTTTTGGGAGGGGCGAGCTTGTCATGGACGAGCGACAGATCGCAATGCGGTACTTGAAATCTGATTTCGTGATTGATCTCGCGGCAACGCTACCACTTCCGCAAGTAAGCTTTATTTCCCAACCAGGGTTTCTTTTTCTTGTAACGTTTTTCTTTTATTTCCCTTTCCCCCCTAATAGCCTGGAATTCTCAACTTACTAAGGAAAACAAATAATTAATACAAAAATGATAATTTACCATCTTCAATTACACAAAGAATGGTTGTCCAAACTCGAAAATGACTGTTTTCGAAAAAGTGAATTTTCATTGTAGGAATATGGCGCTCCTTAATCCTTATTTTTTAACAAAGGCTGTCCCTCTAGATTCCATATCTCATAACTTTCTTCTATACGCCTATACGGTATGCTATCCGACCGTTAGTTTGTTTTCCACGTTCAATGTAACATATGATTCGTTTTCTAATGAATGTCCTTTCCAAGGAAGGAGTTCGGATTTACTCACAAAATTGGTTCCCACACCCACACCCATACCCACACCCACTTCACAGCCTTTACCGCTGCGCATCTTGATGCATGTATATTTATATGCAAGGCTACAAGGGTTGTGAGGACTAATTTTGTGAGATGAAATCCGAATTGCCATTCAGTTGGGAGCCGTTTGATAACAGTTGTATTCAAAATTTTATTGTAGTCTTTAGTGAATAAAAAAATTATTGGGAAATTTAGATTTGTTGTTTTTAAGTTTTTGTTTATTTTCTGAATGTATACTACTACAGTACTCCTAGATTTCCTCATTTGTCATTTTTTCCAACTATTATATACAAACTCAAAAATTTCTGAGACTGAAGAGTCAATAAAAACCCCAAAGTTTTTAAGGAGGAGGGCTAATTCAGATGAGCTCCCTTAAGAAGTGTGCTCCACAATCCATTCTCTCGTTGGAACATTTCCTTTGTGCTTGTTCTGCAGGGAGCCCATTGGAACTAGTTGTAGGCTACTTAAAGGCTGAAACTAAATTTGGGTTCACTATAATCTTTAAATTTTAATATTAAATTATTTTAACAACTAAGGCTCAGTGGAAAGAGTAAAAATACAAAGTTTGACAATACAAAATATAAAGTTTTACGCTATACATATTTGTTTTTGTACTCTTCGCAAATTAAACTTAAAATACAAATCAATAAAGTTTTTCAGTTTAGCAACTCCAACTATTATCAAACTGCCCCTTAATTGTTTCTTCATTTTATGGCCAACTAAATAAATATTTAACTTTTCTTTTGAATGTAATGACATTCTTGTTTCACATATAGATGTACTTGCTTTCCAAGATCCAGTGCAATGACGTTTTTCTTTACTATTGACATGGGACTCTTCTTTTATTAAATACGAACTTAATTACTAGATCCAAAGATCCAAAGGGAGAAAACCCCTTAAGAGTCGGAATACATGGCCCAATCACTACAAACAACACGATAAACATTTGGAAAATAATACAATATCTTACTATTGTTTTAAATACATGGTTACTATTTGTCGCCAAAGGTTGAAAGTATCAATATCTATTGGTGTTGTCGTATAATACCGCTGTTCTGGGTCATCGATATTAGATGTGCTCAATTCTAAGAATTAAATGATTATATTTGTTTTAAATTTTAATACATGATAAGATACATCCACGGACAAAGTATCAGACCAAAGAAAACAAAAAATAAAAGAGGTAATTTGAGTTTAGTCCATTTCAGAATTGTCAAGGGAGGATGCTGTTTATCGGGGGTGGGGATAAATATATTTGGAGAATTAATTTATGAATTTTGAGGTGGAATGGACTGTTAAAAGACTATAAAAAATGAATAGTTTTGGCTGAATGAAACTCTTGATACACAAATTTTGCATATTCAGATTATCTGGTACTTTGGACCATGTTAATTGCCACAAAGGATAATATTGGATAATGACTTTCTTTTGTTATGCATAGGCATAATTAGGCACCACATATAATAAAACAGTAAGTTCCCCAAGATTGTGCCCACTATGTGCAAAACTACATACAAAATGTGGTCTTCTTGATTCAAGTTGAATCTGTTCTACCAAATACATAGGAATAATTTGCCCAAGATTGTGCCCACTATGTGCAAAACTTCATACAAAACGTGGTCTTCCTGATTCAAGTTGAATCTGTTCTACCAAATACATTTTTTGAATGTTAAAACTTAAAATTGAGTTTGCATTGATGTGACAGCATTTCGACTTGAAACGGGAAGGCCACCAAACAAGCTCTTGCATTTGGCCCGGGCAACGCCTTGGGCACCTGGGTGATAAAAATGTAAAGGTAAGTTCTTTATCGCCATAAGTTGGTCTCTTCAAAGTCAATGGCGTGCTGCTGTGACCTTCTTTTCCTTTACTCTCTTTGCATGAGGGGTTTCATATAACATTGTTATTCTAGGTAATAAAAAACATTGTCCTTTAAGAAACAAAGAATTTTTTCCTTAGGTCAGTGGAAACTGCATCTACTCATTGCTTAATCTTCATCTTATTTAGTTTTTTATTTTAAATTTAAAATGATTACTTTATGTATGGTAGAGATTGGTTTTGTTTATGTAGCAACTTATTTGGGTTAGACCTCTCTTGTTTTTCTTTTCACCCTTTGTTCATGGAGTAAGTTTTAGCGTGATGAACTTTTCCAGGTGTTTAAATACACCTTTCTCTATAAGAACTCTTACTTAAAAAAATGAATTCGAAACTGCGGAACTATCACTTAGGCAGAATTCCATGTAGGCTACAGGATTAACATGGGTATCAGGCAGGGCTAGTAAGGAGGTACCGTGTCTAATGGATGCTATGGATTTGGCATAAGATTCCTCCATCTGACAGAAATAGGTAGTGTTATCTAGCAAGTTTCCTTGTTGACCCCAATTAGAAAAAAAAAAAATCTTTCCCTTTTTTCGTTTATACTATACATTTTATATATCGTGTCGCTTAGTTTCTTAAGCTCTTCGTATGTTTATTTCCTCTTAATCTAATTGTCTCACAGTTTTAGAATGTCAATTTGTTTCTTTCCTTTTTTTATGTTTCTAGAGTTATGTTTTGCTGCTAGAAATTTTTTTATCACTTTTGCTCATTTGGTCCTCGTTCTTAGTTATATTGTGCGTATTTCTCCCATGCCTCCAATAATAAGCAATCATTGTGTGACTGGTGCCTAGGATGTAAAACTTAGTTACTATTATATGCACGCATCTTGCGTGCTTGTAAATTTGGATTCCTAGAAACTTGAATGTTGCAGCCCATGGTCTGATCAAAGTCGGTTAGTTTGTTTAATTTCTTATTTGAGGAAGCTATATATCCTCGTTTAATTCTGGTCATTTTTTCTATTAATAAATAACTAATTGATTTCTTTTGTTTCGGTCATTCCTTTCCCCTCTCCTAGTCTATTATGGTATTTCATCTTGTACTCAGGTACTCTTGTAAGCACACATCTTGCATGCCTGTAAACTTGGAAATCTGAAATGGAACTCTTTTTGGTCTCAGAGAATACAATAAGAAGCCCAAGTGCCAAGTCTAGCTTCTTTGTATTGCCACCTTGACAACTACCATAGTGCCAAATGTAACCCTTTTGTGTTGCAACCTTGACAACTGTAGGACTGCATTTTGATAATTATTATTCCTAGTGAGAGAGGAACCTGCAATATTGCATGGGAAGTTGATTTTGGCTTAACCTTGTTGCCTGGTATATAGCTTAACAAGTTAAGAACAGTGAAAAATTGCAGTATCTTAGTTGATTTTTACTTTGTCACTCACCTTTAGATATTGTGCCGCAGCTAGAACCTAAATTGTAATGTTGTTAACGAGAACTGTTATTATTATTGAAACTCTAGATTGCTGTGGTACGAAAATTCTGAAGGTCCTAGATTTGCAGTTTCTGGCTACCTCTTGCAGAATTTAATTTTTTTTGCAATGTTTCGTGTCGCAGATTGTCATATGGTTTGTAATGCCGGCGGTGCGAAGTTCCACTGCTGATCACACAAACAACACACTTTCTCTGATTGTTCTCATTCAGTATGTTCCTAGGTTGTTTCTTATGTTTCCCATAAATCGTCGGATCGTTAAAACTACTGGAGTTATTGCCAAGACTGCTTGGGCAGGAGCTGCATACAATCTCCTTCTATATATGCTCGCCAGTCATGTATGTTTGAATTCCCTAACTTTTGTCCGTACTAATTATCTAAAGGAAATTAGCCAAAAACCATTCTTTGGCATTTATCAAAAAAAAAAAAGCCCCTTCTTTGGCGGTCGGGGGAAAATCATTCATTGGCCGGACCTGGGTATCTTAGGTCTTAGCCCATGTATGATACACAGTGGGCCTAAGAAAGTTTTAGGTTATGGTTGGTTTGAAGGGAAAGGAATGAAAAGGAAGGGAAAGGTAGGGAAATCTTTACAAGGTTTGTACAGGTTTCATTATCTTCCCTACTTTTTCATATATCCTTAATGTTTGTCTTAAATAAAATTCATAAATTTAAAGGGACACTGGACCGAGAAAAATCTGCTGCCACCATGGTCACATGCGACCCCAATGAATAATAAAGACACCGACTTTTCAAATATATTGAAGGCATCATATCAACTGATTTTTTTATTTTGAAATGCTGGTGTTTTCGCCATTCATTGGGGGTATGGTCACAGCAGATTTTTTCTCCACTGGACCCCCGGACCAAAAATGAAGTAATTAAAATGATTTAAGGGAGAAAATAATAAAAGAAGTGAGGATACTTGTGAGAATATTGTAAGTGAATGCCATTGTCTTTTTTCTACTTTGCTTTTGCTGCAGGTTCTAGGAGCTTGCTGGTATCTGTTGGCTGTTGAGCGTCAGCACCACTGCTGGATAACAGAGTGTATGAAGGAGACTAATGTACTTTTTCCAGCTTGCAGTCGTCTTTTTCTGGATTGTAGTAGTTTGGAAACAGCTGAACGGAAAGCATGGCTCAATTTCACTAGTGTGCTTACTCATTGTGATCCCAACAATAATGATTTCAGATTTCCGTACGGAATGTTTGCAGATGCTTTTACTAATGAAGTAGCTTCAGCAAAGTTTTTGGACAAGTACTTATATTGCCTTTGGTGGGGTTTAAAACATTTGAGGTATATATATATATTTTGTTCAAGCTGTCCATTTTCTGAATGCAGCTGATACAATGATCGTTTTGCTTCTACCAATTGGAATTAAAATAACATGTGCTTTCCCTTTTCTTTAACATAAACGGCTGAAAACGGATGCGATTGTAGAAGATATATCTAGATCCAAATTTGAGTTGTTTGTATTTATATTTGAATTGAATGTTATTCATTGAATTTAGATTAGATCTTCATTGACATAGGATATTGAATACTATTGACCAAATAAACTAAAAATGATCAAAATATTATATATTATTAATAGAATGAACTTAATATGACTTTGATATTGTATTATCATGAATAAAATGAATTGAATAACTTCTATGAGACTTAAACAATGATCTTTAGCAAATGTACAAAATCTCAAACAACTTTTCTGATAAATCTAATATAAATTCAATCCAATTATAAACGAATTGAATTCACATATCCCTTAAGTGAATCATATTTGAATTTGAATTCAGACAAAATGTATTCCTTTTGCAGCCTTATTTACATACTACCATTTTGATGCTTGAGGATTTAATTGTTCATTCATCTACCAACTATAAGCTATTTTCTCTGCAGTTTTACCCTTTATTTTTATGGCTGTTCATTTCTTGCAGCTATATTATGGGATAACTTTTTATTATTTTTGCCATGCATCTTCATCCTTGCATTCTTTACTGAAGCAAATGAATGGATATTCTTCTTCTTTAAGGAACAGAACAGTTCGATTTTTTTTCAGATTAAACTGAAAAGTTTAATTCTCTTTGTTACTTTTATTAGATGACGAAATAGGTTTGGGTAAAATATAGTTAAAGTTGATCATGTCCACTTCTGTGGTTTTGCCCGCAGTCCTGGTTTTAGAATGCCAGGAAAATCAGGTTTATTTAAGAAACTTGTGAATAGAACAATGAAATAGCAGTTGCAAGAAAATAATGGCATATTAAGAGAGGATTTTGAAGTGAAAAGTGATAGACAAAAATAACGACATAAAACATGTAGTATCGCACTACTAGATACATGTGATGAACTGTACCAGTTAAGCACCATAATGGTATTTGAATTTTGACAGGCATACTATTTATTGGACATTGTATTCTTACAGATACATGTAGCAGCAAACATGGCTTGAAGTTTAATTTCAATTTATGAAATAAAATAATGCATTTTTCCATGGAACTATGATGTACCATTCCGACCACTTTTCAGTTTTATTTTATGAAATAAAATAGTGCATTTTTTTATATACTCTTTTTTTTTTCATATAATTGACTCTGTCTAATGCTTACATGATCCGAATTAGAATTGGCTAAAAGAAAAGTATTTTCTGGAAGATCAAGGGAAAGCTATATGTGGTTTTGACCTAACTGTTGATTCTGCAATGGTCCTGTATCTAGTTTACATTCTGAAGATAAATCTTGTATACGTTTGTAATCTTGTTCTTGGAGGTTAATTGAATGTACTAGTTCCAATCAAAGATGCTAATGTTTTTTTGGCAGGTAAATAGTATGACATAAAATAAGGTGATTAGATTGGGCTACATACACTTTTATGTTTTTAATAGAACTTTTGTTTATCGAACTTACCATCTATAGGAGTTCGGTACTCCTGCTAGTCACCAACTTAAGGTTATACACAACCTAGGAAATGACTTAAAGTTGATTTTGTTTTTCTGTTTTCATCTTTGTTTATCTAACTTCCCATCTATAGGAGTTCTGCACTCCTTCTGTACTATTAAACATGTGATACATATTCTTTGCTCTAATAAAATTCCTAAAGATAAAGTTGATTTTGTTTTTTCTGTTTTCTTCCTTAATTTTATCTTGTACTTACTTATTCATATTCTTGGAAAGCTTCTTTGATTGTTTGTACTGATGCATCTTTCATTTGTTGCTATGTAGTTCATATGGACAGAACTTGACAACTACCACTGCAGTTGGTGATACATCATTTTGCATTCTTATAAGCATCGTGGGTCTAGTTCTATTCTCCCATCTGATCGGGAACATGCAGGTAACATCTGGTATAGGATTTCTTGGTTATATATACTTGCACAGATATACACACACACAATAACAACATCAAAAGAATCTTGTACTTAATTGTATGGGCTTTTGGGTTGAACAGCCTTTGCTTTTGTTAACTCATAAAAATAATAAGGGTTAATTGCTTAAATATACCCCCCTGCAGTTTCATCAAACATAATCTTGTTAAAAAGCATTTAACCGTTAAGATTGACAGAAAAATTAAAGGACAAAAATGCCCTTTTAACTGTTCTTTAATTTTTCAAAATATGTATTTGAGGAATCAAATTTTCTGGGTTTTTCTTTTTCTCGTATCGGTTTGAAGGAAAACAAGAGAGGGCAGAAAAGCAGTAGAATCTAAGATCAAGAATAATAAAACAAAGCCAACAAGCAAAGACACGTTTTTGGTTTTGCTTCGTCAGGAGGTGAAGTGCTTTCCTGATCCTCTACACCATCATAGTGGCAACCCTAAGAAGCTAGACTTCATGATCTCTCTCTCTCTCTCTCTCTCTTGTTGTGGCTGTGTTCTAGTTTGGTTTATCTCCTCGGCTCGATGGCTACAGAACAGGAGAGAGAAGAAGAGAGTGGGGGTAAAACTAGAACTTTAATATAATATAAGACACATGTGATATGTGGCCCAAAATGTTTCACTGACAGAGGGGGCCTATTTGTGTCAAATGGGACCAATACACAGTATATATTTAAGTAGTTTTTGAAACCACCGATCTTTAAATGGTTTAATAAAACCACATAGTATATGTAACTAATTAGCCCAAATAATAAAGAATAAAAATATTTAAGAATTTTCTATTGGTAACTAATTAACATAGAATTTCCTTCTAGTTGTAAGCTAGAACGTGGTTGAAGTTGATGCTCATTTTATGCGCTTGTATTATAACGAGTTAACCTTTGCTGCAGGGACACTGCAGGTTCTCCTGCCATTGATAAATCAAAGCATGGCCATATTACTAATGTTAAGAAATTAAACTTTAACATTATAAAAACTTGAAAACACGGGCGAAGTGGACATGTTTTGGTTGGCCCGTGGCAGCTGAATTTGCAGCGAAAGTGCATCCCTTGGATTTTGGTTAGTGCAACGCCTGTTCAAAGAGCACTCTACAGTCTTTAGATTAGAAATATACTTTATTTGATAGGAAGATATTCCTAATGCAAACTTGCAAGAGGCTGTTTAAACAATGTAAACACTAATTTACATTGACTGAAACCAAACTCATTTTATGAACAGGCATACTCAAATAACAATAACTATCTCTGTTTAGGTTGTTGTCTTGTGATTTAATGTTATGGACTAATTGACTACCATAGTATTTACCATGCTATCTCTATGTTTTTCATCTGTTCTCCTTTTAATATTTTTTATCCTGGTGGCAACGATAATTTCTAGCTCAGCCCGCAATGCGTTTATATAATATATATATTGTCATATAATAGAAAATACTATATGTACTAAATAATGTGTTAAATGAAATAGGGCCAAAGACTGGCCAGATTGGGCCATGATCACCCCTAGTGCAAGTCATACCCTCAATGTTTCTTGGATTCTTATAAATGACAGAATATCTTCAGGTATTATACCAAACGCCTTATAGCATTTGTCTGGGTACATCCACTACATTGCTTTGCTTGAACCTCCATATATCTTAGTCATTTGGCCCCTCCTCTAATTCCCAAGTGATTATTAATTTATTGTTTTTAGGTTAAGTTTGGGAGTGCTTATTATAAATGGTTATTTTAATAAGCATTTATAAATGTTTGGTGAAAAATCACTTATTTTAAACATGAATAGTATAGGTATTGTCAAAATTATGTGACGGGCCAAGATACGTGAGAAAGGAAATAAACAATTATTGAATAAACACTTAAAAATAAACTCAAAATTTGGACTTCTCAAATAACTTTTTATTCTCGGGTTTATTTCTCAAATGCAAATTGCAAATAAGTGTTTATTGGTGTTGTTTCTGTCCAAAATAAGTGATTATTTAAATAAGCATCCACAAAATTTGCCTTTCATTTAGTGAAATACTGATATCATTAAGTTTGTATCCGGTCTACCGTTCCCAGGACCCCATTGGGTAAAGACCTTTACCATATTGTAGCAAATTCCACTTTCATTTAGGCAGACTTGAATGCCATTTTTTCCTAATTGTTTTGAATGGTGCGTTGATTGGTTTTAAATACTTGACAATATTTAAATCCAAAGTTTCTAGGCATCGATAAATGCTCAGATTTTATGACATTGAAATTATTTATGGGCTTTTAGATACTTCTAGTGTTTTAAAATTTCTGTTTTTCGGCTCCTGAAGACCTATCTTGCATCTATGACGGTGAGGATTGAAGAGTGGAGAGTTAAGCGAAGGGATACCGAAGAATGGATGAGGCATCGGCAGCTACCATTAGAACTGCAAGAACGTGTTCGCCGGTTTGATCAGTATAAGTGGCTAGCCACAAGAGGAGTAGATGAAGAGTCCATTTTGCATTCCTTACCTCTGGACCTTCGTCGTGAAATCCAGAGGCATTTGTGTCTTGCTCTTGTTCGTCGTGTAAGTATTTTCATGTTTCTATTTGTGAACATCCCACTTTTTGTACTGCAGATTGATATACTATTTGTTAGCCTTAGCCATTCTCTCTCTCTGAGAGGGCTTTAGCCGCTACTAAGGTAATCTAGTGCCCATTTGAGAGGGTTTTCGGGATGCGGCTTTGGTGTTCTGAGTTGGGCCCAGCTGTGTTGGTAAAAATCGGGAAAGTCAACATGAGCTTTCCCAATGCCCAGACCAGTGAGACCACTGCTCAAATATGAAACTACTGAGTAGCTTCTCTGGAGCACCGGTATTCAACCACCGCAGCTCAATTAACACAACGCACCCTAAACACAGAACCCTTCCCAAATGGGCTCCTAGCTTAACTTCATTTTCATTCAGTCAAAGTGCTCATGGACTAATGACTTCAACACTGCACATGATGAACCCACTGGTTGAACTCCTATTCCATTTAACAGGTTCCTTTCTTCTCACAAATGGACGGCCAGCTTTTGGATGCCATTTGTGAGCGCCTCGTCTCATCCTTAAGTACTCAGGATACCTATATTGTCTGCGAGGGTGATCCGGTGAATGAAATGCTCTTTGTTATCAGAGGAACACTAGAGAGCTCCACGACCAATGGGGGAAGATCAGGATTTTTCAATTCTATCACCCTCAGACCTGGTGACTTCTGTGGTGAAGAGTTGCTTACATGGGCTCTAATGCCCAACTCAAGCCTGAACTTACCATGCTCAACGCGTACAGTCCGAGCCCTTAGTGAAGTTGAGGCATTTACACTTCGAGCCGAAGACCTCAAGTTTGTAGCAAGTCAGTTCAAACGTCTTCACAGCAAGAAGCTTCAGCATGCTTTCAGGTACTACTCCCACCAATGGAGGACTTGGGGAGCTTGTTATATACAAGCTGCATGGAGACGGTTCAAGAAGAGAAAGTTGGCAAAGGAGCTGGTGATGCATGAGAGCTTCTACTACATGCCATTTTCAGACCAAGATGGTAACTACAATGATGAAGCCCCAGAAGAGGATGGTGGGGCAGAGAGCTCATCAGTGGACAATTCAAATAATGTTCAGCATCTTGGGGCCACAATACTGGCTTCCCGGTTTGCTAAAAATACAAGAAAAGGGGCTAATCATAAGGTCAAGATGGATCCTTCTGCTGCCAGCTTAAAGATGCCAAAGCTTTTCAAGCCAGATGAACCTGACTTCTCTGCAGATTGAGAGGATGGTTAACTAGTGGAACGTTAACACATCGAGGATAAAATTGCAGATGGAGGGAAGTGATCGAAGGTTAGATAGATCTTTGTAACATGTGTGTATATTTCAAGAATAGCGATGATACATCCTTTCGTTGATAGAAAATAGTAAAAACACAGATTACTTACTGATCTTGGTGTTGTAGCTTGTAGATTACATGTAACTGCATGTGGGAAAAGTTGTCGATCGGAGTTGTTTTGTACCATAATTTATATGTAGATTATTGTCTACTTTACTTTTTGGTTGCTTGGAGATTCTCTTGGGTGGGAAAATTACTTTAAAGAGAAAATGATACTTAATACCTTAAGTTTAATTCTTAATAAGATGAATTTAAATGAGGTGAAAAGTAGCACTTTAAATTACATTTTCTATTTTCACAATCATAGCGTACTAAATTAAAAAATACTTAAAAAAATTTCACACTCTCATTCATACTTTTAATGGTAATGTAAATATAGATATAGATATATATTGGAAGAGACCTGTCCAATGCATGGGTGCTGTTAAAAGAAGCCCATGTTAAAGGGGAGTGATTACTTTTAGTTTCTTCATAAAAATGAAAGTGAATTGGTTGGAAGTAGTCTCTGTTTTTTTTTTTTACTTGTTAAAATAAAAAACTACAAAATTCTGAAGGGGTTGGGAAGAGTGAATAAGCTAATGTGTACAAACTGCATTTAGAATATTGCATAGATGTCTCGGATCCCCCTCTTTCTTTTCAATTCATGCCCATTGCCCTTGTAAAATTCCATTTACATTTAATTACTCTTTCAGTATTTGGAGAAGAAAAATATTGTCCAAAATTTTGGGGTAAAACAAATTTGAAAGTGCAAATTTTGTATCCCATAAACAAATGCAAAATTTACACCACCTTTTCTTATCTTGATTCTCTCTAGGTCCATATAAAGTGGGGACAACCATCATTTTACTTCTAGTTTCACTCTTTCCAAATGAAAGACCTTCCTCTTACCTTCATTTTTTTTTTATATAACTAATAATTGTGCACATGCTTTGCATGTGATTAATCTAGATGATGAAAATGATAGTAATAATATATCCAAAATTTTCTATTAACTTTATGTATTTTTTATTTTTTTATTTTTAATTGAATGTAGATTGCAAAATTCAAATCTGATTACATAAACACATCATCCAAATATGTGATAATTGGACCGAGTTGTGAAGTTTCAAGCATCATTGATATGCTTATCTGTTTGGCTACATTCTTCTTTTTGTAATGTTTTATCTTTTTTATGTATCATTTTTTTGTTTATTTATAAAAAAAAAATGTATGATTTAAATAGAGGAATTGAATGAGGTGAAAAGTAGTAGTTCAATTTACAATTTAAACCTTACAATTAAATAGGGGCTAAATTAGAAAATGAGTATTTTAGTTAAAAAAAGTATGTTCCACAATTTTATTCATGTTTTTAATGGTAATGTAAATATAGGATTATAGATGTGTTTAATTTTTTCTATATATATATATATATTTTGTATTTGTGTGTAAAAATAATTATGATATGTTATAATTACTTTTTATTTAATATGAGAAATATATGATATTATACATGTGCTTAAATGCTTTTTCTTGTAAAATTTATATATTTTTTCATTTTTGGCCAATTCTAAGTTATATATTTCATTTTCATTATAAATAAAAATAATTCTTGTTTATTACACTTTTTTTTTTTAATTTGATTAACAAAATATCATAATATGTCTATTTTTTTTTACATTTTTTATAAATTTTTATATTTATTTCTAATTTAAATTTTTTATTACCTAACTATGACTTCATAGGTTGATTAATTTGATTCAGATGGTTGAATTGCTTAGCCACCACTTGGATAAAGAGTGATTTTGTTTTTGAGTCAGTTTTAAAATATATGGATTTATATTATTAAAATATTGACATAGATCTAATTAGTAGTATTTATTAGCAAAAAATAAATTAAATATAGGATTTAATAAGATAAATTGAGATTTAATACCTTAAGTATAAGACTTAATGAGAGGGGACTACATGAGGTGGAAAGTAATAATTAAAGTTACATTTTCAACTCTTATAATTAGAGATGGACTAAATACATAAAAATGGGCATTTTAATAGCCATTAAAATTGACATTAAAAATATAATAAAATGACTTTTATATCCTTTTTTCAAACAAAGAAACAGAGGGTAATTTTAATAAAAAAAAGTTTAACACTACATCCACACTTTTATATATAGTATAAATACATGTGAGATCACATAATTTAATTCTTATTTTTATTCATAAAAAATGAATAAGACAAAACCATATGTAAATTAAGCCGAGTTATGCTTCCCATAATTTACACTAGTGCAAATCCAAACAAATGAAGCCATGACACAGTAAACATCCTAAATCTATTTTTAGGAGCCAGTTAAAATCTAGAGGAAGAAAAATCCGCCCATTTAAGTTGGAGAAGACATTATCATAACATACAAAACACTTCTCTGTTGTGTTGTTGCTAAATTGCCAGAAAAGAGTTTCAATGCAGAATCCCAGCAAAGCAATATTGACGCAACAACAGGCTGCCTGTACCCTTTTTGACAATTGGACAAGAGCAACACTCATCTTTCTCTTTTCCAAGATAAACTCAATTTGTATTTTGGAAATTCTTTGATTGTAATCGTAATTAATTTTGTCCAAAAGAGGGAAGTCATATTTAGCTGTCATCCTTGAAATTAACTAACTTTGTTGCTCACCTGTTCAAGTTTGAATCGATGCCTACAAAAAGGAGTCCAAAACCTGTCTGAATGTATACTTTATAACCATCTACTTGTTAAAGGCACTAAGGTTGGAAATACTCATACAATATATCCAATATAGAGGCGTATATTGTCATTGATGGTAATAATAACATTGCTTGCTTCCAACATGCTTGTAAACCACACATCACAAGCATGATTCATACTTTATTTTATGATGATGATGGGATTGCAATGTGGGGTTGACCATCCAGTTTGAGAGTACTTAGTTTATTTGCTGGTGATTGGATAATAGTAAAGACTGTACACAATTTGATGCAATGTTTTAAAAATAGACCCGGAGGTTCCACTGTTTTTGTCTTAGGGGTGAGTGATTGATTTTATCATTTAGGATGAATGGGTCAGATTATGCCAGATAAGCATATGTATGTACGTATATATGTATATGTATGTATACCTAGTCTTTATTTTTCATTTTATATTTAATTATTTATAAAAAAATTGCTATAAATTGTAATTTGAGGCTAAAAAGGGTTTTCAGCCAAAATAATGGGCCTTGGTGCCTTGAAACGTCTAGGTTTAAAAAAATTATCCAAAATGAAAAAGAAAAATCATTCCAATTGAACATTAGAAACAAATTTATGGCCTCTGAAAGTTTATATACACATTTAGCGACTTAGTATACAACTCATGACTGGAGACCAGGTTGAAGGGGTCGGGTCAATAAATCAATCACCCAGGTTGGACAGTTCTTGACTAGGTCAACAGGTTTTAACCAAAAATGTATTTTATGAAAAACAAACCTGAAATCATGGCAGATTGAAGATTCGAATGATTCAACCAGCGAAGTCAAGATGGATTAAATACACTGATCTGAAGTCACATTCCATACAAAGTATCTTCTTCTATCCCTCAATGCAGTGGATTCATACATACTTTTAGTTGATGAAATTTCATGCTGTTCTGTCCTCTTTTGATTGTTTCCAATGGGGTCATTCCAATTCGATAATACTTCGCAAATAATCAATTTTGCCTTTTTGCGTTGGCTTCATGACAAGGTCTGGACCGGCTTTTATCTGATTTGAATTTGGATGTTTGTTTAGCCATAATTGGATGAAATTGGGTTTTTCCGTTTATGGTATTATTATTATTTTATATTTGATTTTATATGTTTGTATAAATTTAATGACATTTTAGACTATATATGTTTAGTTTGAAGGAAAAAGTAGGGAAAGGAAAGGAAAAGAAAGGAAAGGAAAGGAAAGGAAAGGAAAGGAAACCTTTACAAATCTTGTATAGGTTTTTCTGCCTTTCCCTACTCTTTCCTTCAAATCAAATATAGCGTTAATGAGAGATACTGATATACACATATATGTTTTACATATTTATCAGATATTGAATTTTATTCTGATGGTGCACATAGAGGTTCATTGGTCATACCACGGGCTGTGGGCTCGAGAATGGAAGGGCTCCATCAGACCATCATGGCCATCTCAGTATCCATGGGCTCTTGAATCGGGAGTGGGGCAAAGCAATTTCATTGTCACCACCGGACAATAAATCGCAAGGGTAAATTGCTTAAATCTCTTCTGAAGTTTGGTATTTGCAATCACCTCTCCCGAACCTTCTGACATGGTTGCAAGTAGGTTTCCTTTATAAGAATCCTCTACAAAGAGGCATGGAAATGTCCAAAATGTTCATATAATTACTTTTTATTAAAATATTTATTTTTTAAATTTTCTCTTCATATGAATTGCTAGCTCAAACCCTTTCAATCTCTTTTCTGGGATTGATTTATTTTCCAAATTCTCCCTTTACAACAATCGCTCAAATGTAAAGATGCGACTTTAAATTCTCTATTATTTTGTTGTTTATAAAGTTTAAGTTCATTTTTTTTTTTCTTGTAGAAACCAGCCTCAATAATAATTGTATGGTATTTTGTTCATTTTTGTGCCTCTTGTTATGGGATTCTAGAGGGGGTCTATTTGTAACTGTATCTAAAAGCTATAAGATTCTAAGTATATGTTTGGCATGGATGTTGCAGATATAACACTGTTTTGTTCATCAGAAAACGGTGCTGCTGATGTATGTGAGAATACGGTGTTTATTTTATTTTTTGTTTGGAAAAGATGTTGCCAGGTAGGATGTTTCCTGGAGCAGCAACATCTTCTGTTTGGTACCAATGCTCCATATCTATTTTTAGCACTAATACTGATACCCATTATAGGAAGTCCACATCATGTCCTCGTTGGCAGCGATGAGCTCTAATCTAAGAAAACGTCAAATTTGGCATTACTCTAGACCACGCCTTCTCAATTTTCAAGGTGTGGTTTGGATCACTGTTTTTTATGGAAAAACAGTTCTAAACATATTGACGTTTCCTGGAATACCATTTTTTCCAATGTAGTGCTGATGTATCACCGTTTTCTAGAGCAAAGGCATCGATGCCAAATCGACACTAACATAACACACCTGACCATACTAAACTTAACGGGAACATCTCCCTATGAATAACAATACAAAACAGGAGAGATGTTACTGATTTGAGACTGAAAGGCGTTGTGAGGTTGGCATGAGGAGTGCTGTGTGAGGAGCAATCCGAACTCTACATAAGATGCTTGACAAATGCAGCTATAATTGTTAAAAAAAAAGGTAATGTTTGAATCGCCCCAGTTGAAAACTCTGGCCCTAATAACCATTTTAGCCTTCCAAGGACGAAGCCTTAGGAAAAGGACAGCCCTAGGCTGCCCAGCTCAGAAGGGCATGAGCAGACATCAGACCAGAGTATTGGCTATTAGCCTATTACTACTCTATAATATATGGATAATATAGAGAATGCAGTGATAATTGCAGACTTGGAACGATATTCTCTGCACAATCACATGAACAGTTATGTAATGACCAATTAACTATGCAATAAATTAGGCGAAGGGGGACAAAAGTGACTGAGCATACTTTGTCCGGGCCCATCTTCCTATGCTAATTGTTATCCATTTATAAAACCATCTTTCTTCTTAATTTGTTTGTATTTAATAAATGGAGGAAAATTTTCGATTAATACCCTGTGTTTTGGGCTTAATGTCATATTGATCCATAATTTTAAAATGCAATAATTCAGTATTTAAACTTTCAAAATGTGTTGATATTTAATATTTAATATCTACCTTTAACCATCTATTAATCAGTTGTTAAGTGGCATTTGAAAAAGATATAATTGTCCTTCGAGTGTCATTTAATTTTCTTTATCAATAATTCAAACGTTGACAAAAAAGTAACAACTCAAATCTTTGTTTTTTTTATTCAAGAAAGTTGGGGTTACGTCGGACATATTAGACTCCAACTTAATTTCTTGAGTAAAAGAGGCAAGGATTTAGGACTTTTAATTTTTTGTCAACGTTTGAATGGTGGATAAAGAAAATTAGATGACATTCAAAGGGCATTTGTATCTTTTTCAAATGCCATTTAACGGTTGATTAATAGCTGATTAATGATAGGTACTAGATCGATACGTTTTAAAAATTTGAGTACTGAATTGTTGCATTTTAAAGTTTGAGGACCAAAGTGGCACTAGGCCCAAAGTACGGGGTATTAATTGAAAATTTTCCCTAAATAAATAAATAATATGGAATGCTCTTAAAATATGTCACAAGATAATGTATTAAATACATTTTTATTTTTTAACTTATCTTTTAAATCAAACTATGCACAAACTTTTCCCAAATTGTATATTTTTATGTATTTACCTTGGTTAGTGCAATAGAATTTCTGTGGCTTTGAAGGATCATTACTGCTTGATGCAGTTATAAAATCTTGGAAAGGTGCCAATTGGTTCAGTCGACGTTTGAAATCAATGCTGTGCTTTGGGAGGGTTTTTTTTTTTAGAAAATGGTTGCTTCGTTTTTCTTTTGGGACCGTTGCTGTCATATAAAGGCAGCATAAACGAGAAAATACAAAAAAAATGATATTTTCTCAAACCACACCTTTAATTTTTAAGAAATGGTCTAAAAAACAGATTTTCGGCAGTGGATTCTGGCTGATTGTTGCAGAAACTTGGGATTTATTCCAACCTTTTTCGAGAGGGCCAGGGCCACCAGGCCATTTCATGCAAAGAAATTCCAAAATGCTATAGTTTCTATCTAATCCACCTCTCTCAAAACCTTGGATATCTGGATAAAACATGTAAAATCTAGAAAAAGGCATTGGAAGAGAGATTGGTATAATGGAATAAAATTTTAGGATGATCTTCTTGATGTGAGGCCAAATATATATCAACATTATATGGGAAGGTTCTTTTTTTTAGTTTTATGTAAATTTTTGCGGGTACCACTTATCCGGGTAAGTGATACCCATCTCCTAGGTGGATAAATAATTTTTCCACCTTTGGGGAACTTGCCAATACTTAAATAGGACAAAAATACCCCTTATAGTAATGAATTTTTATGACTAAAATGGTCATTGCCTTATTTATATGGGAAATAAATGAATATGGGTAAATGCACTCCTAAGACTTACGTGAATAAGTGCATCTATCCGATAAATAAGTTAGCAAAAAGCAAATGGGGCCTAAATGTGGTGGATATGAGCCAAAAGTGATTATTTAAAATGACAAACACCATTGTGTGTTGATTCTAATGGTTTTGCCTCTTGGGCAATGTACTTACAATGCATCGAGGAGTATGAACTTTAAAACCATAAATCTTGAAACAACAACATCCATATTCACAGATGGCCAGGTTGCCTAAACTTTTGGGCAACCATATACCGAAGGTATCTATTGCCTGAATCAATTTGCCACGTGGCAGAAGGTTGTTATATATTGCCACATAGAAAGAGGGGTCCACAAACCTAATTAAACTGCCATGTTAGCAACCAAGGCCAGGGGTTTAGGGGGTGTTCTACAAACTACAATGTAAGATGTTCTTGTTAAATTGCCACATAAAAAAAAAACATATTTTTAAACTATGATTTTATTTTAAGACTTAAAAATAAGTTGATTTTGTTAAAAAAAAACCAATTCATATTTTTGAAACCATCAAGAATTTAACACATCTACAACCAACAAGAAAAGTCTTCCATGATTTTTGATTCATGGAAGTTGTTTGTGACCATTTCCCAATTCCCATGTGCTTACTCGTCTCGTTCAAACAACCAAGTTGGTTTTGCTCCAACATCGGACAAAAGTTGTTTGCAATTTTTATTCTCAGTCAGTCTTCAACCAAACTTGACAGAAAAAACGGAGCTTCTGATGGAGTTTTGATGACTCGTGAGAACAAGCCATCATCGTGACATCATCACGCCAAGAAGGTGCTTATCTTCTTCTACCTCCCAACGCCCAACAGCCCAGCTTTCAGAGAAAAATAATTATAAATTATTCAATTTACTCTGTCATGCAATCAATTCACTCATTCTTCTTTCTTCTTCTTCTTCTTCATCATCTTTTTGATTTTCATTTCATAAACATTTAATGTCAACAATAATTGTAATAGACTAGTAGTTCCGCTGAAAATGTGAATTGGATGATTTACTGGCTTCATTTTCAAGAAACAAACAGTTGGTTACTTTCCTTCCTTCTTGGGTTTTGTATGTTTTGAATTTTCTCCGCCCGTGTCAGCCAGCCAATCAGTAAAATCCTTTCTCACCAGAATTTCTCTCTCCTATTCCTACTTTTAAGGTCCGATTAATCAGCTAAATACAAATAACGCTTACGAGGGCAATATGATATATAGGAAGGGAATGAGAAAGATAAGATAACCAGTTAGATAGAAACTACACACTGAATAGTTGGGCAATGGCGACTCGAAGGATCTCGTGGCTGCTCTCTCGACCCATCTCTGCTTCTTCGGTACTTTCTCTAGGTAACGATTCTGCAAGGATTTCTGAGACATTGATAATTCCCAAGAATTAATATTTTGTACAAGTGATGAATAGCTTTTTGTTTGAATAAGATCGACTGGTTCACGTTGTAAAGTCTGCGTCTGCATTTTGTTTTTTTAATTTCAGTGTCTCTATTAAGGTTGTGGTTGGAACCATTGCTGTTTCTACCTGAAACGTTTTGGGTTGATAGATACAGTTGGCATACAAGTAGTGTTGTTTGAGGCTATTTGTAGTTGAAACAGGCATACCTTAAAAATGCATTTGTGGGGAGACTGTTCTTGCTACGGGGGTATTTTAGTTGAATTGATTCTCATATGCGACGTGAGAACACACATCTCTCGCCAATTTGTATTGATCAATCCGAAACGATTCAGGTACAATGTACAAACAACAATGGTACCAAACATTAGTGTCAGGTTTGAATTATCTGATCTTCCATGTTCACTTAGTTTTTCATGGTGACTCGCAACTGAAGATTCTTCAACCTAAAATTGTACTAGAATGGTTCTTGGATTATAAATCAAATGTATATTATTATTACTATTATTATTATTATTATTATTATTATTTTCATTTGATAGGTCATGCATGAAATTTCTAACTTCTATTTCCTTCTAAGTCTGTAATTCATGTTTTGACAATGGACTATACTAGTAAATCCACTAAGAATAAAAGTTCCACTGGACTCACCTGTATTTGTTAATCAGTCGATATGTAGCCTTCTTTTCCATTTTCATATCCCTTGATCCTTAGCATCAGGGTCTGTATCTCATTTCTTATATACAGTGTTTGTGAGACTTATATACCAAGATATTTCAATCTCTACTGGTCTTTTGAGTGCTTAGATTGAAGAGTTCCTCTGGATGTAGTAGTCTTGTAGAGAAGAGTCATGATAACTGATCGAGAGAATTTCTGATGTGAACAGGGATAAAAGTGGCTTTTTTGGCTGACCAAACTCAGAGACCCATCTGAAAATTTCCCAAATTCATTTTTTTTTGTGATCACACATAAAATAAAGGATAAACAAAGCCATAGCTATTGAAGCATGTTAAATGCTTGATTCATAACCAAAAAGGGTGAAAACAGAGATCATGACTCAGGACCTAAAGAGGAGTGTTTTTCTTTATTCCATTGTCTGTGTCATGACTCACACATCTTATTGGTCTTTGCATTGAAAAGTCCAATCTTTTCTTTTAGAACTTAGATTTTGTGTATTCTCTTTGCTTCTTTCCAGTATTAATTGCTATCCAATTAATTTTTTATACCAGGATTTTTCAGTTTTCAAGTGCTACTTATTCATACATTTATATGGTTGAAAGTCTTCTTCATGTGCAAGTGCATATGCATCAATGCATGTCTTGGTTTGATTTCATGAATGCAGTGCCATTTTTTTTTTTTTTTTGAGAAATGGTAAGATTTCATTAATGCTATTTATTAACCCTTTTATATCTATGAATATAATTTTTCAGGCAGAAAATCAAGCTGGGGAAGAGATATCTATTGTTTTTGCACTGCCAATACCATTGAAGAACCAAGCACTCCACCCATTCAAGTTGAACATACCCAGCTTTTAATCAATGGACAATTTGTTGATGCAGCATCTGGTGAGCTTTTCCTCTTTTTAACTCGCAGACAAGAGCATAGTTTTTCCATTTGATTATTATGAGTACCTTGAAATTTTAATGACAAAAAAGTGCCTCACAACTTCTTATATTGTTGCTTCAAAGATCCTCCTGTAAAGTAATCATCTAGCACAATTGATTTAGGAAGTTTCCTTTGGATGTAGGGAGAACTTTTCCTACTTTGGATCCTAGTAAAGAAGAGGTGATTGCTCATGTTTCTGAAGGTGATGCTGAAGATATCAATCGAGCTGTTTCTGCTGCTCGAAAGGCATTTGATGAGGGGCCATGGCCAAGGATGACTGCTTATGTAATAATTCTTACCTGTACTTATTATTTGATGAAGTAATATTTAATAGAAGGGATTCTTGAATTTTACTAAAGTTCTTCACCCATTTTATCTTGCTTTCTTTGTTTAGGAAAGAGCAAAGATAATGTACCGTTTTGCCGACTTGCTTGAAAAGTACAATGATGAAATTGCAGCACTTGAGAGCTTGGATAGTGGAAAGCCTTATGAGCAGGCTGCAAAAGTTGAAATACCAACTGTAACACGCCTATTTCGATACTATGCTGGTAGGAGAAATGGGAGATTTTGATATGTGCTCTTGCTACATGTGTCTAAGGAATGCCTTTTATTTTGCATATTTTGGTAAAGTTCTACACCTATTTGCAAATTCTCCAGGTTGGGCAGACAAGATTCATGGTCTCACTGTCCCAGCTGATGGACCACACCATGTCCAAACCCTGCACGAACCAATTGGTGTTGCTGGGCAGATTATTCCCTGGAATTTTCCTCTTCTCATGTATGCTTGGAAGGTTGGACCTGCATTAGCATGTGGCAATGCTGTCGTACTAAAGACTGCAGAGCAGACACCATTGTCTGCTCTCTATGCATCAAAGCTGTTTCATGAGGTTGGTTTATGAACTGTTATATGTCTTCACATTCTTTGTTCATTCCATTTTTTCATATATTTTTTAGAGCTTACCTAATAAAAACGAGAAACTCTTTTATCATTTTGCAATGGTTAACTGTGTTGACAACCTGACATGTAACTGATCCCAAATATTTGGACTTTTTAACAAATTCCACTTTTTGGGTACATTTTTATTTAAGATTTTCCCTCTTTCTTTATGATAATTTACATACAAATTTTAATTTATAAAAGTTCAAGGCATGGATATGGATAAACCACATCAAACTGTATGCTTTCTGAAAAGCATACAGACATCCAAATATAGGGAAAAGAGTTAGACCCATCATTCATTATTGTAAGACATATTTACCGGACATTGATCAGAGCATGGATTATTCTGCATTTTCTGCAGGAATATGTGCTTTCCATGGAATCTATTGTTGAAAATAGCATTGAAAATATCCTTTATTCTTTTAAGCTTTGGTGACGAGTTCCTCTTGTGTTTCAACAGATTCTCTCTCTCTCTCTCTCTCTCTCTCTCACACACACACACACACACACCCACATCTTTATGATGAGTTTCATTAGAAACCTTCTTGTAGATGATGTAGTTAAAATGTCAATTTCTTTCTTCATGGAGTACCTTGCATTGATATTTGTCTTTTTTGTGACAGGCTGGTCTTCCTCCAGGTGTTTTGAATGTGGTTTCTGGATTTGGTCCAACTGCTGGTGCAGCTCTTGCCAGTCATATGGATGTGGATAAGGTATAAGAGTAACTTTTTCTTCTTGTGATATTCCGAACTTGTAATGGAATGAGATTTGTCAGCCCATGGCTATCCAATAGGGCCATTAACCAATACTGGTCGGATGGCCATCCACCCATTCTTCTAAAATTTTATTGCAAAAATTACTTAAACCTCCTATGTGTTTTCTGACAAATGTTTAAACCTACCCCTTGTATTTTGGCCTCTGAAAAACCTTCCCTTCATTTTAAATTAATATGCAAACACACCCCTTCTGTTAATTGGGATGAAGATTTCACTGTGTGCAATGTTTTTTTTTTTTGAAAGATGAAGGGATCTTTTTGCAGGGGTCAAAGTACAGGGGAGGTCTAAGTGATTTTCCAAAAAATTATTTATCTGACATTATTACGATGGATTAAATTAGAGGTATTCTGTATTGATCTCTGTATCTTGTTTGACCATCATGTGATGTGGAATCAGTATTGCTGGAAAATATCTTTGGTTGAAAAGGTCCTCAGGATATCCATACTGTTTTATTTCAAGGTTATCTTATTCTTTGTAATAAGATAATCTGATATTTCTTCTCCAGGGTAAATATGTCAAAATCTGTCCTCAAGAACTGAATTCACCTATTATACCTGGATATCTGTGTATGGGTGCCCTTTCATGTCAGACACTTAAACCTTTACAGTAAATTTCGTGTCTAGCACCTGTTGGGTCCGTGCAGTGTCAAGGTAACATAGAAAGTCACCATCTAGCTTTCTCGCAGAAAAGTTAGCAACCAGCTCAATATTTATGCTAGAGACTTAAAAAAGGGAAAAGGAAAAGGAAAAGGAAAAGGAAAAAAATTAAGCTATCATTCTTATGGGTGCTCAGTTATGCAGTGAAAAGTTTGCGAAAGGAAACAACATGTTGTTTGGATTTTAGGTCAGGCCTACTCATTATCATGGTAACTGTAAGAGACAACAATGAACTATAATGATGATGAATCTAGATATCTACATCTTGGAGCCTCATCCACTTTTATAATTAAATTTATATCAGGGGCTGTTTGATAATAACTGAAGTGGTTGGACTAAATGACTGATTGCTTTATCTTTTAGTGGATAAAATAATCTAACAATAAAATATTTGAAGGCAATGCAACCAACCTGACTTCAGATTAAGCCATTAAGGGGCTCACAACCTCCTTAACTATTCACTAAAAAGACAAAGAAACAAGTCATTCAGTCAGTCATTTGAAATGTTATCAAATGGCCTCTTAGTCTGATCTTCCAGTTAATAAATGAACCTTGGATAATAATCATTTTTCTTTGTTCTTTATACAACAAGCTGTTCTGCGCTGGAATATGTTTGAGAACTTTATCATTTGGTTGTAACTTGGGTGGTGCAAGCAAGGAATTGTATGGACCGCCTCATAGAACCCCATTTGCAAAGCAGATGGTGGAATGATTGCTAATCAACAAACTTATCTTAGCCAAGTCAATGTATGTTCTCAAAATTATCCATAATCACTCAAATCAATCATTCAGATATGAGCTTTATTCTTGGTAAGCCTTTTGTTGGCGCATTTGGCATATATTTCAAATTTACTATCATTGGAAAGTTTGTTTATATGCTTCTATCACATAGATTTTTTTAGATTATCCATTTAGTGTTTTCTGTTTTGGCATGTAACTGGTATTGAATCCATATTCTCATGGTTGAGATAGGAGCTTGATCCCTAAAATGTTTACTTGGTAAACCTGTTTTCGGGGAAATTGGTAATCATGATTATAACTGCCCACTAAAAAACTTCCCTTCCTGGGATATTATTTCATTGGTTTGACACCCAGGTTCATTCCCTAAAAGAAACTGAAACTACACAAACTTAGCAAGCAGGTTCGAAGAAACCATTGGTGTTCCTCATTGCCTCTTATTGGTTCTCTACAATCTTCTGATTCAACTTTTTTAGAGAATATTTTTGACATGAAGGGGCATCCACATGGACAATCACCAAAACAAATATTTAAAAACATAAATGAAAATTGCATCATTTTCAGAGAAGGAATTTTTGAAGAATGTTGCATTGTCACTCGTGGAGTTTTTGAGTAACTGCAGGCAAAGCTTGATTAAACCCCTCTGTAGTATCAGAATCAGAGGTTAATTCAATAAAAGAACAGAGCTAATTGGCATTCTCATGGTAATAGGTGTAAGAGATGGCATCATGTGATCAATGGTAACCAACTCAAGTTGAACAAGTTTATTCATTTCAAAATCAATCCCTTGCAATATGGTTGTTGTGTTTTTCAAGAGATAATTCTTCCTTCAAGTGGTTCGAACATAATCTAGTGAAGCCAGACCGATGCCTTAAGAAGGGATATTAGAGCACATAGGTACTTGAATGATGCTTCAAACTTTCATAGATGAACATTAGTAGTATTTGAATAATAAAAGTTCAGACGAGTTTTCATAGATGAACATTAGTAGTATTTGTGATAGGAAAAGTTTCTGATCTTTATCATCTAGTTGGAACTTACTGGATAGTAGTGGTTGTTACTTGCTACTTGTTAATGAGGCCTATCTATTGAGATGGATCTTCGAGGTAGTCCTTCTTAAAGTAGGAAATTATTGCTTATATTAGGGATGAGGAATGTATCCTATCAGTAAAATTTGTGTCATCCTAGAGTTAAAGTTGCCTTTACAGAATGTATTAAAAACTCATAAACATGTTTTAGATTTGGTTTACCTGTGATAAAGCCATGAATATTATGAAGACCATCAACAGTTGTCTACTAATCTTTTAGTATTGTTTGAAAAATGGTTAAGTTGCTTCCCAAGCAATAGATATCCTTCAACAGTGAAAACCCTGGTTCATGCACTTCTGACATTCAAATCTCTTTGTAGCTTGCTTTCACAGGATCGACTGGTACTGGCAAGGTTGTTCTTGAATTAGCTTCAAAAAGCAATCTTAAAAAAGTGACATTAGAGCTTGGGGGGAAGTCCCCTTTCATTGTCTGTGAGGATGCTGACATTGATAGTGCTGTTGAGCTTGCACACTTTGCTCTGTTCTTTAATCAGGTTAGGCTAATCATGTCTTTTCATAAGAACATGTATGATCTCTTACATGGTTAAATTATTGATCATAAGATTAACTTTTTTTTTTTTTTGCAGGGACAATGTTGCTGTGCTGGGTCTCGTACATTTGTTCATGAACGTATATATGATGAATTTGTAGAGAAAGCAAAGGCGCGTGCTCTGAGGCGTGTTGTTGGTGATCCCTTTGAGAAAGGCGTGGAACAAGGTCCTCAGGTAATTTGGACAATATTTCTCTCTTGATCTGAAATTGTCTATGGGAGCATTCCAACTTTTGGTTGATTAAGTCATGTTTAAGGCCAACCCAGGCTCAACCGGAAGATCTGGACCTCAAGCCAGTCCTGGCCCAACACAAGGTCAAAGCCAGAATTGGCCATCCCAAGCCCATCAGGAGCTACCCAACAAAGTTTTGGTCAGGGCTGACTTGGGTGGTGTTGGTTGGATTTGAAGGTCTTCTTGTTCACTTCTACATTTTATTGAGTTTTAAAATCCAATTTTGAAATAGAATAGAAAAAAAGAAAAAAAAACTCATTGATTAATATTTATATTTTGCAAAAAAATACTCTAGAGTGTATATAATATTGTAAATATACAGTATATTCATATAAATGAAATAAATGCACAATATACATATATACATTGAGTGTAGATATTGTAGGTCAGGTGAGCTCGGGTTTGGTTGTGCCTGGCTTGGTTCAGGCTTGTTCTTCCCAAGAGCTCAACCCAAACACAAGCCAAATTGAGTTTAAGCCTAAATTTTCAGGTCCAGGTCCAACTGAGAACCCAAAAATCTAAGCCTAATCCATCCAAAATCTTGGTTTGTGTTTGGTTGAGTTTGGCCAGCCTAAGTTAAGTTTGCAGACCTATATGGGAGATTTCCTGTGGGATCCTCATGAGAGTTCTATTTGTCAGTTCACTCTCCCAAGTTTGAGTCAATGCCTGTATTCTAATATTTATTGAAAATGGGGACTTCTTTTCGGGAAAACAAATGACAATATGATACCTATTTGTCTGAGTAGAATTTTCCTCAATATTCACTTAGTTGGTTAAGATCAATACAGAAATGAATATGTATAGCTTGCATTTCAGACAAAAGGATTGATGCTTTAGATAGTTAAGATCACCTAAGCGGTTCGGCTTTGACATACTAAAGTTGCAACATTGAATTTTGTTTTTAGTAGTACAATTAATTCTTTTTGCCATTCAGCTTCAGAAATAAGTTGGACTTTCAACTTTTGAAGCAGCATTCAGCTATGCTTGAATTACATAACAGTTCAATTTACTGATACCATTCCATGGTCCTTGCGAATGCCTCAGATTGATGCTGATCAGTTTGTGAAGATCCTGAATTACATAAGGTCTGGCACCGAAAATGGTGCTACCCTTGAAACTGGAGGTGAAAGGTTAGGTAGCAAAGGTTACTTTATTCGGCCAACTGTCTTCTCAAATGTTGAGGTATCATCCAGATGACTCCACTAATTTCTTCGCTTAGCATGGATGAATTACTTGGACAAATTTGATTTTTGGTTTGTTATGTCAATTAGGATAACATGCTAATTGCCACTGATGAGATCTTCGGCCCAGTACAGTCCATCTTGAAATTCAAGTAAGCTACAAACTCTCCATGCATATTTCTATTTAGATGTTGATGGATTGTGCTTTTTCACATGATGTTTTGGTTGATAACAGGGACATCAATGAGGTGATACGAAGGTCCAATAAATCTCGCTTTGGGCTGGCTGCAGGAGTCTTCACTAACAATCTAGAGACTGCCAACACCCTGATGCGTGCTCTGAGAGTAGGGACAGTATGGATTAATTGTTTTGATGTCTTTGATGCTGCTATTCCTTTTGGTGGATACAAGATGAGTGGGAACGGCAGAGAGAAAGGAATATACAGCCTAGACAACTACTTGCAAGTGAAGGCTGTCGTATCTCCCTTGAAGAATGCAGCCTGGTTATAATCTGTCTGACAGCTTATTGTTTACTCAATTGATCATTATTTCATAGTCCATCTGATTAATGAATCAGGGTTTGTTCTCGACACCAATTAAACAAAACATCATTTGACCTTTTCTAGCAAAACTTCTTTTCATCATTCCATAGGTGTTGTTGACCATCAAGCCTGATGCGACTGAAAGTGGAATTGATCCATGCATCATAAAACTGAAATTTATCATAAGCTCCAAGCTGGTCCCAAGTCAATCCTATTTAATCTGATCAAGTCCTTTTCAAACCCAGAATCATCATCTCCAAGCTGGGCCTAGAAGCTGTTGCAAGGAGGCCCCGTTTGTAACGGCTGTGTGGACCTGCGCAAAGTGCAAATAGGAAAAAGGAACATTTGCTGAACAAAAATGGGTCTGTTGCTAGTAGGTTATATGCATTATACATAATAAATCCATGCAATTGTGCAAATTTTCTTCTGATGGTACAAATTAATAGAACTCTCTCTCTCCCTCTCTCTCACACATGCTACATTGCTACGTATCTGTTTCTAATTAATTACTTTCTTATATCTCTTCTATCTATAAAAAAAATGGGAGAATTCCCTTTTCGGGGCAAACACAAGTAAGCTGTAGAGACACAATGTGATGGCCCCCCTTTGGAATGGAATAATTAATATCGTTGTCTAAGTAGTTGATGTCATGGTCATATCTCTTCAATCCCAGGTCATTTTGCTCCATTGCATTCTGGTGGTAGGACTTTGAATCTGGCTGCATCTTTGCAGTATGAGTAGAACATGAACCTCTTTCTGGCCCACTCCATCCCCATATTCTGTTGCTGTGACAGCTTTGCGAAGGCTTCACCTTGAACCGGGTCGATGCTCAGACCACTCTCTGGGCACGAAGCCACTGATGTTGTTGGGTCCAATATGCAGCCCTCCATCTCCATCTCCCCAAACGAAGCAACAAACGGTTCAAACTTGTAATTCACTGGGTATTTTCCACCGTGAGTCGCCCACTGTGACCCGTCCCAAATTGTTGCATACACCGACATGGCCTTTGATGGATAAATTGAAGAGATAGCTTGGCTGTGGTTCACCTCTCTTACCGGTATGTTGTCAACCAGAAACCTGCATATGCAGTTGTTCATTTAATTTGTCTTAACGTCAAATGGGTTTCAACTTTCAATTAATTTACTCAGAAGCAACAATGGAAATCCAGATAATTAATGATCAAATAGCTTGATAATCTGATGGTGCTGCTAATTCCTGCGACTAAGGCTTATTTGTCTTACTCACACTATGTGGTAGTCGTTCCAAATGATGCTGTATTGATGGAACTCTTCTGTAGGGTCGAACCAGAGGCGAAACTTCTCTTCTCTTCCCGTGCCGGTACTGCCATTGCCATAGAGATTTGTTTGCAGGATCCACTCTTTTCTCTTTTCATGACCCAGCAACTCAAAGTCGATCTCATCATGGGTGTGAGGGAAATTATCTGCATTTGACATCTGCATTTTGCCTAGCGTGTCAGATTCAGTTTTATGCCTATAATTGCAGTTATTTCGCTAAATGCATCTCTAGATGTCTKTGCTTAATTAGATGAATGCCCATTTCCCTGTACATCGCTACATGCATACATCTTTCCATATATACGCGCCTAAATACATACGTAGTCCCAAGTTTTTATAGCACCAACCATGAGAAAGGTCAGAGGAGGTCCGCTTAGAGAGAGAGAGAGAGGGAGAATTCTGTTATTTCGTTTTAGCATTTCAACTATTTCATTGAAGTGACAGCATTAAAGTTATGGTACATACTCTGGGCTGAGCATGCATGCACGATGTACGTCTATGCTTTCTGTGTCAGAAGCGCATTTATGCATGTCCTGAATCTAGCCAGCCAAATCCGGTAACAGAAGAATAGGACTTACATAGAAGGCGACGACGACGCCGGAGGTGTAACCGGAGGGCAGCTTGATGGCTGTACTGAAGAATCCGTACTTGTATCTGTCTCGAGAGACGAATCCGGAGCCTGTAAAAAAAAAAAAAAAAAAAAGAGTAACAGCTCATAACACATCGAATCACTGCTCTTTGGACGCCATGTGATCTTTTCTTTACACAAGCAAAAGCTGGCCAACTCCAGAAGGAGAGCCCAACCACACAGAAAACAGATGCGAATACTTTTGAGGTGGGTAATTAAGCGGGGACTTAACAAGGAGGAAGGAGTTTATTACCAGAAGATTTGTTGAGCATGAGATTGACGTAGGATCCGTTGTTGGTGAGTTGAATATTTGGGCCTCCGAAAAACTCAGAGAACCCTTGGGCGAACGTCCGATGAGGAAAGAGATCGGTCAAGTGAGTGAGGTTTGAAGGTGTGTAATTTACATTACGAGATGATGACAGCACAAACACAAAGCAGGAGATGAATATCCCCGCACGAAGCAGCTCTCCTGGAAAACGAGACATTTCGTCGATAGATGGAAAGAATGAAAAGAGGCAGCGCAGGAAAAGTAGTGAATGAAGTGATTATTTATTGGGAGCAAGAGAACTTAGCATTGTCCAGCTGTTGACCCCCAACTTGGGTCTGTCTTTTCTCAATTTGCTTTGCGTGGTTGGTTTGGATCTCAAAAGACATTAAAATAGAAAAGCACGTGGGGTGCTTTTGGGATGTTTTCTGGGTCTTGTGCATCTGCTTACAAAAGTTGCAGCTTTCAGGAACAGGACACTTTTTTTCGTTTCTTCTTCTTCTTCTTCTGGTTAATCCATCTGTATAACGGGTCCTTCTCCGGTTCTCCTCTCTCTTCCACCAACCAAGTCTTTGTATAATCCATCTGTACAAATTGACAGAAATATAAGTTTGATTGGATGAGAGCAGCTTCCTGTGCCAGAGGTGGCCCTTACTCTTGTTACTGGTCAAATTGGAGTATTTAAAGCCCCACACGCCTTCTTTTGTTTCTTATGTTTTTTTCTTTTGGCACCAATCCGACGGTTGGGAAGTAGTGACACTGCACATCCAGATCGCTTGTTGATTGCGACCACGAAAACGGTGTTGATTTGCCTTCCGATGTTTGTTTTATTACCTAAGAAGAGCTGGGCCAAGCTTGAACCGATCTCTTAGGCTATGTTTGGTTTGAAGGAAAAAGTAAAAAAAAAAAAAGAAAAGGTAAAGAAACTTGTATAGGTTTTGATACCTTTCCCTACTTTTCCTTTACCTTTTTCTACAAACCAAACATAGCCTTAGTCTCTTACTTGTAATTAGTGGTAGGGCTGGCCTTTGCCCGGCCGACAAGTAAATGTGCAGAACTAAATCCTAATTCCAATTTCCAAACCAGTTCGGTTCTGTAAATCGGGTGGGGACAAAGTAGGGTGTATATGAGGTCCACTGATTTTACTACTACTGAGTCCTGCGATGCAGCCTTCAAAAGGACATTAATTCTCAACTACTACTAGCTCATTGGTGGGTCTGACCTGATTATAAACCCGCATTATGATTGACAGCTATATATACTTTTTAACCAGTTAACGAATCTAACTATTTGTTAATTTGATGACACATTTAGACATCCTAACTGTAGGCTCTCACATGGCCTACTTTTATGTCCCCTACCTTAATCCCCTCTAATTTAAGCCATCATAATAATAATTTTATAAATTTATCATAAGAAAATAGGTATAAAATTGAGGAAATTTTAAATAGATAAATAATTCATCACCTTCATCATCATCATCTTGTCCCGAATCATATGAGTCTACTAAATAAATCCTGTGTTGTTATTCCACTTTGTTCATGCCATGGTTTTTAAAATCGGATGGGATCGAAAAAATTGGGAACTGGTCATTTGATTGGTTCTGTTTTTTTCTTAAAACCGTTGATTTTGGTTAGAAAACCGCTGAACCGGCTGGTTAATCATTCAAACTGTTTAAACGGTTTTGACCGTTTTTTATTTTTTAAAAAATTTTTTTTTTTGTTAGAACAAGTCAACCGTTCAAACTGGTAACCAGACCCCTGACCAGTTTGATCACCGAATCGGTTTTAAAAATTATGGTTCATGCCATATCCATGGTTATGGTGTTTAAATCATTTTCTTATTATTTTCATCTAGTCTCTTTTTAGGCTATCCTTATCTTTTCTCTTTAATTTTACTTGTAACAAATCAATCTCCTAATAGGTGCTATATATGGTCTTCTTATGCATAATTGCTTCAATTCTTCACTAGTCCAAAACAACCAAAATCAATTCTGACCCAATTCTAAATTGAACAAATAATAGCAAATTTAGCCCTTATATAATTGGGCCACTTTAGTTTGGGTCTATTGAATTTACTCGATCCATTGGCAATCGGGCATGTAATATGAAAAAGCAAGGTTAATTCCATTAGGATCAATGAATGAATTGGTTATTTCTGGTCATACTAGGTCTTTGGCCACTTATGTACGTAAATGCATTTATCTATTGTCATGGAATTTTTTTCTCTAATATCATTTTTACCCCTCAACCACTAATCCATGTTATTTTTGTAGAGTCATTTTAGTTCGATTAGCAACTTTAATGTGCTTTGCATGTGACAATTCTATATGATGATAATGATAGTAATAATATATCTAAATTTTTTTATAAATTTTATGTATCTTTTATTTTTTATCTTTATATAGTTTTTGTTTTTTTTTACTATTAATCGGATGCAGATTACAAAATCCAAATCTAATTACATAAACACCTCATTCAAATATGTGATAATCAAATCGAGTTGTGAAGTTTCAAGTATCATTGACAGGCCTATCTACTCTGCTAAACTCTTCTTTTTGTAATGCTTTATCTTTTTGGTGTATCTTTTTTTGTTCATTTATCAAAAAAAAATGTAAAATTTAAATAGTGAGAATTGAATGAGGTGAAAAGTTATATTTCAATTTATAATTTAAACCTTGCAATTAAATATGGACTAAATTCAAAAATAAGTATTTTAGTCAAAAGAAAGTTCCACAATCATATTCATATTTTTAATAGTAATGTAAATATAGAATTATAGATGTGTTCAATTTTTTTATAATCTTTTTGYATTTTTGTGTGTAAAAATAATTCTGATATGCCACATTTACTTTTTGTTTAATATGATAAATATATGATATTATGCATGTGCTTGAATGACATTAAAGGTTAATACATTTAACCAAAAAGTTGAACTATTTATTATTAATTTTTATATTTCATTTTTGGTGAGTTCTAAATTATGTATTTCATTTTCATTATCAACGAAAATAATTCTTGTTTATTACACTTATTTTTTAATTTGATTAATAAAAATATCATAAATGTGTCTAATTTTTTTTACATTTTTTAATTTTTTTATATTCATTTCTATTTTACAAATTTTATTACCTAACTATAACTCCATAGGTTGATCAATTCGATTCGGATAGTTGAATCGCTTAGCCACCACATAGATAAATAATGGTGTTGTTTTTTATTCAATTTTAAAATATATGGGTTTATATTGTTAAAAATGTTTATATAAATCTAATTAGTAGCATTTATTAGTGAAAAATAACTTAAATATAGGATTTAATAAGAGAAAATGGGATTTAATAACTTAAGTATAAGACTTAATGAGAAAGGATTAAATGAGGTGGAAAGTAATAATTGGAGTTACATTTTCAACTCTTACAATTAAAGATGGATTAAATACACAAATATGGGCATTTTAGTAGCAATTAAATCTAACATTAAAATTATAATAAAATGACCTTTAAACCCTTTCTCAAACAAAAAAATAGAGGGTAGTTTTAGTTCAAAAAAAGTTTTACAATGCATCCACACTTTTATATATAGTATAGACTAATTTTGGTTTCTCTTCCCTCCAAGTGAGAATGTAGCTTAACCACTTGGTAGAAGGTTAAGTCTTTTCCAAGTGACGAAAAAAGCTTGTTTAAGTCCTGTTTGTTTTTCCAAAAAGCTATTTATCCTTGTAAGTTCACTTACCTAGGTAAGTGCCTCTTATGGGAGACTTAGGTAAGAGAATTTATTTGTATTCATTGGATTTTCAGGTATATTATATAGTAACTCTTTTATCTAAAACTTGTATTCATTGGATTTTCTCCCCTATGGAAGACTTATTTACCCACCTTGAAGATAGGTATCATTTACTCGAGTAGGTGATACCTATTTTTTGGTGGTCCTACATGAACGTGAAAAACAAACATAGGAAAAGCGGTTAATGGAAACTACAACCCTATTGACCAACTTCTCCATTTCAGAATCCAAAAAATAAATAGGACCCTAAGGCTTCATTTGGTTTGTAGGATGGGGATGAGAAAAAGGGAATATTCCAAAAATATTCCTTTTTCTCTCATTTGTTTTGAGGGAAATAGAACGATGGGATGAGAAAAATGTATGATGCCAAATCCCAAAATCGTGGAATTGGGGTCGCACCAAAACCGTGCGACACCAATGGAAAAACTCGAGAAGCCACTGTTGCCATTGAACTGGCAAAGAATCACTGTTACTAGCCTTCTTCTTCCAGATGCTGGCAAGGAACTAGTGCGAATGGCAGCGACGATCTCCCTCCATCTTCCTCTTCTCTCTTCTCCCTCCATCTTCCAGCTTCAATCTACAAACAACAACGACTTGGTTACTTTAGAACTGATAATTGCGAAACAACGGTGATGAAAAACAATGGCGTGGCGAGAAACAACAGCATTGAAGATAATTTAATGATCAAAATTTGCTTCAATGGTGAAACAGATAGCAAGGAGAAGAAACTTGCCTCAGTGGTCGAAGCCCTAACCTTCTTCTTTTTCCTATTCTTCCCATTTTCCTCCTTTTCTCTTCTCTCTTATGCGAGGGGCAGCGGCGATCTTCACTAGATACGGACTCTCCCTCCATCTTCCTCTCCTCTCTTCTCCCTCACCTTCTTCTTCCTATTCTTCCCGTCTTCCTCCCTTTCTCTGATCGCCGCTGCAACTCTCGGCAATGGCGATTTGCTTTCTCAACAATCCTATCTCTCTCTCATTCTCTCTCTCTCTAATCGCCGCTGCAATCATGGAGCTTTGTTCTTCATCTTACATGAATCTGGCGAAGAACCAGCTCATGACAGTGTTTTTCCTATTATTTTCCCATATACCAAACAATGGAAAGATAAATTTCTCATCCCATCCCATCCCACCCAAATCTTCCCACAAACCAAATGGAACTTAAAGGAAAATTTATTTACCACTCAACTTACATGTTTTTTAAAATAGACACATACACACACAAGAAAAAAATCAGTCAACTTTCCTATTAACCAACACCCTCCTCAATTTTCCAATAAACAAACAAGGCGTTAAAAATAATTCAAGCCTGAAACTAGGAGGCAGAGACAAAAGTTGCCACTTCGGTATAATGGGCCACACAACGGGTGCCCATTTATGGCGGCCCAAGGTACAAGAAGTAAAAGGCCGAATGAATCAACCCCATCAATATAAAGGAATGAAACAGAAATTTGCTATTCATTTTCATTTGACAAAGAAGGCCAAACTTTTAGTAAGTTTGATGATGCAATTGAACCCATTTGAGCTGTGGCCAACTGCCTTCGGCTTCGGTGGTCCAAAGCATTCAATCGTCCAAATGTCGCACTCTATACTCTATAGATAAAGACTTGGGAGTCTAATCGTCATCAAACTCATAAGACATTTTTTGATGGAGATGTGGGATCCCATCGCTACCAGAACCAACTGTTCAACTTCAATTATGAGCAGGCCAAGAATTTCTCTGCAACCAATTTTATTTTTAATCCACA